GTCTTACGTGCTCCCAACTTGCGCTGTTACAGTCCATAATGAATGCGGTGGCGAGGCTCATCTTCCTGTCCGCCCGCACCTCCCATGCCTCACCCTTCTGCCAGTCCCTACATTGGCTTCCTATAAAATATAGAGCTCAATTTAAAATTCTGGTTCTTGCTTTCAAATCTCTACATAATGCTGCTCCCACCTATCTATCCTCCCTTATACACAAGTTTGTCCCGTCTAGGCCTTTACGATCTGCTGTAGACTTACGTCTACCTTCTGTCCATACTCCCAACTCTGATGCTCGCCTTCAAGATTTCTCGAGGGCTGCACCGTTCCTGTGGAACTCGCTTCCCTCCTCCGTTAGATGCTCACCCAGTCTCCACTCCTTCAAAAAATTGTTAAAAACCCACTTCTTCATAAAAGCGTATCAATTAAACTGTTAATAGCTCCTGACTGATTGCTCTTCTGCAACTGTCACTAGTCTAATACTATCCTTACCTTTTTGTGTCATTTTACCCCACTCCCTCTAGCATGTAAGCTCATTGAGCAGGGCCCTCAACCACTCTGTTCCTGTGTGTCCAACTTGTCTGGTTACAACTACATGTCTGTTCGTCCACCCATTGTAAAGCGCTGCGGAATTTGACGGCGCTCTATAAATATCATAATAATAATAATAATTGTTTCTATCAAAACCCCTTTCTCATGTCAGCTGAAATTATGAGGATCCACAGAACATTTTCCAAATGCAAAATCTAACCAAATAAATATTATTTTGCTGGGGTTTGGGTATTTAAAAGTAACAGGACCTTTCTACAGCACCGCAGCCTTTTCAGTGTACTAAATGCTGGGGGAAGCCGTAGGGAACCAGGACTCCACAGTCTCCAGAACCTTGAATTCCTCCTCTCAATGGATCCAGAAGTTTTCAGATCAATTAATTCTGGAATCTTTTGTTTACAGTCATTTCAGATGATATCAAATTAGAAATTCCAATTTCTGAAATTCTGATTAAATTTGATTCCTTTGAATCCAAATGCACACGTCTAATAAACATACATATTTTTGAACAACATTGTTTATTGCATCTCTAAATTAGCAAAAATCAGGAATCCGGGGTAATCAGTTCATTTACGGTGTTTAGTAAGGCATTTTCTTTTTTTTCTTTTTTTTTTTTGATCCTTGCCCGTCTAAGTAATCAAATACTGATTCCACTGATCATAATGTCTGATATGATCAGACAATAAACCAAAAAAAAGTATATACAAATACCGGTATGTATAATGTTTGGTAACGAATCAGAAATGAAAAATGCTGCCCAAGATGCTGTGCAGTATTAGTTAACAGCATTAGAACAAAGTTACCGTTATCTATCACCAAGATGCTACCCTGTTTTCCCGAAAATACACCCTACCCCGAAAATAAGCCCTAGCTGGATTATCGGGGTGGGCTGCAATATAAATCCTACCCCGAAAATAAGACCTAGGCAGGGCCGGCGGCTGTCCGCCCTTTAAATGCCACAGCCGACTGAGCGCTCTATAGAGAGCGCTCAGACGGCTGCCGCACTGCCTCACCTCCCCTTCCCTGTAGCGTGGCCGAGCTCCTCTCCGGTCCGCGACCCGGCCGGACTGACAGGAAGTGCACACTGGGTGTGCACTTCCTGTCAGTCCGGCCGGGTCGCAGACCGGAGAGGAGCTCGGCCACGCTACAGGGAAGAGCAGGTGAGGAGAAGATTGGAGGGGGGAGGGGGGGGAGTATTACAGGGAGGGGGGGAGAATATTACAGGGAGGGAGTGAGGGGGGAGAGTATTACAGGGAGGGGGGGAGAATATTACAGGGAGGGAGGGGGGAGAGGGGGGGAGAATATTACAGGGAGGGATGGGGGAGAATATTACAGGAGGGAGGGGGAGAATATTACAGGAGGGAGGGGAGAGACAGGAGGGGGAGAGCATTACAGGAGGAGGAGAGAGTATTACAGGAGGAGGGGGAAGAGTATTACAGGAGGAGGGAGAGTATTGAGGGAGTGGGAGGGGGAGAGCATTACAGGGAGGAGGAGGGGGGAGAGTTTACAGGGAGGGGGTGGAGAATATTACAGGGAGGGAGGGATAATATTACAGGGAGGGAAGGGAGGGATAATATTACAGGGAGGGAAGGGAGGGATAATATTACAGGGAGGGTAATATTACTGTGAGGGAGGGGGAGAGTATTACAGGGAGGGAGGGGGAGAATATTGAGGAGGGAGGGGAGAGACATGAGGGAGGGGAGAGTATTACAGGGAGGGAGGGGGATAATATTACAGGGAGGGAGGGGGGAGAGTATTACAGGGAGGGAGGGGAGAATATTACAGGGAGGGGGAGATGAGGGTCTCTGGGGGGGGTTACACAGCGCGGACACCGGCTGACAGACTGGCTCTAAGCCCTACCCTGAAAATAAGCCCTAGTGTGTTTTTTGTGAATATAATTAATATAAGACCGGTCTTATTTTCTGAGAAACACGGTAGCTATCAGTTCAGACACAGAGCAATGTGTACATTTGTAAATCTGGTAGTGAATGTATCAGACTTTCTATTAGAGATAACCTGGAGAGTGGTCTCTGTGAGCTACAATGTATTGATAAGATAAACTGTGTGAAAGTGCTAAAGTGCACCTTTAACTATGCAGTGTTCTGGGTCTGAAGCCATAGAGTGATGATAGGAAACTCTGACAGAGAGTTAACAGATTTGTATATACGTAGCAGAATACAATATTAAAGCTGCTGTAGCAAGTGTTCTATGCTGTGCCTTAGAGGGCACCTGACCTGTGCAGATTCTAACTACCTCTAAGCAGCAGGAAAAGGAAATACCTTGGCCAGTGAATAATATGAGAGAGAGAAGGTACCGTATATACTCAAGTATAAGTCGACCCAAATATAAGTCGAGACCCCTAATTTTACCCCCCCAAAATGGGAAAACTTATTGACTCGAGTATAAGACTAGGGTGGGAAATGCAGCAGCTACTGGTAAATTTCTAAATAAAATTTAGATCCTCCAAAAATTATATTAATTGAATATTTATTTACAGTGTGTGTTGTAATGAATGCAGTGTGTGTGTGTGTGTATGAGTGCAGTGTGTGTGTATGAATGCAGTGTGTGTATGTGATGCAGAGCCTTGGTGGGGGGTGGGCATTTTTATTATTTTTTTTAAAATATTATTAGTATTATTATTTAATTTATATTATTATTTTTTTTAAAATTTTAATATTATTTAAATATTTATTTATTTTCGTCCCCCCTCCCTGCTTGTTAGCAGGGGTGGTCCAGTGGATGGGCTGTGTAGGAGGGGGGCTGGCAGCGAGCTGTTACTTACCTTTCCTGCAGCTCATGCATTGTATGATCGTGATAAGAATCAGTTACCTGGCCATAGGGTCTTTAATGCCTACGTGCATTGACCATCAGGAAAATGACCTAGTATAGTTGATATTATGGAATAAAATTTAATACTCGCCTTACTCACACTATGACAGGAACAGGCATGATTTCCATCACTTTAAAGTAAACCTGTTATAAAATAACAACTTCCTTTAAATCGCCCAAATACATTGAATGCATCATATATCACAAAATACATGATGTATCCAATCTTAAAATATACTTACCTCCATTCCAGTTGTGCCATCTACAGATCCTTGTGTGTATTACTCTTTGTGTAACACCCACCACCGCTCTGCTCCCTGCTCCTTCTCTGGTCTTTTATTTGGCTTGCTTGGGAAAACCTCATTAGTGATGCCAACAAGCTTGCTTCATTGCCAGCATGTCGGAGTCTGAATGGAGTGAGGTCAGTCACCTCATTCCTATACTCCCTAGCCAGTGCTAGCAGCATTGAGCAGGGGGTTCCCATGGCAACCACAGTGCATGTGCTGTGGTTGCTATGCTTGGGAGAGCAGAAGGAACTCCTATTGGAAGTCTCTCTGATCTCCCTTGTCAGTCAAATCATCGGTATAAGCCTATCTGGTTTTAAGCAGGTTTTACTCGCACTATGTACATTTGCTAGCAAATCTGCTAGCACAATGTAGAGATAGCAGTCCATGCTCTTCCGAAAGAGCACAAGTAGTTTGGGGCATGACAGATCCACTTCAAGAGAACCTTGACTAGTGTATGGACATGCTCCTCATTCCCTCTATTGAGGGTTTAAAACCCTTCCTAGGTTAAACCTCATTGTTTACTAATCTTGTAACTATGCAACCTCTTAATTTGAATAAATCTTACTCCAAATTATGTTAAATAAAAACTACTTTCTGCCTCCTTATAATTGACCTTGGTTTACCTTTGATGATTTAGATACCTCATGGATATGGATTACCCAGCATGGACTTGGATAATTTAAAGACCACTCGCTTTCTGTTTCGGACCCCATTGTTCTTAAGTGTTTCTCTCTCTTCTCATTATCCTGCTGATACATTGAGACAAGGTGCACTCTATATCTTAACTAAAGATTAATCCTCTATTGAGTGTGAATTTCTCTGCATACTGCCAACCCTGACTCAACATGGAACCTGCATTATTCTGATCTTAACTAGCAACTACAGATGTTACCTTTTTTATTTTAATCTCTCATTTCCTCATATCTCTGCAGTTGTTTCTGTTTTGAAAAATCATATTAGGCAGAACACGGAATGCAGCGGGAGTGTGAAAAAGAGTGGCAAAGATGGACTCCAAATGAGAATCTACAAAACATATTGGAAATGCTCCTCCTCTGAATAGAAGAGGAAGGAATTTTTCTGTAAAAGGAAAAAAAAAAACCCACCATATTCTTAGGGGGAAGACTGACGTTTCCAGAGCAGTGGATAGACAGAGTGTTATCAAGTATCAACAGTAATACAAACCAAATGTAATTCTCTCAAACATTTAGCTCGGAGTGTCTCTAATTTCAGCTCAGCATTGACCATTTCTGTAACCCTACTCTACGCACTCAGTAATATAATTACCAAGGGTTCTATCACAGATACTGGTCCTTGCCAGATTACAACAGACACACAAAACAGTTATTTTATTGTTTTCATATTTTTTTTATTTCTTTTTTATTTAGAATAATATCCATGGTAGTACAATGATGTTACAATTCATGATATCGGAATCGAAGACATGACCTGCATTTGCGGGTGTGTACCGTATATACTCGTCTATAAGTCGATCTTATGTATAAGTCGAGTGCAGTTTTGTGACCAACAATTGTGAAATATGCTATTGCCTCGTGGATAAGTCGAGGGTAAAACTTGGGGCTATGAAATTCTGTGATTTTTATAATTATACACACACACACTTATACAAACACACACTCTGCATTATATACACACACACTTATACAAACACACACACTGCATTATATACACACACACTTATACAAACACACACACTCATACAAACACACACACTGCATTATATACACACACACTCATACAAACACACACTGCATTATATACACACACACACACTCATACAAACACACACTCTGCATTATATACACACACTCTGTGTATATAATGCAGAGTGTGTATATAATGCAGAGTGTGTGTTTGTGTAGTGTGTGTGAACTGGGTGGGGGGAGGGCATTTTTATTTTAAATTTTTTTTATTTTAATATTTTTATTTTTTTATTATTTTTTTGTCACCCCCTCCCTGCTTGTTAACCGGTCAGGGAGGGGGGCTATCTTAATCCCTGGTGGTCCAGTGGCATGGGCTGTGAAGTAGGGGGCCCAGCAGGAAGCATTTACTTACCTTTCCTGCAGCTCCTGTCAGCTCCCTTCTCCTCCGTTCCGGTCAGCTCCACTGTAAGTCTCGCGGTCTGGTTGCCGTGTGGATCGTTGCCATGGCTCTGACGGCCGCGGCTCTCTAAGTTGCCATAATACAGACAGTGACTCGAGTATAAGTCGAGTGGGGGTTTTTAGGCACAAAAAATGTGCTGCAAAACTAGAGTTATACTCGAGTATATACTGTATGTTGTATGATTATCTTTTACAAAGTAATCAACTGAAAACTAGCAGTTTCTTAATGCTTGTAGTACCTAGGTGGACACCTCATTTATAAGTATCCTTAATAGGGACACTATAGGCACCCAGACCACTTCAACTAATTGAAGTGGTCCGGGTACAGGGTCACTATTGCAGTTAGTGCTACAATGTAAAATATTGCAGTTCCAGAGAAATAGCAATGTTTACATTGCAGCACTGAATCTGCCTCCAGTGGCCGTCTGCCAGAGGACATCCAGCGTCGGCTATTTTCACATAGCAAAAACATTGATTTAATGCTTTCTTATGGGGAGGTCTAATGAGCCACCCAATGCTGAGATCAGGTAAGTAATAAAGGATTTTTAATCTGGGGCAATGGGGTGCGAGGGAGGAGGGAGGCAGAGGGAGCTATAGTGCTCAGAATACAGCTTTGTATTCCTGGTGATGTCCCGAACGGTTCGCAAACGGTTCACCACGAACTCATCATTGAGTAAACTTTGACCCCGTACCTCACAGTCAGCAGACACATTCCAGCCAATCAGCAGCAGGCCCTCCCTCCCAGACCTTCCCACCTCCAGGACAGCATCCATTTTGAAGCTGCATTCTTAGTGAGCACTATATAACAAATAAAAATATACACAGACTACAATAAGAAGGGGTTGCCCTTGCCCAAGGAAGAACAAAGTAAAGGTGCTGTATGCTTCTCATTCCACTCATTGTTAAAGGGACACTCCTGACCCTTAAAGTACTTTAGCTTGTTGAAATGCTTTATGCGTGAATGGAGTGTTGCCTATCTTTAATTTTACAAAAAGTGCAGATTTCAATGGATATTGGCATTTTATAAATAAACCTTGTTACATTCACTGGCACTTAATAACACAACTTTCTTGTATTAATGGCTCGCCGTAATATATTATTGTCACCCAAAAATATTAAAATCTAATCTGACATCCCTTATAAAAAAATTCATACATTTATTCTACTCCTAATGCAGACATCAATAAACATGTAAAAACGTAACAGATATTACAGCTCAACAATGTTACAGAGACAGAGAGAGAGAGCTTCGATTGAAAGTAGTCATCTTTGTCCAGAAAATCAGAGGAACATTAGAAGAGTAGAACTTGGTCATTTGTCTAATGTTCTTTCTATAGATTTGATTATAATGACTGCCTCTTTAGGGAGAGCCCTCTATCACTAGGAAAAGGCTCCAACAAACTCTAATTTCAGGAGAGTTCATGGGATACATAATTTCCTGGAAATGTTCTATTCATCAGATAGTAAGTTCTCTATAAACTGATAATATTTATACCACAGCTGCCATAAGGTTATACATGGTCTTGATCACAGTTTTATGAACCAAATGGTTTGTAGTAGCAGGGTGTAGAAAGGACTGGATTTTCTTTGTCGATCTAGGTAGTGCCTAGCATGGCACAAGTACTGTCTTAGCAGCAAAATAATTAAAGGTACACTATAGTCACCAGAACAACTACAGCTTATTGCATTTGTTCTGGTGAGTAAAATCATAACCTTCAGGCTTTTTGCAGTGTTTACATTACAGCCTAGGGATAACTTCACTGGCTACTCCTCAGATGGCTACTAGAGCTGCACCCTATCTCAGTCTTGCCTAGTGTGCATCACAACATATCAGCATCTCCTCCCTCTGCATGCAGAAACTGAACTTTCCTCAAAGAGATTCATTGATTCAGTTCAATGAGGAGATGCTGATTGGCCAGGGCTGTGTTTGACTTGTAGTGGTTCTGCCCCTGATCTGCCTCCTTCACAGTCTCAGCCAATCCTATGGGGAAGCATTGTGATTGGCTCAGAACACTTATGATGATGTCAGCAGACAGCTATTCCGAAGGCAAACAGGGGCAGAGCCAGCAGCTTCAGGCTTGAATACAAGTAAGATTTTACTATATTTAGGGAGGCAAGAGATGGCCAGCGGGGCTAGATGGTGGTTTTAACACTATAGGGTCAGAAATATACATTTGTGTTCCTAACCCTATAGTGCTCCTTTAAAGCAAACAAACTATTTTCTGAAAGCCTCCCACCTTTGCCAAACATATCACATTGTTGTGCATGATCACTTACTTCTTAGCTATGTCAATCTTTAAAGCATATTATCCTTGCACGTGGCAGTGTACTGCTGGATATACGGTTTGGGGGTGGAGTCTTCAAGCTTGGGTCTCCATGAGGGTGGGTGTGGGAATGGTTGTTTTGGCAGGTGGTGGTCTTATTTAATCTAGTAAGTCACTTTGAACACATTGGGGGCATTGCACACTGAGAAAGGCCATGTGCCTAAAAACACTATAGGTAATAAACAGCAATTGGATAAATATTTGCAAAAACATAACATACAGGGATATAATTTCTAATTAGTGGGGTAATAGCTGCTTGATACAAGGAGATATCTGACTGCCATTTTGGGGTCAAGAAGAAATTTTGTCCTAGTTTGTTGCAAAATGAAAAGTGCTTCAGACTAGGTTTTTGCCTTCTTTTGGATCAACAGCAAAAACATATGTGAGGAAGGCTGAACTTGGTGGACACAGGTCTATTTTCATCTATCTAACTATGTAACTATGTAATATGCATTTGTTTCTTTGAATAAACTTTGGGCAACACTAGTGACTCTTTGCACATATAGCTTAATTTCTCTTGTTCTTTGGTCTCTTTGTTGTACTGGATGATACAAACACTGCTGTGTTTTAACCCCTTAAGGACACAACTTCTGGAATAAAAGGGAATCATGGTGGAATTTTTCCATCATGTGTCCTTAAGGGGTTAAAGGTAGCAGTAGTGGAACATATTCTAACTTTTACAGGTTCTGCAGTCACCTGCCTCACAATCTTTTTTTGCTTACTATATTTAAGGAGATGGTTCTTTACTGAGCAGAGGGTGCAATTAATTGTGCCACCTTGAAAAATCCAGACAGCTGTTTGTTTGCCTAGGTCAAAATTCATATCCAGAAAGTGCGACATCTGAGTCACAAGTCACGAGTCATCAGCGTCAAGTGATTTATCATGGCAAGTAACAGTCTCCGAATGGCTTTATCCAATTATCCAGATTGCAGTTTTCCACCGTAGCAATGGGAAGTAGTGTCTCTAATTATGCAGAACTATTGAACTACATGGTGTTTCTTCAAATCTTCTTTTGTCCTGTGGAATTATGAAGAAAACAATGAAATTAAAAAATTTCACCCAGTCAGATGAGTTCCTGGAACAACAACTCTTTGGATAACTTTTTTCTCCTTAATCCTGATCTCTTGACCACCCTTCAGGTAATTGGTGCTACCATCCACAGCTTCATTACCGCTGCATTCTTTTGGTCCTTTCTTCTTTCTCCACATCCAATCAATAACCATATTCTGCTACTTTCATCTTAAAGAAATAACATGTATTTCCCCCTGACACAAGGTGCAATAAAATTACGTTTTCATAGGCACATTTTTAAAACCTGCAGCCCACTGACCCTTCATAATACACATATTCAGATTACCCTCTAACAGTCCATAGAGAATTCTGCTTCCAAAATTATCTTTTTCTGCTCACACTTAACAGCTTTGCCATTTATTGCACAATCTTCCTTAGGGAAGCACAAATGCTAACCAACCAGTTTCTCTCACTACAGCACTCTAACTTCACTGTCTGATGTGGAAAATCTGCTCAAATCAATCCAACTGTTATCTACTGTATGTTATATTACGAGTATATTGAATAGTGTTAGTACACCTTGTCCTATCTTCTGGATAACTTACACTTGCTCTTGTGTATAATTATTGCCCACTTCCTTTAGACTGTAAGCTTGTTTAATCGTTATCTACATCACCGATTTTTTTTTTTTTTTCCATACGCTGGACTTTTATTGTCAAAATTACTTGTCTTCTCTATGTACCCATTTTACAGTAGTACGTATTGGCGCTTTAAAAATGGAAATAATAATCAAAGAACATGAATAATAAGGTTACGTGATTAAAGATACTTTTTTGGGTCCTGTATCTATGTACACATGGACAGACTCAACACCTGCCTCAGAAGTGAGATCTCTTGGCCTTTAACCATCATGACTCCTTTTTGGAGGTGCAGGATGATGCTAATAGACTTAAGTCTTAAGTCTAACATAAGATGGATTAATGATGAGGTTTTCATCAGTCTCTTTTATTTAGTCCCTCAGTTTCTTTAAAAGGACAATGAAAGCACCCAGACCACTTCAGCTAATTGAAGTGGTCTGGGTGCTGTGTCAATTTTGCAGTTAGTGCTGCAATGTAAAACATTGCTGTTCCAGAGAATGTTTACATTGCAGCTCTAAGTCTACCCTCTGTGGCTGTCTAACAGATGGCCACTGGGGCGCTTCCGGATTCGTAATGGACTTTTGGTCTGTGATCTGACGCTGGACGTCCTCACGGACCTCCAGCATCAGATTTTCCCCATAGGAAAGCATTGAATAAGGTGAGTTTTATACTTAACTGAACCCAGGTCCGGACTGGCCATCGGGCTGGTGCTGCCTGACCTCCCTACCATAGAGGGAGCTCTGTACGGTGGGGAGATCAAAGATCTCTCTCACCAGCCTGCTCACTGATGCACAGCCCAGGCCCTGTGCACATGGTCTACATCTGTCAAGGGGTGTAGACCAGATACTTCTTCCACTGGACCACCAGGGAAAATAATTCCTCCCCAGCACCCTCTCATGCCTTAAGGATCAAGGTAAGGAAGAGGGATTGGTGAGTAGGTTTTTGTTTTTTGCCCCATGTCATCCTTCCTCACCCAGCAGTCCCTACCCCACCCTCTTTTACACCCTGCAGTCCCTGCCCCCCTTTCACCCAGAAGCCCCATGTGCCCACTCACACCCTGCAGCCCCTGTCTTCCCCTCTCACCCTGCAGCCCTCGCCATTCTCTCACCCTGTAGCCACTGCCCCACTATTACCCTGCAGCCTCTGCCCCACTATTACCCTGCCATTCCTGTCTCCTCTCACCCTGGGACCCCTGTCACCATCTCACCCTGCATTCCCTGTCCCCCTCTTACCTTGCAGCCCCTGTCCTCCTCTCACGCTGCATCCCCTGCCCCCCTCTCACGCAGCCCCAGTGGCGGATCCAGAGCCTGATCTCGGGAGGGGCACTTGTAGATTATTTAAATAAATAATCCAGGCACAATAACCACTACAGCTCAGTGTAGTAGTTATGGTGTCAGTAGTGCCAGGATTCCACCCCAGAGTAAGTAGTCATACCGTTTAAGAACAGTTTGACAACTTACCTGGGATCTGCTGGGATATAGGGTATAGGAGCAGTGGTGTGTGTTAAGGGTAAAAGTGTGTGAGTGCGGCAGTGTATGTCAGGGTTGTAGTGTGTGTGTTAGGGGGCAGTGTATGTATGGGGGCACTGTATGTGTTTTTGGGGCAGTGTGTGTGTATGGGGGGCAGTGTGTGTATGGGGACAGTGTTTGTGGGGCAGTGTGTGTATGGGGACAGTGTTTGTGGCGCAGTGTGTGTATGGGGACAGTGTTTGTGGGGCAGTGTATATGGGGGCAGTGTGTGTATGAGGACAATGTTTGTGGACCAGTGTGTGTATGGGGACAGTGTTTGTGGCGCAGTGTGTGTAGGGGACAGTGTTTGTGGCGCAGTGTGTGTATGGGGACAGTGTTTGTATGGGGTGTTGTATGGGGCAGTGTGTGTATGGGGACAGTGTGTGTATGTATGGGGCAGGGTGTGTATGGGGACAGTGTGTGTATGGGGGGCAGTGTGTGTGTTTGTGGGGCAGTGTGTGTATGGGGACAGTGTTTGTGGGGCAGTGTGTGTGCATGGGGGCAGTGTGTGTATGGGGACAGTGTTTGTGGGGCAGGTGTGCAGGCTGGGGGCAGTGTGTGTATGGGGACAGTGTTTGTGGGATAGTGTGTGTATAGGGACAGTGTTTGTGGGGCAGTGTGTATATGTGGGGCAGTGTATGGGGACAGTGTGGGGCAGTGGTGGGGCAGTGTGTGTATGGGGAGTGTGTGTAGGGGGCAGTGTGTGGGTGACATGTGTGTGGGGTAGTGTGTGTATGTGGGGCAGTGTGTGTATGGGGACAGTGTGTGTAAGGGGACAGTGTGTGTATGGGGACAGTGTTTGTGGGGCAGTGTGTACATGTGTGGCAGTGTGTGTATGGGGACAGTGTTTGTGGGGCAGTGTGTGTATGGGGACAGTGTTTGTGGGGCAGTGTGTGTATGGGGGGCAGTGTTTGTGGGGCAGAATATTTATTTTAAAAATTTATTATAAAAGAAAACCCTCCCCCCCCCCATTACACACACTGCCCCGCAAACACTATCCCCATACACACACACTGCCCCCCTGTAATGGGGCAGTGTGTGTAAAGGGGGGGGGGAGGAGGCTTTTTAATAATAATTAATAATAATTTTTTATAATTTTTTTAAATAAAATAAATATGTCCCCCCTCCCTTCTTACCTTTATTGAGGAGGAGGGGGGACATTTCTCCGTCCCTGGTGGTCCCAGTGGTGATTCCCTGGTGGTCCAGTGGGGAGAGTGAAGTCTAGCCCGCGCTCCAGGGCTAGAGTTCACTCTCGCGAGATTTGGAGTGTTGCCGTGGTAACCGCGGCAACGCTCCAAATCTCACGAGAGGAGGACCCGGAGGAGCTGCAGCCTGAGCTCCCGGGTCCTCTCTCTCACTCACTCCGCCGCCGGCTGTCAGCACGGTGCCTGCGGACCGGGGAGGGAGATCTCTGATCTTCCTCCCTGGTCCGCAGGCACATTGCAGGGCTGGCACTTGGGAAATGCCAGCCCTGCGTTAGCCGGCAAGGGGGAATCTCGGGGGGGACAATTGCCCCATTGCCCCCCTCCTGGATCCGCCAATGCGCAGCCCTCCCTGTCTCCCTCCCACTCAGCAGCCCATATTCCCCCACCCAGCAGCCCTGTCTTCCCCTCTCAGCTTGCAGCCCCATGTCCCCTCTCTTATACTCAGCATTCCCTGTCTCCCTGCCCCCCCTTATATCCTGCATCCCCTTTCTCCCTCTCTCATACCATGCATCCTATATTTCCCCCTCTAACCCAGAAGCTTCTGTCCCACCACCCAGCACTCCCACCAGGACCCCCCCCTCTTCACCTCTCACACAGCAGCCCCTACCCCCCCACACCTCACCTTGCAGCCCTTGCCCCCTCTCACCTTTCATCCCCATGTCCCCCTCACACCCTGCCCTTCCTATCACCCAGCAGCCTCTCTCATATCCTGTATCCCGTGTCTCCACCTCTCACCCAGCAGCCCATGCCCCCCCACCCACAGACACTGTCCCACCTCTCACCCAGCAGCCCTTGCCCCACCTCTCACCCAGCAGCCCCATGTCCCCTCTCTCACCCAGCAGCCCCATGTCCCCTCTCACACCCTGCAGCCCCATGTCCCCTTCCTACACCCTGCAGCCCCATGTCCCCTCTCACACCCTGCAGCCCCATGTCCCCTTCCTACACCCTGCAGCCCCATGTCGCCTTTCACACCCTGCAGCCCCATGTCCCCTACCTACACCCTGCAGCCCCATGTCCCCTTCCTACACCCTGCAGCCCCATGACCCTTCTCAACACCCTGCAGCCCCATGTACATTCTCACACTCTGCATCTCTTATTCCGCCCTCACACAACAACCCCTATTGATGACAGCTGGGGGAAATGACTAAACTTGACGTTGGTAGTTCAAGTTTTATCAGACATATAAAAAATACTAAGTACAGTAGTTCCTAATGTTTATCTTTGACTGAGTTGGAATTACAGTGAAATGGCAATGTGAGTATTTCATAAACATTTTAGAAATACTCAATTTGAAGGGGGTGGTGACAGTGCCACATTACACTTAATTGTGTATTGCTTGAAGCCTATAAAACCTCAGAGACTGTTACTTGTAGGATGATTTTCAGAGTTAGATTATCAGTGTGAAAGGGTTAAGCAAGAAAATGCAACTTAATTTAGAGAGCATATTGGTTATACCTGGTTTTCTTGACATCAGAATTCTTGAACTCAGTCATTTAAGTTGAAACCCAGTCTTTTCCTCCTCCTCTTCTATATTTCTGTTTGAAACCTCAGGAATCTAAAGAACCAACACACAGGAATATACATATAAATTGAACTCAAGATTCCTGTTGTACATTGTTCTAACCTTGTGGACTTATTGGATGCATCTACATTTGTATATAATCTCAACAGATAATAGTCAATTGATACTTGAACCAACTAAACAAATCTTACATTTAAAATACAGGTTTGCAACAAGCATATGCAATTGCACAACAAATAATCCCTCTCTGCACTAACCCAATTTGGTCGATAGGGGTCACTATTTGAGTCTCACTATTCCTGAGTAATAAGTACCGTTCTAACCCAGTTAATGAAGCCAGAGTAAGTGGAATATTTATTTTATTTTAAACACAAAAGACTGCACAGTATCATAAGTAGTCCAAAATCTGTGAGTATACAAAGTATACACCAAGACTGAAGTTACAGGATGCAAAACTGGCTGTTCCCTACATTGGCCATTAGCACAAAGGCTAAACAAGCAAGACATCCCTGTTTAATGGCCACTTGGCCAGTTGTCTTGCACCAAATACAAAGATACATAAACTAAAGGAAGGGAAAAATAAAACCTAGTGAGTGCACTAAACGCGCGTTGTAGCTGCAGGCCTGGTGTGTTATTCCGTTAACCCATACATTCGAGGTGTCTTATGATACTGTGCAGCCCTTTGTGATTTTTTACCATTTTGTTAACCAGCTAAGACTGTGTACCACACAGGAATAATAAGACTCAAATAGTGACCCCTAGTAACAGGATCAAGGCAGTGCAGGGAGGAATTATTGTGTAATTACATGTGCTTGTTGCAAATTTGTATTTTAAATATAAGATTGTGTTTCCTTTTGTTGATTAAAGTATCATTTAACTATAGCGTTCATTGACCTAGATATCGTAAAAAGGTTGGTATGATAGAAACATACGCCATTTTTAAATGAAAAAAAAAAAAGGATTTTTGACGTACAGTCGTTTACGTCTTTTTTTCCCCATATTTCTTGTTTTAAAGATCTGGCATAGATAGAGGATTAAATGTCCCATTGTTCACTACCAGTATGGTGCTGCATAATATCTTCATATACAGGTAAAAAAAGGGTATGCATGATGATACAGAGCTTCTGGGCTAACACAATTTAGTACTTGTAGGAACCTCACCACGTGGAATTGTATATTCTTAAGCACATTAATGTGTGCAACAACAAATTTGTTTCTATAAATAACATTTTCTTAAATAAATACATTTTATTTATTTATTTTTCCCATGAAGTTTGGGGTATGCAGGTGGGGTGGGGTAACAGCTTCAGTTCAATAGACAAACCAACACAAAGGCAGCCTGCAAATATCATCCCTTATTCTTTCAGAGCCCTGATATGATTAGAGTCTACTTACCAGTGAACACCGTATTTTCCGGCGTATAAGACGACTGGGCGTATAAGACGACCCCCAACTTTTCCAGTTAAAATATAGAGTTTGGGATATACTCACCGTATAAGACTACCCCTCTTCCAATGCACACCAAATAAAAATTAGCCATGATGTACAGTGAGCAGACTGAGCTACACAGCAAGACATTAAATAATGATAATCTGAAATAGCATTTAAAGCCCAGGTATGTGCCAGGCTGTTTGGGCATATAATCCATGCCTGCTGGTCTAGCACACAGGAGGCTAATTGCGATATATTCTTCTTACTCCCCCCCTCCATCATGTCCCCCCCCCCCAATCCTCCCTACGTTCTTCTCACCTCCCCTTCCCTGTGCAGAGTGGGTGGCCGAGCTCCTCTTCATCTTGTCAGTCCGGCCGGACTTCCTTTCAGTCCGGCCAGGAACAGGTAACTGAATCTCCTGTACCGCGCGGTACCCGGCCGGACTGACAGGACGAAGAGGAGATCGGCCACCCACTCTGCACAGGGAAGGGGAGGTGAGAAAAGGCAGTGCGGCAGCCGTCTGAGCGCTCTCTATAGAGCACTCAGACGGCTGCAGCATTAGAAGGGCCGGCGATGGGGACGCAGGGCGCCCCCGGCAGCCATATAGACCCTCTACCCGACGTATAAGATGACCCCCGACTTTGGAGAAGATTTTCCAGGGTTAAAAAGTCATCTAATGCGCCAGAAAATACTGTAATTCTTCACAGAAAATCGTGTGCAGACTTTGTTCTGCAAAGACAGAGAAGTTTAAAAAATATTATGTGAATTAGATCCAACTATATACTTCTCCCCAGTCAAGCTTCACAGCATAAGAGTGCCTCAAGCAGACCCCATTGCTTGGTCAAGCCCCTACAAAATACAATTCCTGGATAATTTCTATGAAGTCATCGAACTATAGATGAAGGTAGAAAGTGATTTTTGCTTTAAGCACCAAGATCAGTCATATTGAACATTTCCTATTTTTTACTTTTTCTTTCAGACAGACCTCTCAGGAATCGGGGGGCTTAGATGTGTCAGAATGATTCCTTTTAAGTAAGTCATTTTCACTTACAGAATCTTGACGGGAAAATACTTGACAGAATAGATGTGTGTATGCATGAGGCTGTTTAGTGCATAGATGTATCATAGTTACATAGCTGAAAAGAGACTTGCGTCCATCAAGTTCAGCCATCCTCACACATGTTTTTGCTGTTGATCCAAAAGAAGGCAAAAACCCCCAGTCTGAAGCGCTTCCAATTTTGCAACAAACTAGAAAAAAATTCCTTCTTGACCCCAAACCAGCAGCCAGATATCTCCTTGGATCAAGCAGCTGTAACCCCACTAATTAGAAATTATATCCCTGTATGTTATGTAGTTATCCAATTGCAGTTTAAACACCTGTATGGACTCTGATAAAATCACCTATTCCGGCAGAGAATTCCATATCCTTATTGCTCTTACTGTAAAAAAATACTCTTTCTTTGCTTTAGATTAAATCTCCTTTCTTCCAGCCTAAATGTGTGATGTCGTGTCCTATGTATAGCCCTGTTTATGAATAGATTTCCAGATAATGGTTTGTACTGGCCCCGAATATATTTGTGTAATGTTATCATAACCACACTGAGGCGCCGTTTTTCCAAACTAAAGAGATTTACATTTTTTTTTTATCATACATCATGTATGTATAAGGCAGTTTGTGTGTCTGTTTGGATGCATTTATAAGGCAGTGTGTGTGTCTGTATGGATGTTTCTATAATGTTGTGTGAATGCATGCGTGAAGTTGTATGAGTGTGTGTATGGGGATTTGTACAAGACTGTGTGAGTGTATGAGTATGTGTGTGTGTATAAGGACGTGTAAGTGTGGATGGATTTTTGAATAAGGCAGTGTAAATTTGGTTATGGTGTAGTTATGGTGTGTGAAGGGTACAGTGTAAAAGTTTTAGGATTTGTGTGAGCGTATAAATATATGGCAATGTGTTTACACATGTGTCTCTATTATACAATGATGACAGTCTCCCTTCTCTGTGTTATGGGCAAATGCAAATATTACAGGTTTTAGGATGAAATGTTGTATTTCTAAAACTGTGTGCAAACGGACAAGGTGTTAGAAATGAAACATATTGTTTTTCATAAATATTTCTTTAAGCAATAACCTCTTACCTACCTACAGTGCATATTATGTTTGCGCCATTTTGTCCCAGACGAATTACAATCACAATAATGCATAAACAAGCTTCAAGGCTATTTTATGACTCTTTCAGTACACAATATACTGTGGTAATCTTAAGTAGATAAGGTTCAGACTTTAAGATGCTATCTTGAACTAAGTCAGGAAAATTTCCATGACTATACACCCTTTAGTTATGGCCTTGTATGTTTGCCAAGTTAAGGGAGGTCCTAAAATGAATAAAGTAAAAGAAGTGTTACTTTTTCATATATGAACTACGGTAACCCTAAAATGAAAACACCTAAGGGATAAATAGGTGTACTTTTAAATGTTAAGACACAGAGGAGAGACTTGGAGACAGATGCTGCTCCATCTTAAAATGACAGAGAGGCTGACTTGATCAGGAGGGTATGTTAACCTATTAATGATATTTTCAAGCATTTAGTTTAATCTTATAAACTCTGCTAAAAATTATTGCAATGGATTTTATGTCTATATTTATATTTTTATATAATAAAAGACCAAACGTTATTGCTTCCAAGACAATCCTTATTTTATATTGTATTCTCAATTATTTATATATGTTAAATAGAGGATCTCTTACACCAACTAACTATATATAAAATTATGGCTAAGATATCTGTATGGTTAGCCCTACTAAGCTTTAAGATGTTATAGTGGTAAATAAGGGAACCAGCCGCAGTTATATCCAGATAGAATTAGCACCTGTACAGCAATTCACGTGAATGCGCCAATAAATTGCAATGATCTCCAAATAGAATGTTTCTGTAGGAAAGAATTAAACAAATGTTTCAATATGGAATTTCTTACTTCCACTTAAAGGAATATTCAAGCTTGATAAATAATGACGCCCATCTGGCTGCCATGTTGCTGGTCACTCTGCGTTCCTAATGCAATTCACAGAAAAGCTGATTTATCTTGAATTTGAATTTTTTTAGGAATTGAGTAAGGGGGACATGCAGTAAACCATTAATGCACTTGAGCAAGCAAAAGTATTTAAGCGGTCTGATGGGGGAGAAGGATGATCAGCCATGAAGACTGATGGTCAATTCGCTAAATACCAAAGTGCAGTAAATTGAAAAATTAAATTGTGAAATTTAAAATAGTTCATTTAGAAATACTCTCCAGCTCAGCTGCAGTCACAGCTGAAACCAGAATTTAGCAATTCTGCTTGATTCACAGCAGTTTGGAGTTTAGTGAGTAAACCCTGAGATAATGAAGGTGAACTTACAAATGGGTGCCAAAACATATTAAATATTTCCCTTTTTTATTTGACCCCCATCCTGCTTACCTGTTGGAAGGATCGGGAAAAAGTGGAGATATGTAGGGGAACTTCCCCACACACACTCAACTTTCTTCCTCAGCACACACATGGTTGATGCAAGTATTTTTGCCTACACGGGCAAGATGCATTTTGCTGCTACCCCGCCCTGTGTATCTCCCTTTTCAATTACCCCTTTTTGTGTTTCTTATCCACTCTTTTGAATATCTTATCCCTGAAGTGTATTTTTTCGCCCCTTTGTGTGTCCCTTTCTCGTCCCATCGCCTGTCTGTCTCTTCCCCCAGCACCTTCATGTTCAACAGATAAACCAACACTAAAAGGCAGCTTTCAAATTTCATCCCAATCTCATTCATTGAGAGCCCTGCCATGATTAGATTCTACTTACCAATGGACGCTTCTCAGTAGAAAGCCGTGTGCGGACTTTTTGCTAAAAAGACAGAAAAGTTTAAAAATATTACTTGCATTTGACTCATATTTACTCATTTTATCTCTTTATCCATCGACTGGCACAACCTGTGTTTGTGCATTTTCTATAATATCAGAAAGACCTCCTGTCATCCCACCAACCTCTTCATAACTTACCGGCATAGCTGAATCCATGGAATAGCGTCGATTAGCTTTTAAACTCTGTGTCACCTTATCTTCTCTCTACGTACATAGAGGAGAAACAATGTATTATCCGAAAAATAATTAAGGAAAATTGTGGGTTAATGATGTGGCTATTTGCAGACATTAGTTTAATGAACATCTGAGGATCTTTTTTAAATTAAACCTCCAAAGGGTCTGTTTCTTGCTGCCTATTTACAATGGCTGCAAAAAAAGCTCAATATTTTTCAGCCACCTGGGAAGTCCCATTCAAGTGTACGAGTGTAACACTGAGCAAAGTGCGCGTAAATATATTCTGGCAGGTAGAAACCACAGTAGTCACTCCCTCTTGGTCCCGTACGCCGTACTGTGGATCCATCCAATACATCAAGTTTATAACTCTGTATTAGTTTTACTACCTAGTGTTTTACATTGTGTCCTTTTAATATTTCAAATAATGTATAAAGTATGAATAACTGTGTTTTAAGGGGTTTGGCTAGAAAGGTGACCATCACACAATCTCATTTTACTTTGAAGTCTATTCATAGCCGCTTTATTAGTTTTGCCATTCATGAGAGGAGCAAAGGACATTGTTTACAACAGCTGTGAAGCTCTGTTATGCATTCAATTTACTCTCTGTGATACATTCATACACTATGCACAATGCTGTGAATTGTTATACTGTGTAGCTCTGTGACTAGTGAGAGTTCTGTTGTAGTGGATCTCTGTGATGTACTCATCCATAAACAGTCTTAGTTCCTAGAGAAGAGAAACATCGTGGTAGGAAAAAGTAATCTGTGCTATAAAATGGGTCTTTTTCACCTAAAACTGTGACAGTTGGTAGGTGTACAATGCTTAGCATCCCCGCACCAAGCTCTTATGAAACCATCACTGTTACACTATGCCATCCAGTGTAATGGGGTTTATAAACCAGGCACCAATACAGGACATAAGAGGATGAGTGCCTTGCTTCAGTACAAGGCCTAAGATAGGTTGGGATGCTGTTCTGATGGATAAAGGCCTTTGACAAACTGGCTATGCCAAAGAAGATTTATCAGGTGGACAAAGGACAGACCCCTATAACGTGTAACTATATTAAAGTTGTATAACCCTTGGTGTCCTTGTCTCCTATGCAGATTGTGACACCTCGTATCTTACGTGGAGACAGTGGCGTACTAAGGGGGGGCGGTCCTCCACGGGTGCCAGCAGGGTGGGGGGGTGCCTTGGGAGGGGGCGCCGGCCACCCATCTGCAACCGCCCGAGCGCTCTGTAGAGAGCCTCAGGCGGCTGCAGCTTTGCCCAGGCGGTGCGTCCATGAGGGCGGACCGCACCGCCCGGGCGCAGGCTGAGGAGAGGGGCTCACAGGAGGGAAGCGCTCAGTGTGCAGTTCCTTTTAGTCCGGCCGGGTACAGGAAACAAAAGCTCCCTGTACCCGGGGACCAATAGAGGGCTCGGCCACGCTACAACTGAGGTGGGGGGAGGGGAGAAAGATATTAGGGGGGGGGGAGAATGACATTCATCACACACAGACACACATACACAAGCAATGCAACCGTTACACACAATGCATCCCTTACACACACAGAAACACACAATGCATTCATTACACACATTCAATGCATCCCGTACATACACAGAAACACACCTTGCAGCCCTTGCACATACAAACACAAGTTCACACAATGCATTCCTTACACACATATCAGGACATCCCCTACACACTCCACCCCCTGTGAACAAACTCATTGGTGGAACATGAAGGTGGACCCTGGGACCCAGACCATGAGCTGTGTAAAGGACCCCCAAAATATGGAGCTGCTTCCCGTTCTCCCAGAACATTGATTTTTGTGACCACAGTTACAAACCGTCTCCAGAGAGCCTGTTCTGCACCAGACCAGTGGAGCCAGACTGCAGCTAGAGCCCATCATCATCCTCATCTGGTTGTAAGTAGGCAATCTAGTATATTATTCGTGGCACTAATCTCTAATTTACCTCACATTAAAGAAACACTATAGTCCCCAGAACCACTTCAGCTTAATGTAGTGGTTCTGGTGTCTATAGCCTGTCCCTGCAGGCCTTTTAATGTAAACACGGCGGCACTGCAGCACTGGCATTAGTTAACATGGCAAATCATATGGGTGGGGCATTGTGATGTCACATGGGGGGGGGCGGCAAACTTTACTTTTGCCTAGGGCGGCAAAAATCCTTGCACCGGCCCTGGCTGGAGGGGGCTGTGTGAGCTGTGGCCGCACAGTGCCCATGGTAGTTAGGGTGCCGTGCGGCCAGTACAGCTCACACAAGCAAACAGCTGATAAACTGGCCGCACGGAGGAAAAGTGTATGTGTGACTGTCTGTCTGTGACTGTGTGTGACTGTCTGCCTGTGTCTGACTGTGTGTGACTGTCTGTAACTGAGTGTGTGGGGCTGCAGGGATTTTGTAGAAGGGGGCGGGGGTTTTGTATTAGGACAGGAGTCTTTATAAGGGGGGATAAGCAGGGGATTTGTGGAAGGGGGTTGCGGGGGTTTTGTAGACGGGGCAGTACAGGAATTGTAGAAGGGGCAGGACAGAGGTTTTGTAGGAGGAGCGGCGCAGGACAAGGGTTTTGTAGGAGGGGCTGACAGCGGTTTTGCAAAGTTTACAAATTGTAAAAAAAAAAAGAGAGAAAACCTTTAACATTTTTTACAGGTTCTTTTTTTTTTTGGGTGGGGGGGGAGGGGTTGCCAAGCACAGGATCCGCCCCGGGTGCCAAATGCTCTAGGTACGCCCCTGCGTGGCGATTTAACATATTACATATCTCCATACCATGTTGACTACCATCCACTCCAATTGGCAATGCCATATTTGCAACCTGAATCCATTCGATACTTACCAGAGAAAAGCTAGACGAATGTATTCTTGCAGGCCTTGTGATTGGAGTGTCTTGGTTTTCCTGTATGGATTAAACAAAGTGGAGATTTCTGAGACCACTTGGAGGACTAACCTCTTAGTTATAACAGGTATGGATTCCTTAACAATTTAGTTTTCAATTAATACCAACACTAATGATCATCTGAAAATATAAACACATTAACAGTGTAATTAAACCCTAAACAGCAACTAAAAAGGCTCATTTCTATCAAAACAAATAACCACAGTTCCACTCCTTTAGAAGATAATTATTTTAATACTAAATTAATGGGCTTATAATTACGTTTAAGACAATTAGGCCTCGGTCTAGCTAGCATCAAGCAGGCGGAGACAGGGCCATTCTTTTTTTTTTAAATTATATTATTCCATGAGCAGCGGCATTACAATTCACACAGACCTAGGTGGTGGACTCCTCCACTGCCCCCTAGTGGTGTTCTTTGTTATTAAATAAAGTGATTGCCTGCAAGAGGTTGACACTGCGATGGGAATATGCAGAATTATGAGGACCAACAATTGCAGTTATTGACTTATAGCCTGCACGTAAATATATCTGTGTTGATCTACATCATCAACCACCAGCTCTCATTTCACTTCTTGGGGCCCTGTAATGTATCATATCTAAATGAGAACACAGGAAGCAAGTTTATCAAATTACCAATAAATAGATAATTAAATGTTGTTCCCGGTGTTTGCAACAATGTTGGATAAACCTTTGCTTTTATTGCAAATATAGCTGGGCCATTGAGTCACTACATTTTTGTGCCATTATTTGTTTATGTATTTATGTTTTTCCAATAAAGACAGGGGATTATACTCTTTTTAATTATATTCTGTCAATAAAGCTATTGCAAATCTTATATATTTTTTATTCCTTCAGTTCTAAGAGATTAGGACTAATATCTTGGATCTTTTAACTGATTTTTAGGTACCCATTCAGATTGTATTACTTGATTGTCCTACTCTTCTATATTCCCCTTTTGACAGGCTTTCATTTTTTCTGCACATACTGAATAAAAGACTGCTTAGTAGATTTTACCTTTTTTTGTTAATTTCATTTGTTTTAAACTGATTACCGTATATACTCGTGTATAAGTCGATCTCATGTATAAGTCGAGTGCAGTTTTGTGACCAACAATTGTGAAATATACTATGCCTCGTGGATAAGTCGAGGGTAAAACTTGGGGCTATGAAATTCTGTGATTTTTATAATTATATACACACACACACTCATACAAACACACACTCTACATTATATACACACACACTCATACAAACACACACTCTGCATTATATACACACACACACTCTGCATTATATACACACACACACACACTCATACAAACACACACTCTGCATTATATACACACACTCTGTGTAAGTGTGGATGTAAGTGTGGATGGATTTTTGAATAAGGCAATGTGAATTTGGTTAGGGTGTGTAGGGTACAGTGTAAGAATGTTAGGATTTGTGTCAGCGTATAAACATGTGTCTCTATTATACAGTGATAACAGTCTCCCTTCTTCTCCGCATAGAATTAGCACATGTGCAGCAATTCACGTGAATGCGCCAATAGAATGCAATAATCTCCAAATAGAATGTTTCTATAGGAAAGAATTAAACAAATGCTTCCCTGTGGAATCTGTCACTTCCACTTAAAGGAAAATTCAAGCATGCTGAATAAGGACGCCCATCTGACTGCCAGGTTGCTGGCCACTCGGCGTTCCTAATTCAATTCACAGAAAAGCTGATTTATCTTTGTGGTGAAACCAACCTCGCCACTGGGCATTAGAGAAGCCTGGTTGCCCGCCTCCTGCCTGCTGACTATGGCCCCTGGGAGATTTGGGCCTTTAAATACAGTATTTGGGCATATTGTATGTTATTATGCTGCTGGCCCTTTAAGGCCCAAAGAAAGGATTTTGTACTTTTAAACTGGCACTTCTGATGCAGTCGAAGTTGTCGAAGTCGTCAAAGTGTCGAAGTTGTCGAAGTGGCCGCCATTCGAATACCGAACACGTGGCGGCGGCCATTTTAACTAATTCGAACGGGGTCAGCGGTGTGTGCAGCCAAATCTATGAATCTGTTTGCGGCTATCCAATTGCACGAACACCGCTGACTCATACGTTTTACTCTACTTCGACACTGCGGCTGGAAACTAAGTCCCGTTCGAAGATTCGAACGCTCGTTCGAATGGCACTTAGTCATTTTCTCAGTGTAAAATAGACCGACCGCACAGCCCAAATCCATGGAACTGTTATGGGCATGAAAATGTGCCTGCGGTCAGTCAAAAGTGACTTATATGTATCTCCTGAACGGCTGAACGGATTTGAATGATTTTTGTGTATGTTTGTATTGGGAATGTGCCGATTAATAATATGTGACTTGTATTAATATTGGATGTATGGTTTTAGAGTTATGAAAGTTGGGTAAAAAGTGTGTTTTCAAATGTATGGATAATTGGGTTACCTCTCAGGCTAAGGGGAGGAGATGAGTGGGATGTAACCATTGTGTGATTGGGTATTGTGTAATTGTCTGTGGGCGTCTCCCTTGCAGGGGAGAATTGCATAAAAGCAGAGTATGTGTCATTAAAAGTCAGTTCTACTTCACCCTCAATTTGGAGTGCCGTCTCTTATTGGGGGAATCTGCTACAAGAGATTGCTATGCTCTGCATACTCCCTTGCTATAATCACTAAGCTCTTGTTTTTTGCTCTCTGAAGGAGTCTACGGTGGTTGTGGTGTCTGCTGCAGTGCTTGGAGTCCTCAGGAAGCGCTAGGAGCATCCTTCAATGGAGGTACCCAGTCGGGGTGCCCGTCGATCCGTTACAATCTTGAATTTGAATTTTTTAGTAATTAAGTAAGGGGGACATGCAGAAAACCCCTAATGCACTTCAGCAAGCAAAAGTATTTAAGGGGTCTGGTGGGTCCCTTTCAACAGAGAGGAATGAGAGGGGAGAGGGGAGAAGGATGATAAGCCATGAAGACTGATGGTCAATTTGCTAAATACCAAAGTGCAGTAAATTGAAAATTAAATTGTGAAATTTAAAATAGTTCATTTAGAAATACTCTCCAGCTCAGCTGCAGTCACAGCTGAAACCAGAATTTAGCAATTCTGCTTGATTCACAGCAGTTTGGAGTTCAGTGAGTAAACCCTGAGATGTTGATGGTGAACTTACAAATGGGTGCCTAACTATATTAAATATTTCCCTTTTTTATTTGACCCCCATCCTGCTTATCTTTTGGAAGGATCGGGGAAAAGGGGGAGATATGTAGGGAAACTTCCCCACACACACTCAACTTTCTTCCTCAACACACACATGGTTGATGCAAGTATGTTTGGCTACACGGGCAAGATGCATTTTGCTGCTACCCGGCCCCACAAAAAAAAGCATCTTAACCTGTGTGTCTCCCTTTTCAATTACCCCTTTTCGTGTTTCTTATCCACTCTTTTGAATATCTTATCCCTGAAGTGTATTTTATCGCCCCTTTGTGTGTCCCTTTCTCGTCCCATCACCTGTCTGTCTCTTCCCCCAGCACCTTCATGTTCAACAGATAAACCAACACTAAAAGGCAGCTTTCAAATTTCATCCCAATCTCATTCATTGAGAGCCCTGCCATGATTAGATTCTACTTACCAATGGACGCTTCTCAGTAGAAAGTCGTGTGCGGACTTTTTGCTAAAAAGACAGAAAAGTTTAAAAATATTACTTGCATTTGACTCATATTTACTCATTTTATCTCTTTATCCATCGACTGGCGCAACCTGTGTTTGTGCATTTTCTATAATATCAGAGAGCCCTCCTGTCATCCCACCAACCTCTTCATAACTTACCGGCATAGCTGAATCCATGGAATAGCGTCGATTAGCTTTTAAACTCTGTGTCACCTTATCTTCTCTCTGCGTACATAGAGGAGAAACAATGTATTATCCGAAAAATAATTAAAGAAAATTGTGGGTTAATGATGTGGTTATTTGCAGACATTAGTTTAATGAACATCTGAGGATCTTTTTTAAATTAAACCTCCAAAGGGTCTGTGTCTTGCTGCCTATTTACAATGGCTGCAAAAAAAGCTCAATATTTTTCAGCCACCTGGGAAGTCCCATTCAAGTGTACGAGTGTAACACTGAGCAAAGTGCGCGTAAATATATTCTGGCAGGTAGAAACCACAGTAGTCACTCCCTCTTGGTCCCGTACGCCGTACTGTGGATCCATCCAATACATCAAGTTTATAACTCTGTATTAGTTTTACTACCTAGTGTTTGACATTGTGTCCAATCTCATTTTACTTTGAAGTCTATTCATAGCCGCTTTACTAGTTTTGCCATTCATGAGAGGAGCAAAGGACATTGTTTACAACAGCCGTGAAGCTCTGTTATGCATTCAATTTACTCTCTGTGACTTGTATTAATGTGGAGCTCTGTTATACATTCATACACTATGCACAATGCTGTGAATTGTTATACTGTGTAGCTCTGTGAATAGTGAGAGTTCTGTTGTAGTGGATCTCTGTGATGTACTCATCCATAAACAGTCTTAGTTCCTAGAGAAGAGGAACATCGTGGTAGGAAAAAGTAATCTGTGCTATAAAATGGGTCTTTTTCACCTAAAACTGTGACAGTTGGTAGGTGTACAATGCTTAGCATCCCCGCACCAAGCTCTTATAAAACCATCACTGTTACACTATGCCATCCAGTGTAATGGGGTTTATAAACCAGGCACCAATACAGGACATAAGAGGATGAGTGCCTTGCTTCAGTACAAGGCCTAAGATAGGTTGGGATGCTGTTCTGATGGATAAAGGCCTTTGACAAACTGGCTATGCCAAAGAAGATTTATCAGGTGGACAAAAGACAGACCCCTATAACGTGTAACTATATTAAAGTTGTATAACCCTTGGTGTCCTTGTCTCCTATGCAGATTGTGACACCTCGTATCTTACGTGGAGACAGTGGCGTACTAAAGGGGGGGAAGGGGGGCGGTCCGCCACGGGTGCCAGCAGGGTGGGGGGGTGCCTTGGGAGGGGGCGCCGGCCCCCCATCTGCAACCGCCCGAGCGCTCTGTAGAGAGCCTCAGGCGGCTGCAGCTTTGCCCGGGCGGTGCGTCCATGAGGGCGGACCGCACCGCCCGGGCGCAGCCTGAGGAGAGGGGCTCACAGGAGGGAAGCGCTCAGTGTGCAGTTCCTTTTAGTCCGGCCGGGTACAGGAAACAAAAGCTCCCTGTACCCGTGGACCAATAGAGGGCTCGGCCACGCTACAACTGAGGTGGGGGGAGGGGAGAAAGATATTAGGGGGGGGGGAGAAAGAGAAATTAGGAGGAGGGGGGGGGGAGATTGACATTCATCACACACAGACACATATACACAAGCAATGCAACCGTTACACACAATGCATCCCTTACACACACAGAAACACACAATGCATTCATTACACACATTCAATGCATCCCGTACATACACAGAAACACACCTTGCAGCCCTTACACATACAAACACAATTTCACACAATGCATTCCTTACACATGTATCAGGACATCCCCTACACACTCCACCCCCTGTGAACAAACTCATTGGTGAAACATGAAGGTGGACCCTGGGACCCAGACCTTGAGCTGTGTAAAGGACCCCCAAAAAATGGAGCTGCTTCCCGTTCTCCCAGAACATTGATTTTTGTGACCACAGTTACAAACCGCCTCCAGAGAGCCTGTTCTGTACCAGACCAGTGGAGCCAGACTGCAGCTAGAGCCCATCATCATCCTCATCTGGTTGTAAGTAGACAATATAGTATATTATTCGTGGCACTAATCTCTAATTTACCTCACATTAAAGAAATAATATAGTCCCCAGAACCACTTCAGCTTAATGTAGTGGTTCTGGTGTCTATAGCCTGTCCCTGCAGGCCTTTTAATGTAAACACAGCGGCACTGCAGCACTGGCATTAGTTAACATGGCAAATCATATGGGTGGGGCATTGTGATGTCACATGGGGGGGGGCGGCAAACTTTACTTTTGCCTAGGGCGGCAAAAATCCTTGCACCGGCCCTGGCTGGAGGGGGCTGTATGAGCTGTGGCCGCACAGTGTCCCATGGTAGTTAGGGTGCCGTGCGGCCAGTACAGCTCACACAAGCAAACAGCTGATAAACTGGCCGCACGGAGGAAAAGTGTATGTGTGACTGTCTGCCTGTGACTGTGTGTGACTGTCTGCCTGTAACTGAGTGTATGACTGTCTGTAACTGAGTGTGTGGGGCTGCAGGGATTTTGTAGAAGGGGGCGGGGGTTTTGTATTGGGACAGGAGTCTTTATAAGGGGGGATAAGCAGGGGATTTGTGGAAGGGGGTTGCGGGGGTTTTGTAGACGGGGCAGTACAGGAATTGTAGAAGGGGCAGGACAGAGGTTTTGTAGGAGGAGCGGCGCAGGACAAGGGTTTTGTAGGAGGGGCTGACAGCGGTTTTGCAAAGTTTACAAATTGTAAAAAAAAAAAGAGAGAAAACCTTTAACATTTTTTACAGGTTCTTTTTTTTTTTGGGTGGGGGGGGAGGGGTTGCCAAGCACAGGATCCGCCCCGGGTGCCAAATGCTCTAGGTACGCCCCTGCGTGGCGATTTAACATATTACATATCTCCATACCATGTTGACTACCATCCACTCCAATTGGCAATGCCATATTTGCAACCTGAATCCATTCGATACTTACCAGAGAAAAGCTAGACGAATGTATTCTTGCAGGCCTTGTGATTGGAGTGTCTTGGTTTTCCTGTATGGATTAAACAAAGTGGAGATTTCTGAGACCACTTGGAGGACTAACCTCTTAGTTATAACAGGTATGGATTCCTTAACAATTTAGTTTTCAATTAATACCAACACTAATGATCATCTGAAAATATAAACACATTAACAGTGTAATTAAACCCTAAACAGCAACTAAAAAGGCTTGATTCTATCAAAACAAATAACCACAGTTCCACTCCTTTAGAAGATAATTATTTTAATACTAAATTAATGGGCTTATAATTACGTTTAAGATAATTAGGCCTCGGTCTAGCTAGCATCAAGCAGGCGGAGACAGGGCCATTCTTTTTTTTTTTTTTTTTATTATTATATTATTCCATGAGCAGCGGCATTACAATGCACACAGACCTAGGTGGTGGACTCCTCCACTGCCCCCTAGTGGCGTTCTTTGTTATTAAATAAAATGATTGCCTGCAAGAGGTTGACACTGCAATGGGAATATGCAGAATTATGAGGACCAACAATTGCAGTTATTGACTTATAGCCTGCACGTAAATATATCTGTGTTGATCTACATCATCAACCACCAGCTCTCATTTCACTTCTTGGGGCCCTGTAATGTATCATATCTAAATGAGAACACAGGAAGCAAGTTTATCAAATTACTAATAAATAGATCATTCAATGTTGTTCCCGGTGTTTGCAACAGTGTTGGATAAACCTTTGCTTTTATTGCAAATATAGCTGGGCCCTCACTATATTTTTGTGCCATTATTTGTTTATGTATTTACATTTTTCCAGTAAAGACAGGGGACTATTCTCTTTTTAATTATATTCTGTCAATAAAGCTATTGCAACTCTTATAGCATACATTTTTTATTTCTTCAGTTCTTGAAAGTTCTATGTAATTAGGACTAATATCTTGGATCTTTTAACTGATTTTTACGTACCCATTCAGATTTCTCTACTCCCGACTGTCTCTACTCCCGGGAACTCCAGCTGTAGTTGGGGATCTGGGCCAGCTGCCCAGCATCCCTGTAGGGCCGGTGGAGAGATCTCGGTGCCATCTCCACCTGCAAGTTGAGGTTCCTCCCAGGACTAGTCTATAGGATCCCCTATTTCTGCAGCTGATTGGGAAACAGGGGATACCGCAGCCAAGTTTCTGGAGGACAGGTACTGCTCCTGAGGTGCTGGACCGATTATCTCTCCAGACGTCGGGCTGGTTGAACAAACTGGACTTACGGAACGCGTATTTCCCGGTTCCAATCACCATGGAACACAGACATTTTCTCCATTTTACCTGACGAGGAAAACATTGGAAGTTTACATGTATACCATTCGGTCTCTCATCAGCTCCTTGGTGTTTCACCAAGGTTATGAAACCGGTAATGTCTTTCCTCCGCACATGGGGTGTTTGGTTGATTATCTATCTGGACGACATCCTGATCATGTCCCAGTCGCGGGATCAGCTTCAGTTACATGTGACCTGGACAACCAATTTGCTTCAGAACTTGGGTTTCCTGATCAATTGGGAAAGGTCGGTGCTGACCCCAGCGCAATCCATAGAATTCTTGGCTTTCCGGGTGGACTCTATCCAGCAGTTCCTGTATCTCCCGGAACCCAAAATAAAAGTCATAAAGAAGGAACTCAGGCGAGCCCTTCGAGCTTTGGATCTGTCACTCAGACAGTTGGCAAGGATCCTGGGCCTACTCGTGGCTTCCATTCAGGCTATTTTTCCGGGGCCTCTACGCTATCAGGCCCTTCAACATCTCAAAGGCTCCTACCTCCGATCAGGTCACTCCTACGAGTCGAGACTGCAGTTGGACACCGAGTCCAGAAACTAGTTGATCTGGTGGCTTGTGCAAATGGAGGCTTGGAACAGCAGAGCCATTTTTGGGTCCGTTCCAGATGTAGGGATCGAATCCGACGCCAGTTTTCACCGATGGCGTTAGTGACACCGGTCGCACGAACTGACGAGGGTATTGGCAATCTTGGCAAAGGATTTCTGTCAATTCTGTCTACACCACAACGTCTCTGACAGCGGAGCATGTCCCAGGCTTGGACAATTCGTGGGCTGATTGGAATTCACAGTATTCGAGAGACTCTGGAGATTGGATCTTACACGCATCGGCATTCCAAGGTATAGAGCAGTGTTGGGGACCATTTGAAGTGGATCTGTTTGTGTCCTGGCTAAACACTGAGCTACTAAAGTTTTACAGCTGAAGACCAGACTCGGATGCGTTCCTTCAGACTTGGCCTGACGCTCAGCTATATGCCTTCCCTCTGTTCAACTTGATTGCTCACACGCTCTCGAAGCTGGTCTGACAGAATTGTTCAATGGTATTGGTCACTCCTCTGTGGAGGTCACAGTCGTGGTACCCTCGGTTACTGGAAACGGCGATCGACTGCCCACGTTTGATTCCGAACGTCCCTGCCCTCCTGGATCCGGATGGGAACTTGCACAGTTTAGTGGAACAGGATCTCCTACATCTGGTGGTGTGGCTCCTTTCTGTGGACCTTGGACTATCGTGGATGTTCAGCAGGCAACTCCTCCACCTCCTCAACAACACATGGGCACCGGAACTCGATCTGCCTGTCGCTCATCGTGGTGACTGTGGTCTGGTTGGTGCGTGGGATGAGCGATGGATCCCATATCTTTGGATTTACATATGATTTGGGGTTCCTTACTGGCATGTTTGAGTCAGGGAAGGCATATCGCACCATCAATTTGTTCTGTTCAGCTATTTTAGTGGGACATCGGGGCAAAGGTGGCGCTCCGGTCAGGAGACATCCTTTCGTGTGTCGTCTCCTCAAGAAGATTCGTCTTGCTCGACATCCTCCGGCTAGGTTCTCTGCCTTTGGGGATGTCAATGTGGTGTTACAGTTCTTGACGTCTTGGTATCTGAATTGGGAATTGGTGCTTAAGCAACTGTCCGCTAAGATGGTAATGTTGTTCTGCCCAATTTCTTCCAAAAGGGTGTCAGATGTCAGGACACTTGATTGGGATGCTGTTACTTTCACCCAGAAGTTATATCCTTTAATGTATCCGGCGGCATCCACAGCCTTAAGAGCCAGGCCCCTCTCCCAGACATCATTGAGGCAGCAGCAAGAAGACGCTTTAATTGCTCACTCCAGCACCCGTTTGTGTGTGTTTGTGTGTGTGTGTGTGTTTGTCTGTGTGTGTCTGTGTCTGTGTCTGTATCTGCACGGGTTACTGTGTCGGATCCAGAGCCTGATCTTGGGAGGGGCACTTGTGGGTTATTTAAAGAAATAATCCAGACACAATAACCACTACAGCTCAGTGTAGTGGTTATGGTGTCAATAGTGCCGGGACCCCCTCCCAGAGTAAGTAGTCAAATCGTTTAAGAACAGTTTGACAACTTACCTAAGGTCTGCTGGGAAATGGGGCTGTAGTAGGGCATAGGAGCAGTGGTGTGTGTGAGTGGTGCAATGTGTAAGGGGTGCAGTGTGTGTGTGTGAGGGCGGCAGTGTATGTCAGAGATGCAGTGTATGTGTGTGTGTAACAGTTGCAATGTGTGTATGGGACAGCAGTGTAAAGGGGCAGTGTGTGTATGGGGGCAGTGTAGAGAGTGTGTGTGTATGGGGGCAGTGTGTGTGTATGGGGGGCAGTATGTGTGTATGGGGGGCAGTGTGTGTATGGGGGCAGTGTGTGTGTGTGTGTGGGGCAGTGTGTGTGTGGGGGGCAGTGTGTGTGTGTGTGGGGGGGCTGTGTGTGTGTGTGTGGGGGGCAGTGTGTGTGTGTGTTCCCTGTTCCCTGGTGGTCCGGTGGGGGATTCATTGGTGGTCTCAGTGGGAAGCGTGAACTCTAGCCCGCACTCCAGGGCTAGAGTTCACTCTCGCTAGATTTGGAGCATTGCCGTGGTAACCGCGGTAACGCTCCAAATCTCGAGAGAAGAGGACCCGGAGGAGCTGCAGGTTGAGCTCCCGGGTCCTCCCTCTCCCTCCCCTGCCGGCTGCCAGCACGGTGCCTGCGGACCGGGGAGGGAGATCTCTGATCTCCCTCCCCGGTCCGCAGGCACATAGCAGGGCTAGCACCTGCATGTCCTGGCAGGGGAGAGGGAGACCGGCGGATTTCTCGGGGGGGGGGGGCAATTGCCCCTTTGCCCCCCCCCCCCCGGATCCGCCACTGTGTCTGCATGGGTCTGTTTGTGTCTCTGTGTGTGTCTCTGCATGGATCAGTGTGTGTTTATGGATCAGCGCGTGTGCGTTAGTTTGCCTGAGTCAGTGTGTTTGTTAGTCTGCATGTGTGGGTGGCGCGAATGGGACGGCAAAATATGCTTGCACCGGCCCTGACTCTCAATCTAATCTTTTGGGAAGATATACAGGGATTACTGAAATACTTTTACTATAAAATAGAAAATATCATGTAAGTTAAACTTTTTTAAATTTGTGTATTGATATACATATTGTTGTACACAGTTTAGAGGGCTATCCTCTAATAGGTTAATGCCTTTTCAGGTTTTCATATTTTTTTTTATTCTTTATTTATTTTTTTTGATCATAAAGATACAACCATGATTGCAATATCCCAACAGCTTGAGCAAGTATATCAAAGAGCATAGCATAACACTAGTAGGGCATTTGAAAGGTTTGCACATTTTTTGGATAAAAACTATAATAAAATGTTTGAATTGGTTGTCCTCTGATTTTTTGAGGTTTCTACTATGCTCATATCTTTTTCAATTCACCACTATTCCCTGTTTGTGAATAAGCAGATATTGCAGTAAGTGAAATTCAGACTGTGGTATTCTTTAAGCTGTAATGGACCAGTCTCAGATTCACCTTGAGATTCTGCTTTTATAAATATGACTGTTAGTTTACATTTAAAACATCTCATTATTATGTTACTAAATGAACTGCACTAGTCCTGCACTGACTAGCCACAACTTACCTCCAGTTTCTTGTCAAAGGAATGATGTCGATGACATTCCATATGAAGACTTATAAAATCATCCTATGTGCAAAGATAAAAGCAGGACATATCATGTACCTTAACTTTATATAATGAATGTAAAGTAAACGTGTTTAAAATTTCCCTACTACAGAGTTCTATTTGTTAAAAAAATTATATTGCATGTTTTTATCTTAGAAAAATTGCAAATACACAATAGTGAAAAATAGCCATTTTATGTATAGATTGTTCAGATATGTAAAAAAAATTATATATATTTAAGGCTGGGCCTGTAGTTGAGGGAGGGGCTTGGTTCCCATTTAGAGGGGCCTCCTACCATTTCTGTCACACCGTTATAGGTCTGGTGAGGTGCAGGTGACAACTTCCGGTCACTCACAAGTTGCCATCTGGCAGCCGGTACAACTGTTTGTTCAGCTTACCTGTCCTTTCACTGACCATTTCCAGCCCACTTCCTGCTCCAGCTTGAAGGAGACTGACCCGGAAGTTGTCCGCTGAACCGCAAGCTTTAGGCCTAGCCATCGTGCCTCGGTCGCATCCCACGGGTCATCTTGGGTTGGGTCTATTTCGTTACTTACCCGTTCGTATGTTAATTTGTTTCTTTCTGCGGCATTCAGGCCTTTAAGCACGAACACCGGGTTTCTATACATAATACAGGGGAGCTTTCGGGACTTTGTTAAACTCATGAACGAAGATCCTGGTTTGGCTCCTTTCGTACATTTAGGCTCCACTTTGCATGCTTTCGCACTGTTACAGACGAACAGTTATTCTAGGGAACACTTCACGTTTCCAATTGAAGTGTTAGAGCGTTTTGCGTGCTTTCTCCAGAAGCCTTATGCTCTATCAAGTTACACTTCATACCTTATTACTCCAAAAGTACTATCTACTTTCAGTTTTACACTCTCAGGTACATCATGTTACCACATATCATTTCACAAATCATTACCTTTTTTTTAACTAGAATTTTACTGGCTCATAGGGTTCTAGGTGGCCATTAATATGTGTTTTCAGGCCTCTATGCCTTTTGTTAGTGGTCCCGTGAGGCCAACACCTGTCCTCATACTCGGAGGTATACGCCCCTCGGGCCAACGCATAGTTAGCCACCTCGCATGGTTGCATGGAGAGGGCCTCACGGGTCACTCCCATTGTATTTTACGCTTTAATTTTCAGAGAGGCCAACACCCCGCCACAACGTTTGGTGGCCACAAAACCCCTCGACCCAACATATAGAGCCTCTCAAGCCGCTTGGCAACTAGTAGGGCCTCACCTGTCACTTTCTTTAATGGAATAGTTTCACCACTTGGCACTAGATAGCCAGTCAGTACTCATGTGGGCCCCCACTAATTATGATGTCATATTTTGGAATGTCCCATATCCTAGTGGGATCTGGTAGCTCCCCTATGAAGCTCGCTAGATCTTTCAATACTTTCCCGGTTGGAACCTCACCCACTCCACCAGGTAATTGTTTTTTCACCACATGTTCCAACGGTCATTAACCCATCGCATGTGGTCCCGCCTAGTTTCAAGAAGGACATCCTGGAGGACAACGATGTTAATCTTGCTTAACTTCTGAATGCCTCCCAGGATGTCATCGAGAATAGGACCTATGCATATGGGGATGTTTCAGTGGTCCTAAGGGCTTGAGAACCAAGACTAAATAAGAATTAGCCATCCCAGAATTGGTCTTGGCTTTTGGTGTTTTACTTTGTTTACCTGGAGGGGGCATGGGGGGTACCTGGATGCATATATGCATATGCTGGTGGATCTGGGGCACAGGTACAGGGGTTCAGCTTTCTGCAACTACCATCGTTCTTTTGCGGCAAAGGTGTCTGCAGCTCTGACTAAATTTAATCTCAGTGCAGATTGAGGAACTAGATACGGAGTTATTCTGCAGACACTTTGCAGGTCTTAGGACTTGGGCTTGTTCAGGGTGTGCGTCCACTTCCAATTCCACAAACAAGTTTCCCAGGGGAATTCAATCACTAGCGAGAGTGAACTCTAGCCCTGGAGCGCGTGCTAGAGTTCACGCTCCCCACTGAGACCACCAATGAATCCCCCACCGGACCACTAGATTTGAGAAGGTCTTAAAAGACAAGCTGGAGTGGAACATAAGTTTTTCGGTAAGTGCCAGAATTGCAACAAGTTTAATGTCTGCACCTGTGGCTTTAGCCCCTGCAGATTAGGGATCGACCGATATTGATTTTTTAGAGCCGATACCGATAATCTGCAAACTTTCAGTCCGATAGCCGATATCTTGCCGATATTCTGTACATTACTATTTTAAATAAATAAACTAATTCGAAAGGTAAATGCACAAAATATACTTGCCACATGTAGTGGATGAAGTGTGTTTAGACAGGGGAGCTGTGTGTGTTTGTGTAGTGTGTGTGTGTGTGTGTAGTGAATGCAGAGTGTGTGTTTGGGTAGTGTGTGTATAGTGAATGTAGTGTGTGTAGTGTGTATATAATGTAGTGTGTTTATGTAGTGTATGTATATAATGCAGTCTGTGTAGTGTGTTTTTGTGTGTATGTAATGCAGTGTGTGTGTGTGTTTGTGTAGAGTGTATATGTGTGTGTGTAATGCAGTGTGTGTGTGTGTATGTAATGTAGTGTGTATGTAATGTAGTGTGTATATAATGTAGTGTGTGTTTGTGTGTTTTTGTGTGTGTATGTAATGCAGTGTGTGTCTGTGTAGTGTGTCTGTGTAGTGTGTATGTAATGCAGTGTGTGTGTGTGTGTGTTTGTGTTTTTGTAGTGTTTGTGGTGTGTGTGTTTGTGTAGTGTGTATGTAATGCAGTGTGTGTGTGTTTGTAGTGTGTTTGTGTAATGTGTATGTAATGCAGTGTGTGTGTGTTTGTGTAGTGTGTGTGTAGTGTGTGTGTGTGTGTGTGTTTGTGTAGTGTGTAGTGTGTGTTTGTGTAGTGATGTAAAATGGGGGGGCATTTTTTTTATTTTAATATTTTTTTAAATATATAAAAAAAAGGGGGGATATAGTATTCCCTGGTGGTCCAGTGGCTTGTTAAGTACAGTGGTGGCTCAGCAGCAGCAAGCGCTGACTTACCTTGCAAGCAGCTCCTACAGCTCCCTGTGTAAATCTCGCGGCTCTTAGTGCCGCGTGGAGCGTTGCCATGGTAACCCGTGGCAATGCCCTGTGGCCGCGGGTCTCGCGAGATTTACACAGGGAGCTGAATGCAAGGTAAGTCAGCGCTTGCTGCTGGCCCCCACAGGACCGCCGGGCTTGTAATGGGCCCTGCGGTCCTGTTATATATTATCGGCAATACCAGTATCTAAATTGGCCGATACCGATATTGCCGAAAATACCGAAAATCAGCCAATAATATCGGCCAGACCAATAATCGGTCGATCCCTACTTCCTAGCCTTGGGATAACCAGCACTACTAAAGAGGAAGAATGGGCAAGGACTTCGAAAGAATGTGGTATGTTGCCCCTGGGCAGCACTCACATCCAAGCAGGAGAGTGACCTGGAATTGAGGCATGCAGCCCAGAAAGAACTATGGTTCGATGCCCTGGAGTAAGTTTCAATGGAAGGAGAGCCTTCCTGGTATAGCGCACCGCTTGTGGAAACAAGTGGCAGGGCGGATGGCACTTCTGGGGGAACAACCCCTGACGGAGTGGGTAAAGCACCTTGAGTTCCTAGGAGAGAGGGAACTGATCCTGGACAACTCATACCGGGCGTTATGGTGGTGCACAGTCCAGCAAGAGACTTGGATGGCAGAGGGCGTTCAGCTGGAGAACTACAGTGGCCCGGGCCTGTTGGGCTGGGACAAGAAGTCTGCCGTCTAGTTGCCATGGAGTGGGAACTGGAAATAGTCTATGTATAACTGTTAGACTTGGTTCAGCCACAGAACGTTGAAGCAGAGCAGGAAAGCTGGGTGGCTGACCCAGACTTTCCACACGCCAGGTGGGGAGACATGGCTGCTGTACCCCTGTTTCACTACCAGCTCCAGAAACAGGGGACCTTATAGACTGGTCCTGGGAAGACCCCTAGTTGGCAGGTGGAGATGGGACCGAGGTCTCTCCACCGGCCCTACAGGGATGCTGGGCAGCCGGCCCAGCTCCCCAACTACAGTCGGAGTTACCGGGAGTAGGGACAGTCAGTCCTACTCCCCAATGGCCGTGTGAGGTCCAGGGAACAGACACCCAGTCTTGTTCCTCAGCAGCAGAGTGCATCCCAGGGAGAGAAGCGTGTCGTCCTTCCCCCCCCAGCTGCAGTGTATCCTACAGGGAGTGGATCATGTCGTCCTTCCTCCCCAGCGGCAGAGTGTATTATTGGGAGAGGAGACGGTTGGTCTTTCTCCCCAGCGGCAGACCGAGTTACAGGGAGAGGAGAGTGTAGTCCTCCATCCCCAGCGGCAGGGTGAGTTACAGAGTGTGGAGATGGTAGGTCTCACTCCCCAGCGGCAGTGTGCAACCCAGGGAGAGGAGAGTATCGTCCTCAATCTCCAGCAGCCAAGGGTGTTACAGGAAGTGGAGACAACTGGTCTCACTCCCAGTGGCAGTATGCATCACAGAGAGAGAAGTGTGTCATCCTTCCTCCCCCAACAGCAGTGCAAGCTATTGGGAGTGGAGACAACCAGTCTCACTCCCCAGCAGCAGTGTGCAGTACAAGGAGCGGAAGGTGTCGTCCTTCCTCCTCAGCGGCAGTGTGTATTCCAGGGAGAGCAGTGTGTCACTCCTCCTCCCCAGTGGCAGTGTGTTACAGGTGGCAGAGTATATTATTGGGAGAGGAGACGTCGGTCTCTCTCCCCAGCGGCAGTATGCATCACAGGGAGAGAAGTGTGTCATCCTTCCTCCCCCAACAGCAGTGCAAGCTATTGTGAGTGGAGACAACCAGTCTCACTCCCCAGCAGCAGTGTGCAGTACAGGGAGTGGAGTGTGTCGTCCTTCCCAGCGGCAGTGTGTATTCCAGGGAGAGCAGTGTGTCACCCCTCCTCCCCAGTGGCAAAGAGTGTTACAGGGAGTGGAAACAATGGGTCTCGCTCCCCAGCATCAGTGTATTCTCCATGGAGTGGAGACAATCGGCCTCTGCCCTACCAGCCCATTAGTTCCGGAACCTGACGACAAACAGGCCACACCAGCTGAAGCGCTGGCTACAGGGAAGAGCACAGCTGGCCTCATCGAGCACAGGGTGAGGTCCAGGGAGAGGAAAGTGTCTATCCCCAGCGGCAATATGGGTTACAGGGAGAAGGGACAGCTGGTCCCTCTCCCCAGCGGCAAGAATGAGACCCCTAGAGAGGGGAATTGTGCCCTCCATCCCCAGTGCGTACTTGGTCCAACCAGGGGGAAGTGCATCCAGGTTTTTTCCCCGCAGGACACTGGATGTACAAATGGGCACTTGTGGCAGGAGGCAGTCTGGACAACTACACCTTTTGCGAAAGGTCACCAGACTATCACAGACCCAGACCGATTGGAAGTCTGGGGTCTGGATAGTTTCCCCTGGAGGGGGAAGATATGTGACAAACTCCCCTCTCCAAGTGAGTTTGTTACGAGCTCCTGGAGGAGCCTGCTTGCCAACCTTCTGCCCACAGACTATGGGCCCTGCAAGGAAACTTGTAAAAGACTACCAAACTTGACCACTGATTTCATGGAACTGTTTTGGGCATAGGATCATGTGCACGGTCGGTCAAAATTATGACTTTCAGGAAATTCCTGAATTCCCTGAACTGATCTGGGTGATTTTCGGATATGTTGGTCACCCAAATCAGGGCTGTTCCAGCTAGGAAGCTGTCCTTGGCGGAGGTACCCAGTTGGGGTACAGGGAGCTCTGCTACATATACCAAATGCACTTTTCCAGCATTCACAGGGAGAGGACAGTGATTGGTTAGATCAGTGTCCCTTCTGGAGTGGGTGTGGAAAGCATAAAAAAGAAGAAGAAAATATGTATCTTCTTTTTGTCAGCCTGCAGAGTGACGTAACTGTCTCATTCAGAACTAAAGCTTTTGGATGAGACAGTTGTCTCAAAGTGATGCATGTCCCTTTAAGTGGGCAAAGTCCAACAGGTTAGGGGCACACATCATGTAATTCTTATCATGCAACATTCTAACAATATTTAAAGGGACACTACAGGGAGTGCAGAATTATTAGGCAAATGAGTATTTTGACCACATCATCCTCTTTATGCATGTTGTCTTACTCCAAGCTGTATAGGCTCGAAAGCCTACTACCAATTAAGCATATTAGGTGATGTGCATCTCTGTAATGAGAAGGGGTGTGGTCTAATGACATCAACACCCTATATCAGGTGTGCATAATTATTAGGCAACTTCCTTTCCTTTGGCAAAATGGGTCAAAAGAAGGACTTGACAGGCTCAGAAAAGTCAAAAATAGTGAGATATCTTGCAGAGGGATGCAGCACTCTTAAAATTGCAAAGCTTCTGAAGCGTGATCATCGAACAATCAAGCGTTTCATTCAAAATAGTCAACAGGGTCGCAAGAAGCGTGTGGAAAAACCAAGGCGCAAAATAACTGCCCATGAACTGAGAAAAGTCAAGCGTGCAGCTGCCACGATGCCACTTGCCACCAGTTTGGCCATATTTCAGAGCTGCAACATCACTGGAGTGCCCAAAAGCACAAGGTGTGCAATACTCAGAGACATGGCCAAGGTAAGAAAGGCTGAAAGATGACCACCACTGAACAAGACACACAAGCTGAAACGTCAAGACTGGGCCAAGAAATATCTCAAGACTGATTTTTCTAAGGTTTTATGGACTGATGAAATGAGAGTGAGTCTTGATGGGCCAGATGGATGGGCCCGTGGCTGGATTGGTAAAGGGCAGAGAGCTCCAGTCCGACTCAGACGCCAGCAAGGTGGAGGTGGAGTACTGGTTTGGGCTGGTATCATCAAAGATGAGCTTGTGGGGCCTTTTCGGGTTGAGGATGGAGTCAAGCTCAACTCCCAGTCCTACTGCCAGTTCCTGGAAGACACCTTCTTCAAGCCGTGGTACAGGAAGAAGTCTGCATCCTTCAAGAAAAACATGATTTTCATGCAGGACAATGCTCCATCACACGCGTCCAAGTACTCCACAGCGTGGCTGGCAAGAAAGGGTATAAAAGAAGAAAATCTAATGACATGGCCTCTTTGTTCACCTGATCTGAATCCCATTGAGAACCTGTGGTCCATCATCAAATGTGAGATTTACAAGGAGGGATAACAGTACACCTCTCTGAACAGTGTCTGGGAGGCTGTGGTTGCTGCTGCACGCAATGTTGATGGTGAACAGATCAAAACACTGACAGAATCCATGGATGGCAGGCTTTTGAGTGTCCTTGCAAAGAAAGGTGGCTATATTGGTCACTGATTTGTTTTTGTTTTGTTTTGAATGTCAGAAATGTATATTTGTGAATGTTGAGATGTTATATTGGTTTCACTGGTAATAATAAATAATTGAAATGGGTATATATTTGTTTTTTGTTAAGTTGCCTAATAATTATGCACAGTAATAGTCACCTGCACACACAGATATCCCCCTAACATAGCTAAAACTAAAAACAAACTAAAAACTACTTCCAAAAATATTCAGCTTTGATATTAATGAGTTTTTTGGGTTCATTGAGAACATGGTTGTTGTTCAATAATAAAATTAATCCTCAAAAATACAACTTGCCTAATAATTCTGCACTCCCTGTATAGTCACCCAGACCACTTCAGCTCAATAAAGTGGTCTGGGTGCCAGGTCCCCCAGGTTTTAACCCTTCAGATGTAAACATAGCAGTTTCAGAGTTTAAGACAGTCTCTAGTGGCTGTCTTCCTGATAACTGCTAGAGGTGCTTCTGCAACACTGGATGCGAAAATCCCATTCAGCGTGAGAAATGCTTTCCCATGGATTGTTTGAATGTGCACGCGGCTCTTGCCACGCATGCGCATTCAACTCCACTCGGGAGCTGATGTTGGCGGGGGAGGAGAGGTCATCAGCGCCGAGGGAGCCTGGTGCTGGATAAAGGTACCCCTCTCGAACACACATATTAGGAGACATGCTCCCATTTTATTCTTAGAACATTAGCCCCTATAATAAGTAGACCATTTTAAGTATGTGCATTAAAAAAGGGTTTATAGTTCTAAACATAGGAATATCAAGTTTCCTTTTAATATCGAAAAAACAAGTAAGAGTGGAGCAGTGTGTAAATATTCAAAGTGACAAAAAGCAGTGTTTAGGTGAAAGACCCAAAAAGAAGCTGAAGTAGCTTTAAATATAAAAGTACTGTAGTTTTACTTAATGATCAGCAGTTGGCGTCAGGTTGAACATGCCATAGCATATATGCAGGAAAAAAAATATATATATATAAACAAATAATAGTGCAGACTGTAACTTGAAAGTAAAATGCTACTTAGTACCAGTAGGCTTTATAAAGTTCCAGCGTGCAATAGGTCATATGAATCTAATATTCAATTTATAAAGTTCAGATATATTTATTACATCTAAATCTGTGACAATAAACCACTGACTCTTTAATGTCGGAGGTGTTTACATTAAAAAGCCTGCAGGGACTAGCTATATACACCAAAATCACTTAATTAAGCTATAGTTGTTCTGGTGACTATAATATCCCTTTAAGTCCGAACAGCTTGGGATCTGTATATTTGGCCACCCTATTTTATAAGATCCCAGTAAAATAGACCAGTTGATATAAAACATACATTGACTATATAAAGATTAATTTGAGGGTTTATTCATTAAAATGTGAATTGTGGAGGACTGACAAAAATTGCAATATTTAGGCTAATATACCAAATCAGTAACTATAGTGGAGTTGGATATTTTTTTTAAAATTGTTATATTGGCCTGAATTGTACAATTTAGTTTCACTACAATTCACACTCCATGGCATCCTATATATAAATGTATAATTTAAAGTACAATTAACACTTTGTATGAACACTTGCAAAATATTACGATTTTGCACAGGTCAGTCATGTAATTTACTTTTTTTAATATAAAGGTTTTTCTTATGCTCTGTATGCTTTCTTTTTAGTACACGATCTGTTATTACTGTGACATATTTAACATTAAATGATCACTCCACATCCATAATGCACTTCAGCTTGCTGAAATGCTTTATCTGATAGGAATATCCTGTTTTAAAGGACCATACCACACTGGGGAAAAAAAAAAAATATATCACTGATTAGTAGATATATCCCTAATGAATACATGTGTGCATTTATTTACGCATGTCGTAATTGTGGATACATTTTATAAGGGCTTGCAAAAGCTGCAGTTCTTATGACTGCAACATTTGCAAGTCCTCCCCTTTTTTTTCCCTGGAAGAGGCTTGCAATCTCTTCACGGGGAAATAGCCCGTTTCTCATTTTGAATCTTCTGAACTTGTGCCATTTATGCGCATGCATCTGGTCTGTGGAGCAGCTAAAGACTCTGGTCTGAGGACAGTCTCTGGGGAAGAAGATAGGCATGCGTTGTCTGGGAGGTGTTTTATAATGTAATTATCAAAGTGCTGATTTCTCTGATTAGTAGTACTTCTCACATATGAAGGACTTCAGCTCAGTGTGGAGTAGCCCTTTATTTCCATTTTATAAAAGTGCTGATTATTCCAAGGGGAAAATGGGGAGGGCTTGCAAAGTCTGCAGCCATAAGAAACATTTTTATTTTCAGTGTTGAGTGTCCCTTTAAGGGATGTCTTTGTAAGTTTCATTGTTTACTGGGTTTCTGTAATTTCTGACATGCCACTGTGTACAGATGTCAACATAAGGTCCTTGAGTTGCCAATCACCTTTACCTTTGTATGAGAAAACCGCTTCTAGAAAATCTGGCTCCAAGGACAAAAATTCCAATTAATGATGACTTACTTTTCGATCTTTGTGATGTCTACAAATGCCAACAATTTGTGTCCTTTTATTGACCTTGAAAACAGAGAGGTCAAAGTGAGAAACTGTGACGAAATGTCCTACATCAGCTCTGGCCCAGTCAGAGTCTTTGTACTCTGCACCGCACAGTTCAATCTTTTTTTTTTTTAACCATTAACGATGCATGTGTATAAAGATGCTGATTAGTGTATGCTCAATAGCCTACCAATGAATTCCTAGGGGAAAACATTTGCTTGGCTGAGATGATCAAGATTGATTATCTCAACCATAGAGGCGAGACCAGCACGATGTGGAAAAAAGTTAAGATCTTCGATGGACAGGTCAAGTAAATAGACACACACAGACAGACACACACACATACACACACACACTCAGAAATTATAATTTTTGGAAAATATATAAATTTTTAAGGGCATTCCTGATGATCTCGGCAGCACTGGCCAGATGAAACGTGCTTCGAGTGTACATCTATGCTCGATTATTGATATAGCATGAAGACTTAAGTTATTAGAAGAAAGGTGGCTAGCTGACAAACATATAGAGAGTAGTTTAACACTAGTGTGTACTTTAGACTGAATTAGGGAACAGATTAGCCACCTCTTGATTGTGTGTATTGATTGATTATCTGTTCAGCACAAAGACTTTATTCACATGAAGGAACGTGGCTGGCATTTCTATAGGGAATAGTTAACTATTATTATTTTTTTTATACATAATAAGGGAGCAGCTTAACCACCTCCTGAGTGTGTATAGTGATTTTGGATTATTATCCTAATATTTATATTTTTAATACTGTGTGGGGATGGGTGGCAGGCAAGGTAACAAATAGGGAAGAGTGCAACTGGCAGTCACTCAAAAACTAATCAGGGACCAGCACAGACAGCCCCCGTATCGTTCACTGATAGAAGGTTTTTGTTTGTTTGTTAGGTTTTTAACACGAAGCTTGATATCTCATAAGGTGGATTACAGCTCCCTCCCTAACCGCTCGGCTCCATTCCACACAGTCCGCCGGCCTCCTCCGCTCACCCACAGCAGGCCAGCCTCCTGCATTCTCCTCCACCACCTCTGCTGAAAAGGCAGACAAATCCCAGGTGCCAGGACAAAATTCCTAGTCGGATATACACACAAAGGGTGTGGAATTGGTGGCGCTATATAGTTTTAACGTGTAAGTTTGAATAGTTGTAACTGCTCTGTGGGTACTCCTTATAACACACCACACATAAATAATCACCAAAAGACAATAACAACGTTAGACTTAACAGGTGTTTTCACCATCTAAACCTTCAGCTTTTAAGAGTGCAGCACTGTATCTAGATGTGAGGTAAGTGAGTTTTTTCTACAAAGTGTTTAAAGACACTTACCCACTATGTCACACTTTATGTATGATGTACATATAAAGGAAACAGAAATATATACAAATTGTTGAATAAGTAAAAATGAGAAATTTATTGCAGAAAAAGTATTTTAAAAATATTTTCTAGAAAATAAAAAATCCGTTTTGGCTATAAGTGGACCTATATTTAGACCACTCAATATATTTGTATTGCTTTTATATGTTATTACTGTTTTTTATTTTCTAGAAAATATTTTTTAAATACTTTTTTCGGCAATACATTTTTCATTTTTACTTATTCAACTGCATCCTGCCCAAGTGATTCCAGGGAAGGGGTAGTGTCACCCCACAACTTAAAGGACCACTCTAAGCACCCAGACCACTTCAGCTTAATACGGTGTGGTCTGGGTGCCAGGTCCCTCTAGGATTAACCCTTTTTTTTAATAAACATAGCAGTTTCAGAGAAACTGCTGTGTTTATAACAGGGTTAATCCAGCTTCCAAAGCCTCTAGTGGCTGTCTCATTGACAGCCGCTAGAGGCACTTGCGTGATTCTCACTGTGAAAATCACAGTGAGAACACGCAAGCGTCCATAGGAAAGCATTATAAATGCTTTCCTATGAGACTGGCTGAATGCGCGCGCAGCTCCTGCTGCGCATGCGCATTCAGCCGAAAGGGAGGATCGGAGGCGGAGTGGAGGAGGAGAGCTCCCCGCCCGGCGCTGGAAAAAAGGTAAGTTTTAACCCCTTCCTTTTCCCGAGAGCCAGGCGGGAGGGGGACCCTGAGGGTGGGGGCACCCTCAGGGCACTATAGTGCCAGGAAAACGAGTATGTTTTCCTGGCACTGTAGTGGTTCTTTAACACTAGGCTTATATACTTAGTTACCAAAAGGCTCTAAATAAGGTGAGCACTTCAAATTTTACTTATATTGGTACAACCACTACCTAAGATACTACACTTAGATTGTATTATCTGTGTCTTTTACATGTGATGTGGAGAGGAACAAATGCACTTTTCCGTTGAGAGAGGGGTCGTGTGATCTACCCTAAAAGACACAGACATCTGGAGGTTTAGAGCTAAATGTTTTTATTGTCTTTTGGTCAAAATTCCTAGTCGCCTGGGATTTGTCGAGCCCTGAATGAGACAATTACAAAATGTTACAGGAACAAAAGTTTGAGGACCCTTCTTGAAAATGTACCAATTTTTAAAAAACATGAGTGAGCAGGCAAAACACATCTTTTATTTCTTATGGGATTCATACTTAACTGTAGGTTATAACAGAATGGCACAATCATAAAACAAAACATGTCAACAAAGAAAAAAAATGAAATGATCCCTGTTCAAAAGTCTGCATACCCTTATTTCTTATTATTATGTATTGCCCCTTTTGTCATCAATGACAGTGTGCAGTCTTTTGTAATAGTTGTCTATGTGACCCCAAATTCTTGCAGGTGGTGTAGCTGCCCATTCGTCTTGGCAAAATGCCTCCAGGTCATGCAAAGTTTTTGGTCGTCTTGCATGAACCACACATTTGACATCTCCCCAAATTGGCTCAATGATATTAAGGTCAGTAGACTGTGATGGCCAATCCAGACAGTACCTTCACCTTTTTCTGCTGTAACCACTGGAGGATCAACTTGACCTTGTGCTCATTGTCATGCTGGAAAGTCTAAGAGCGTCCCATGTGCAGTCCTCGTGCAGAAGAATGCAATTGTCTGCCAGTATTTCTGATAACATGCTGCATTCATCTTGACATCAATTTTTGACAAATTCCCTGTGTCTTTAGAGCTTAAATGCCCCAAAACATCAGTGAGACACCACCATGCTTCACAGTGGGGATGGTATTCTTTTTACTATAGACAGGGCCGGATTAACATAGGGGCTGATGGAGCTGCAGCTCCAGGCCCAGGCCCATGGAATAGGCCCATTGATTTAAAAAAAAAAAAAAAAAAAAATTTTTTTTTTTTTACATTTTTTTTTCACACACTACTCTTAGGGATTCCACCTGGCTTTTATTTTATTAGCACAGACAGTATTTGAGGCTGCCTGGCTGGTGCCAATATTGCAGTGATACTGGCAATACAAATGCTGGTATTTTTCTCAGTATAAACAAGAGATTACTATGCAATACCAGCACTGGCCAGTAGGGGTCACTGTGTGTGGAGACAGGCAGGGATAGGAAGTTCCAGCATATCCCTCCCTGCCTATCTATACTCACTGATCTGCAGGGGTGCAGCTACAGAGAGTCCAGACAGCAACTCCCACCCTGCAGAGACAGCCTACAGCTCAAGGAAGTAAGGGATGGGGGGAAAGGCTGCAAGGAGACATACACTGAGACACTAAGGGACATTGGGAGACATTATGAAACAGACACATGGGGACACAGTGTCCCCATGTCTCCCAGCCAGTGTCCCTGGTGTCTCAGTGACCCCTAGTCTCCTAGTGCCCCCAGTCTGCCAGTGTCTCACTGTTCCCATGTCTCCTAGTGCCTCCATGTCTCTCAGTGTCTCAAGTGTCACAATGTCCCCATGTCTCCAAGCTAGTGTCCCTAGTGTCTGTGGCCCTGGTGTCTCAGTGTCCCCATGTCTCCCAGTGCCCCCATGTCTCAATGTCCCCATGTCCCCCAGCCAGTGTCTCTAGTGTCTGTGTCCCTGGTGTCTGTGTCCCCATGTCTTCAAGTGTGTCCCCTATTTTCCCATTGTCCCCATGTGTCCCAGCCAGAGTCCCCTAGTCTCCCAGTGTCACTGGTGTCTCCCCGTGTCACCAGATCTCCCCGTCTTTCTAGTGTCCTAGTGACATGGGGACCCTGGGATACATGGGGACACAGGGAGACATGGGGCATTGAGACACTGTGATACATAGGATCACTGGAAGACCCGGGGACACGACACTAGGGGACACTGGGAGACATGGGGCACTGAGACACTGATACATAGGAACACTGAGACTTGGAGTAATCGACACATGGGGGCACTGGGAGACATGGGGGCACTGGGAGGAATCCATCTATACAGCAGAATCAAACTAAGTCATTTTTTGGTGATTTTACAGAATTTTCTCTTATGTCACTCTTTGTGATTTACATCATGTGATGTCACCCATACATATTTAATTATGCAAATTAGCAAGGCAGGTATGTTTTTCCAAGAAAGGTGGAAACCCTAACTACTTTTTACATACTCTTACTTAAGTATGGAAACTTAAGAGGGATGTATGGGAACAAAACTTGTGTGGACTGGCTGACAATGAATATAGTTAAAGGGACACTATAGTCACCAGAACAACTACAGCTTATTGAATTTGTTCTGGTGAGTAGAATCATTACCTTCAGGCTTTTTGCTGTAAACACTGTCTTTTCAGAGAAAATGCAGTGTTTACATTACAGCCTAGTGATAACTTCACTGGCCACTCCTTAGATGGCTGTTAGAGATCCTTCCTGGGTCATGGCTGCCTAAAATGCATCCAAACATTCAGTATATCCTCCCTCTGCATGCAGACACTGAACTTTCCTCATAGAGATTCTTTAATTCAATTCATCTCTATGAGGAGATGCTGATTGGCCAGGGCTGTGTTTGAATCATGCTGGCTCTGACCCTGATCTGCCTCTTTGTCAGTCTCAGCCAATCCTATGGGGAAGCACTGTGATTGGATCAGGCCACCACTTCTAATGATGTCAGCAGACTGCTTGTTTTTATGAGTCTAACAGCATGCAGAGTTACAGCTTCAGGCTTGAATATAGTAAGATTTTGCTATATGTATGGAGGCATGAGGGGCCCAGGGGGGCTAGATGGTGGTGTTAATACTATAGGGTCATGAATTCATGTTTGTGATCCTGACCCTCTTGTGATCCTTTAAGGTAATGCTGACTTTGGTCTCTCTAACACTGTGGCATGTTCCCTTTCTTCTACACTCACTACATATAGCTTTTCTCTGTCCCAGACCATATACCAGGAGCTTCTGCCTGCTAATAAGAAGGTAAGGAGACAAGTGGACCAGCGAGTGCTAGGGAACAGTCCTTAGAAAGCGTTGAGTGAGCGCATCATTAGATGCATTTATGCCAAGCTCAGAGTGCTGTCTGCATAGTATGCCCTTAGTTGGCCAGCTGCATGATTGGCAGGCAGCCTGACATGCATTCATGCCAGGCTGGCCTTCTAATTCTTTGGGCAGACATGTCCTCTTTTTGGGCATGTTCGCCCCTTTTGGCAGGTTACGTGATTTGTGTCAGTGGCACACCCTTTTACCATGCCCATTGACTTCATGCCTGACTGGACACTGCTGTTAGGGGTTATGGATTTACTTGAAAGATGGAAACATAAATTAGAGAGAGATTAGCCTAGGGTATGTGTTTTCTTTCTCTCCAGCACCATCTCTATCAGATACATGACGCTTGGGAGTGTTTTACTGTTTTTGGTTGATATGATTCTGTAATTAGGCCCGTCATAATTGTCAGCACCAGGCCCACTGGGCTCTTAATCTGGCCCTGCTTCTGCCTGCTAATAAGAAGGTAAGGAGACAAGTGGACCAGCGAGTGCTAGGGAACAGTCCTTAGAAAGCGTTGAGTGAGCGCATCATTAGATGCATTTATGCCAAGCTCAGGGTGCTGTCTGCATAGTATGCCCTTAGTTGGCCAGCTGCATGATTGGCAGGCAGCCTGACATGCATTCATGCCAGGCTGGCCTTCTAATTCTTTGGGCAGACATGTCCTCTTTTTGGGCATGTTCGCCCCTTTTGGCAGGTTACGTGATTTGTGTCAGTGGCACACCCTTTTACCATGCCCATTGACTTCATGCCTGACTGGACACTGCTGTTAGGGGTTATGGATTTACTTGAAAGATGGAAACATAAATTAGAGAGAGATTAGCCTAGGGTATGTGTTTTCTTTCTCTCCAGCACCATCTCTATCAGATACATGACGCTTGGGAGTGTTTTACTGTTTTTGGTTGATATGATTCTGTAATTAGGCCCGTCATAATTGTCAGCACCAGGCCCACTGGGCTCTTAATCTGGCCCTGACTATAGACCTTGTGGACATCTTTCCAAACATAGCGTTTATGGTTGTGACCATAAAGCTCTATTTTGGTCTCGTCACTCCAAATTACAGTGTACCAGAAGCTTTGAGGTCAAGGTGTTGTCAGACATATTGTAACCAGGCATTTTTGTGGCATTGGCACAGTAAAGGCTTCTTTCTAGCAACTCAACCAAGCAACTCATTTTTGTTCAAGTATCTTTGTATTGTGCTCCTTGAAACAACCACACCAACTTTTTCCAGAGCAGCCTGTATTTCTCCTGAAGTTAACTGTGGGTTTTTCTTTGTATTCCAACAATTATTCTGGAAGTTGTGGCTGAATTTTTTCTTGGTCTACCTGACCTTGGCTTGGTATAAAGAGATCCCTGAATGTCCCACTTCTTAATAAGTGATTGAACAGTACTGACTGGCATTTTCAAGGCTTTGGATAACTTTTTATAAAGTTCCGTTACCTTGTTACGCAGATTTTTTGCAGTTATTTTCTGCGGCCCATGGCTCAGTATCTAGCCTGCTCAGTGCATCCACATGAGAGCTAAAAAACTAATTGACTATTTATACACAGACACTACTTGCAATATAAAAAGCCACAGGTGAGTGAAATCAACCTTTAATTGCCGTTTTAACCTGTGCATGTCACAAGGCCAAATTCAAGGGTATGTAAACTTTTGAACAGGGCCATTTGGGTTACTTCAGTTATCATTAAGATTTAAAAAGGAACCAAACAACTATGTGATAATAAATGGCTTCATATGATCACTATCCTTCAATAAAATATAATTTTTTTACATGATCAGTCATATTTCAAAATCAATGTTATAATTTCTGCCAGGGTATGCAAACTTTTGAGCTCATCTGTAACAAATCCTAGACATTGTTCTTTCCTAGCTACGCAAACACAGCAGCTATAGTCATGCTGAACCCCTTAGAAACCGTAACACTGATCCCACATTAACTAGTGGTGCAAAATCAGGAAACACCTCTTAGCATAGATTGCTCTAGCCCCCACTCAAAAAAAACCCAACTTAATCAGTACTCAAACTGTCAACAACCAAGCTACCTCACTAGAATATCCAGTTATTTATTCCTCATATTACTCCTCATATTTGTCAATGGGGAATTGTTTTATCAACATTTATAAAACTTTTTTCTTTTAAGGGGAAAAAAAGACTAAATCCACCTCTCTTGCTATAATTTAATGAGCTTTCTGACCAGCTTGAGAAACTTTTACTCCTTGTACTCATGGTGCCAATATGCAGTCCTAAAACATCTTAATAACCACAACTATACAGCTTAGCAAGCCTAAAGAGATGTGGTCCAACAAGCTTTGGTGGGCCTGCCTTTGTAAAAACCTTGCTCATCCACTGTTCAATCTCTTGCTATTTACAACTATTACACACCCAATTTTCAACATCCAAGAGTTATGATATAACAAAACTTACCACATACAGAGTTAGCAATCCAATAGTGATAAATATAATTGCAATTACTACACCTTCAGTCAACCAGACTACACCTGCTAGAGAAAAGAATAGTTAAAGGAAACTTCTCAGAAGTTTAAATGTTACCCTATATTTAGCAAATACATGTTTATAATGAGTGAATAATATAATATAGGAATTCATACAGCTGTATGTACAACTAGCCTGGACTAGGAACTTGCATGTTGGCTACCTGTCAATCTAGTTCTGCCCTTTGCACTAGAGTTGTGCATAGCGGAAAATGTTGGTTCTGGTATTAGACTTCTCTCACTATTCTTAGGGTGAGGGCATAGATTGAGCAATTTTTTTTGTTTTATTTTGGGCAAGATGGCTAGGGGCTTGGGAACCCAAAGTCCCCTTGTGTGGGGGCAATAGGACCAAACTTACGGGAAGTGGACAATGGCAAGTCCACCTCTCCCATTAATGATTAAATAACTCTCACCCATCGCCTTTAGATGGGTGCTGAGGGGCATTTGGACCCCTTAGGATTTTTTTAAATGAATAGCACCCACGTCCCATTAGGTCCCTCCTGGCTACTAAATTAACAATCCCCACCCAGCAGCCATAGTATAGAATTAAGTTCTATAATAAAAGAAGGTAACACAGTGTTTGTTTGTGAAGCAAGTTATCCCGTTTCTTTTTTCTGGCACTGTATCCTATCCTAACATATGTGAAGAGTGAGTAGTCTAAATGGGAGTTCACGTATAGTCTGACTACATGTTGATTTTAGACCCATTTTTTTCACATTAAAAGGCAATGCTCCCTATTTCTCACATTGATTGCTAGATCTTTATTGTCCACTTGTTGAAAAAAAAAAAAACGTCCTAAACAGTTTTACAAAGAAACGTTTTCTAAAGAAATGTATACTGAAACAAACCTTTATTATCACTTTCAGGCGCCAGTCCACTTAGGTTAGAATGTATGTTTTCTTCAGTGTTGCTTGCAGATGCTGGTAATACTGTTCCTGGATTACCTAACAGACAGAGGAGGATGATGAGAGAGTTGGAAAAAGATAGGATCGCTAAGGAAGATTTAGGAGAAAATGAGAAATCAAACTGAGAAAGGCTAACATTAAGTGCACTGCACTTTCCACTGGATTATACTTCTTGAATTTAGAAGGGTCTGCCTCTTTCTCAGTGTCAGGGGCTACATTTTGTCTTTTATTACTTTTAGCCCTGAGTCCCTTGTTTTGTGCCCAGCCAGGACATGGGACTCAGGGTTAACAGTAATGAATGGCAAGATGCCAATGGGGAGGAAGCGGTCAGGGAGTACCACTACCATGTGCAGACCACTGGCATGTGTCCAAGGGGCTCTGGCATGTGTCCTGAGATCCTTACCGAAGGTTACTATAGGAATACTTTGAATACTGCTGCTCGTGATAGAAGACCACAATGACTGCATCTGGCATCTGAGGTGAAGAGAAGTACACTGAACCACCAGGAAAAAGAAGCTGGGGGCCACAATGTGTGTGATTGTGTGTATACGTGTAACAGATTGTGTGTGTATATATGTGTAATATTGTGTGCATACTGTATATGTTACAGTGTTTGTGTATTTGTGAGTGTATATATGTGTAATACTTTGTTTATATGTGTAACAGTCTGTGTGTGTATTTGTATGTGTAACAGTATTTATCTTTGAGTGTGTATATGTGTAATAGTGTGTGTATCTCTAACAGTTTATGCATTTGTGGGTGTTTGAGTGTGTATATGTCAAAAGAGACTTGTGTCCATCAAGTTCATCCTTCCTCACATTTGTTTTTTGCTGTTGATCCAAAAGAAGGCAAACCCCCCCCCAGTTTGAAGCACTTCCAATTTTGCAACAAGCTAGGAAAAAAATTCCTTCTTGACCCCAGAATGGCAGTTAGATTTATCCTTGGATCAAGCAGCTATTACCATACATTGAAAGATTATATCCTTGAATATTCTGTTTTTGCAAGTATGCATCTAGTAGCTGTTTGAATATCTGTATGGACTCTGATAAAACCACTTCTTCAGGCAGAGAATTCCACATCCTGATTGTTCTTGCAGTAAAAAACCTTTCCTTTGCCTGAGACAAAGTCTTCTTTCTTCCAGTCTAAACGCATGACCTTGTGTCCGGTTTGTGAATAGATTTCCACACAATGGCACTGGCCCCGAATATATTTGTATAATTTATCATATCCCCTCTCAGGCGATGTTTTTCTAAACTGAATAGGTTTAAATTTGTTAACCTTTCTTCATATGTTCCATTCCTTTTATTATGTGTGAGTGTATGATTGTTTATAAATGTAACAGAATGTGCATTTGTATCTGTTATATAGCTAATGGATGTGTAACTGTGTGCGTACATCATTGTGGGCCACTTTAATATGTGTGTGTGTGTGTGTATATATATATATATATATATATATATATATATATATATATATATATATATATATATATATATATATATATATATTTAATTTTATTTATTTTTTATATAAATTATGGTGGAGCATGGGGCAGGGTTATTGAAGCCCCTTGTCTTATAATCACCTAGCAATGCCCGTACAGTGTTAAAGATATAGAAACATTGCGGGAGACTGAGAATCAGTTGAGGATAAGAGGTGCACATGGGAGCAATCCATGGATGATTTCCTGGTAGACAAATGGTAAATGAGAGAGAGAGAGCACGAGACAATTTGCACAAGCTAGGGGTATGGTTATCAGGATTGATAAGTCAGGGGCTTGAAATGGGTTAGGAGAGTTGCATGGCCGATAGGAGAGTGCTAGAACCCCTACTTCCAGATAGACATGGATAAACAATGATGTTTATTTTTGGTCATAAGCACACTTCTAGTGGCTGTAAGTCTGACAGCCAATAGAGGCACTTTCTCATTTACCGAAAGTGAATGCTGTGAACGCTTATCATAATTAAGAGTTGTATTTAATGCTTTTCTATGAGATGTATCTGACTGTTGCACATGCGCATTAGTTCCCAAAGATTAGAATATTAGCCCCACACCTGCAATATGAACCCCAACCTTGCAGCATCTACCCCACACTGCAGTTTAATTAGATACATTAACAGATTAACAGAAACACACTCACATACACACACAGATACATACAATGCCGTGTGCTTTGGCCAGAGTCATCACTGAAGCTTCCGCACTTGACATACATAATCCCAGAACTTTAGTAATAAGGCTGGCTGGAGCAAACATCACAGGCAAACAGTGCTGCCAAGCCTGTCTCCTCAAATACATTAAATAAGGCCTGATTATGACCTTAATGTGGACCATGCCACCTGCAATATGGGCACAGAGGTATGGCAGAGCTCTCTGTCTTCAGAAACAGATAATAACCCTGACGTATTTAGTGTAAAATGAGTTATTATTTTGAGATGCCTGGTTTAAATCATGTAATATAATCTGACACCTCTGTGAAAAAATACATAACTACTTTTAAAATTGTGATTTCTTTCTTCTGGTTATTTGGAAGAAAACTGATGATTTTTTGGGGGGTAGCTGCATTTCTTTGCCACCAAAATGTAAAATGAATGCCTGCATCTGAGCATGATGTTTGCATATAGTAAATACAGTTGCCTGGCTAAAGATAACAGATATCTGCTATACAGGAAATGCAAGCTACTATTACTGTATAAATTTACTTACTGTGCGACACGCATTTTATAGGGTGCCTCTCCCCACTTGGAGCAATCCAAACCACCTTGCAATTCTTTGGACGTTGCTCACCACTAAGGATTAGAGAATTGTGAGCAAAGTAACCATGGATTTTATGTTGATGATATATTTTTCCATTATTTGCTTGAACAGATGCTCCAGGGGGGTATTTACACTCTACAATAAATTTACGATGGTTCGTGGTCATAGGTATTCTTGTAGCAGTTGAGTTAATTGGATTCTCTGTGCATTTCTCCACATGATCAGCTAAAAAAGGAAATTAATAATATTCAATAAGAACTCAAAATAAGGGTGAAAGTCTGAAACTATATTTTGAAAGGTAATAGGGATACAGCAGCTGGAGACTGGAGTACTACTCATTGAGCTATCACATTGGAAATACTTGATAGAGAAGAAGCTTAGAATACTATACCATGAGTGCTTAGGAGCTTCATTTAGCTTTCTTGAGATACGCCTGGTGAGAGCTTCCACCACTCCTGTAGGCTATGGTGAAGGTAGGAAGTGGTGTCCTGGTGTCTCTTAGGATAACCAATAGGCATTCTTTGACTTTAGGTAATGTTCAATGTCCCCCGTTCTTTTTGAGCTTTTATACTCTTCCCTATGGTTTTTATTTTCATCACGCCCCACACATAACACTCTCCTCCCCTTTCTGCAGCACATTATGATCCCATAGAATATGAGCTGACTTAGCTTTCGTTATCTTTTCCATTACCCATTTCTTTCTTTCTACCTCACTTACTTACAACAGCAAAACACATCAAGAAAGTAACTATCGCCCAGGGCTGCCATCAGAAATAGTAAAAACAAAGAGAACGTTACCTGCGCTCTGGTCTGAATCCCCATTTACATTTAAAGGACCACTATAGTGCCAGGAAAACATACTCGTTTTCCTGGCACTATAGTGCCCTGAGGGTGCCCCCACCCTCAGGGACCCACTCCCGCCCGGCTCTGGAAGGGGGAAATGGGTTTAAACTTACCTTTTTCCAGCGCTGGGGGGGGAGCTCTCCTCCTCCGATCCTCCTCCATTCCGCCCCGTCGGCTGAATGCACACGCGCGGCAAGAGCTGCGCGCGCATTCAGCCGGTCGCATAGGAAAGCATTCATAATGCTTTCCTATGGACGCTGGCGTGCTCTCACTGTGAAAATCACAGTGAGAAGCACGCAAGCGCCTCTAGCGGCTGTCAATGAGACAGCCACTAGAGGATTAGGGGGAAGGCTTAACCCATTCATAAACATAGCAGTTTCTCTGAAACTGCTATGTTTATTAAAAAAATGTGTTAACCCTAGAAGGACCTGGCACCCAGACCACTTCATTAAGCTGAAGTGGTCTGGGTGCCTAGAGTGGTCCATTAAACAAAATGCAGGCTCTGCCATCAGAAATGTTGGGTCCCCCTGACATAGCTCAAGGTCTGGGGCACACCCTGGAGTCCACCACAGGGCTTGCCCTGCCCATAGTGCCCACCCTTGAGTCTGCCCACAAAGATGCAGTGGGTGTGTAGTGGATGCGGTATGTGTGTAGTGCATGTGTGTAGTGGGAGACTGCAAGAGTTGGAGAGCTTCTAGCAGCTGAAGATTGTGTGTGCTTAACTCCCTCTTCACTATACGGACTGCCTGGGGAATGCAGGGGCAATGCTGAAACATAGAGATGGTGCAAGACATGGCATACATGAAAATATACAGACACACACACTTACACACAGATATATATGAAGACACACACTCACACAGATATACACACATACCCTCAGGTACACACTGACAATCACATACATACACTGACAGACAAGCGGGTCATTGTTTTAGCCACCCTCCTGTTTCTTACCTTTTGGGTGCAGGAGGGTGGCTTCTGCTGTCTGGGACTGTTGTGAGTCAGGGTCTGGCTTTGCCCTCCAATCTGCCTTTCCTGTGTCTCCTCCCTCCCTTGTAGGTGTTAGCTGGGAGGAAGTGACTGATGTGCACTTACTTCCAGCACTGCCATGGTCATTAATTAAAGGGGACCGGTCGTGTTATAAGAGAGCCACAGTGCACAACAGGGGCCCTTAAGACATATACCCATTGGGTGGCCCTAAGTGCATGGGCCACCCGATGGGACACCTTAGTGTGTGTGGGCCCCATCCAGCCCCCCTGGTAACACCAGCGATAGTTCCGCCACTATGTATAGCAATGATTGCTATATACATGTGCACATTGGAAAGTGGGGGCCCAGGCTCCTGGGCCCCTAGGACCCCAAGGCCTGTGAGAACTGTTACAGTTGCCAATCCCTGATGGCGACCCTGCTATCCTCCATTGGATTACATTTAATTTTACCCTTGTTGTGGGAAATCTCCACTACCTCTTGTCTTTTACCAACCTAAGATGAAGGCGGTTAAAATTGTTCCAAATGTGTAACAATGATATCTACCCAGTACCTGTCCAAATATAATGTACTCAGCCAGTTTACCATCCCTACTCATGCCTTAAAGGTATAACTCAACAACATGCACAAAAATGTCTCACTAGTTTGTGTGATATGGATCATGACCACCAGGGGTCACTAAAGTTCAATTAGTTTTTCTGTTTTCACAGACAGTATAATCCTGTGGTGCATGCAGTTACACAAATCTACAAATTTGCTAACGGAGGAGCATCAATAGGATCCAATGTTCTATCAAGATCCATCACTTGTTGCAACTTATTCCTGGTCACTGCAACATCCCGAAAAACGGATTTTATGGTAATTAACAAATATTCAAGAACCACTAAAACCAAGAATTGAAAACCACATAAAAAGCCCTTGAAACACGATTTGTTCTCTGCTTTTTAAAGGGACACTATAATCACCAGAACAACTACAGCTTAATGTAGTAGTTATGGTGAGTATAATAGCTCCCTTCAGGCATTTTCATGCAAACACTGCCTTTTCAGAGAAAGACACCTTTAAGTGGCCACTCAAGGGGCTTCCTAGCTCAGGGCTGCACAGTAGGCAGCCCTGCCATTCAACGCCCCCATGGGGACGCTGAATTTTCCTCATAGACAAGCACTGATTCTATGGAGGTCCCGAATGGCCAAAACGACATTTGGCCCCGCACCCGTGACGATTTTAGCCAATCCAATGCTTTCCCGTAGGGAGATGTCCAGCTTTTGCTAGCTATTTTAATAATATACCCTTAATACAAAAATGCATAATTAAACACAATGTTTTCATTGGGGGTATATCTATTAAATAGTGTGGGGGTGGGGGGTGTTTTTTTTTCTTTGTGCAGTGCAGTAGCCTTTTAATGTATCTGGCATTTAGTTTCAGTGTTTGTGAGTGTATGTGTCTGTGTGAGTGCATGTCCATGAGTGTGTGGGTACTAGTGAGTGTAATAGTGTGTGTAACAGTGTGTGTTGTCACATTGTGTTGCAGTGTATGTGTGTAACTTACATGCTTTAAAAGAGGAGGCCGGGTAAACTTACACAGGCCTCCCAATCACCCTGATTTTGGCGAGTCAGTCCCTATTTGCAGGTTCTTTCCCACCATCCTAACTTTGTTTTCTGATGTTCGGTTTTTGCAGACACCATGCAGTTGTCCCCCCCAACTAGAATAGCGCAAGCACATCAGACATTCTTGCACTATGTTCAGGGCACTCTGACCTTGCAGAGAGCACTGAAACAGTGCTCCGTGCCTGGTCTGCCTTCAATGGGCTGGCCTTACATGACTGACAGCCTTTCTGAGCTTCTTTAAGGGAGTCAGTAACATGATTGCATCACTGGCCACCCCCTTTACCTCCCTCCCCCTGGCATCCCACTTCTTGGGGCGACAGAGTTGGGAAGTATCTTGGCTTGTCTTGGCTGCTTTGGAACATATGGCAAAGCACTAGAGAAGACTTTTAACAGGCAGCGTGGGTACCTGCAGTGTATAAGGCATGCACCTGTATCCAGGGCTGGATTTACACGTCGGATCTGCAGGCACAGATTTCTAAGATGCACCTTGCTCCCCCACTCAAAAAAGGAAATTCAGATAAAGTTAATGACTTTATTAACTGGGCATCACGGGCATAAAAACCATCTAAAAATCATATTTGAATCTGATAACTGCATAAGTAATTAGGGTTGAGACCTGGCCGGTATTTTATTGCAAGAATACCAGCAATGCAGAAGCCTTTATTTTTGTCTGATTGACATCTGGGACTGGTAGAGACAAATGTATCAGCAGATCTGGCAGATACTTTCAGATCGAAGTTTAGCTCCTCTCCCTTCCTTCAGTTTCCTCTCCTCAATGCATCACTCACACTCAGTACCAGTGGCGTCTCTAGGATTCATTTTTCGGGGGGGCACATGGAGGGCCAGTGACAAAAGTAGGGGGGCACATTTAACCCCGCCCTCGCCGCAGTTTGACCCCGCCCCTGTCGCATGTTAAGCCACGCCCCCGACACAATGTGTTTTGTTTTTTTAATAATACCTGGTGGAGGATTCATTATTTTCCACCAGGGATTATTAAAAAAACAAACACATTATCCTTGATACAGTGCCATAGTTGCCAACATTTGAAAAAAAAATTCCAAGGACATTTTTCAGCACAGCTATCAATTACTGTCTGGGTATAATATCCCTGGACAGTCAGTGCTCTCTGTATAATACAGGGTTGTGTGTATAATAAATTGGGTATAATATATATATATTACAGTAAGCACACAAGCTCACTGACATGTGCAAATAGGCTTACTGACAGACAAAACTCTCTGACTCACACACAAGCTTACTACAGACACTCACTTGTATAAACAGAAGGCTCACTACAAAGAAGTTCAGGGACACACACACAAGCTCACTAAAAACAAGCTCACTGACACACACATGCTCACTAAATAGAAGCACACTGACACACACAAGCAGTACCATTTTAACAGAGTTAAGGGCCCCTGGGCAAAGCAATACACTGGGGCCCTTCCTACACAACAACTCACAGGAATTTTAATTATTGATAGACTGCGGAGTCCATACACACACTCACACACACAGATTGCTGAGTCCATACACACACACACACACACACACAGATTGCTGAGTCCATACACACACATACAGACTCTGCTGAGTCCATACACACACACAGACTCTGCTGAGTCCATATACACACACACACACACACACACACAGACTCTGCTGAGTCCATACACACACACAGGGCCATCTTTAATAACGAATGGACCCTGGGCAAGTGTTTGCTTGGGCCCCCTGGGCCCTGCCGCTCTCGCCCCTCACTCCCTGGTATGCAATCACGGCATCCATCCCAACGCAGTGGCGGTACTAAAGTAGAATGAATTTTATTGGGACCCCCAATTGCAAGGTTGGACTAAAGGTAGAACCCCATCTGTCGTGCAACTCCAACAATGCTTTGACAGCTGGGACTCTACCAATTTCCCATGCTTGCAGGGTTGTATTTAGCACTGAGCCATGTTTGTATGTTTGAATGTAAGCATGTGTTTGTATGGAGTATGTTTGTGTGAATGTGTTTGTATGTGGTACTGGAGTTTGAATGCAAGTGTGCATTTATGTGTAGTGTTTGTTTTTGAATGTAGGAGTGTGCTTGTATGTAGTGTTGACGTTTCAATGCAGGAGTGTGTTTTATATGTAGTGTTGAAGTTTGAATGGAGGGGTGTATTTGTATTTAAAGTTGCGGCTCAGATGCACAGGTACACACTCTGACGCACAAGCAGATACACAGATACATACACTGACTACATACAGATAAACAGGCACATACACTGACAGACATACTGACACAGGTACATATATTGACACACACACAGACACATACACTGGTAGACGTACTGACAGACATACTGACACAGGCACATATACAGACATACTGACACACAGACACATATACCGACATACTGACACACACACACAGACACATACACTGATCAACATACTGACACACATACACTGACAGAAATACTGACACCCACACACTGACAGATATACTGACACCCACATACACTGAGAAATACTGACACACACACACAGGCACATACACTGACACACACAGACTGATATACTGACACACACACACACACACACAGACATACTGGCACACAGACAGATATACTGACACATGCACTAACAGACATACTGACGCACAGACAGACATACTGCCACACACACACACACACAGATATACACACACACACAGACAGGCATACTGACATGCACAGACAGACTGACACACACACACAGACATACTGAAACACACACACACAGATATACTGACACACAGACAGACATACATACTGACAAAAACACACACAGACATACTGACACACAGACAGACATACTGACACACAGACACTAACACACAAACACACACACTAACACACATACACTAACACACACCAACACACAAACACACACTAACACACATACACTAACACACACTAACACACACTAACACACAAACACACACTAACACACATACACTAACACACACTAACACACAAACACACACTAACACACAAACACACACTAACACACATACACTAACACACACATACACTAACACACAAACACATAAACACACATTTTTTTTTTAAATGTAATCCCCCCAGCCTCCTTACCTTTTGGAGTGCTGGGGGGATTCCCTGGGGTCCAGTGGTGCTGCTGGGCTCCTGGGCGGGTGGCCGGTCGGGCAGGAAGGCGGGCGCTCGAGGGAGCACTCACTGCTTCCTCTTCAGCTTCCGGCGCCGGCATCCCTACGCGGCGCGCGAGGGAGCTGAAGAGGAAGCAGTGAGTGCTCCCTCACGCGCCCGCCTTCCTGCCAGACCGGCCACCCGCCCGCCGGGGTCAGCAGGGCCAGCCTGGGGGGGCCCTGGGGTGGCCACCTCCTGGGCCCCCCAGGGGAAGACGCTGGCCCTGTGGGTGCATACCAGGGTCGCGGCTGCGACCCTGGTATGTACGCCACTGCCCTAAGTGCATGGGCCACCCGGTGGGACGGGAAAAAAATAAATTGATGAGGGCAGCGGGGCCCACGGGGCAGGTGCCTCGGGCCCCCCAAGAGAAACTGGGCCCGGGGCAGCTTCCCCGTTTGCCCCGCGTTAAAGACGGCCCTGCACACACAGACTCTGCTGAGTCCATACACACACAAACAGACTCTGCTGAGTCCATACACAAACACACAGACTCTGCTGAGTCCATACACAAACACACACTCTGCTGAGTCCATACACAAACACACACTCTGCTGAGTCCGTACACACACAGACTGCTGAGTCCATACACACACACACTGCTGAGTCCATACACACTGCTGAGTCCATACACACACACAGACTGCTGAGACCACACACACACACAAAGACTGCTGAGTCCACACACACACAAAGACTGCTGAGTACACAAACACACAAAGACTGCTGAGTACACAAACACACACACTCTGCTGAGTCCATACACACACACACTCTGCTGAGTCCATACACACACACACACACCTCTGAGTCCATACACACACACACACACACTCTGCTGAGTCCATACACACACACAGACTGCTGAGTCCCACACACACACACACACAGTCCATACACACACAGATTGCTGAGTCCATACACACACACAGACAGTCCATACACACACACACTGCTGAGTCCATACACACACACACACTGCTGAGTCCATACACACACACAGACTGCTGAGTCCATACAGACACACACTGCTGAGTCCACACACACACAAAGACTGCTGAGTACACAAACACACAAAGACTGCTGAGTACACAAACACACACACTCTGCTGAGTCCATACACACACACACTCTGCTGAGTCCATACACACACACACTCTGCTGAGTCCATACACACACAGATTGCTGAGTCCATACACACACACACTCTGCTGAGTCCATACACTCACACACACACACTCTGCTGAGTCCATACACACACACAGACTGCTGAGTCCATACACACACACAGACTGCTGAGTCCATACACACACACAAACACACAGACTCTGCTGAGTCCATACACACACACAGCTGCTGAGTCCATACACACACACACAGACTGCCGAGTCCATACACACACAAAGACTGCCGAGTCCATACACACACAAAGACTGCTGAGTCCACACACAACTGCTGAGTCCATACACACACAGAGTCCATACACACACAGATTGCTGAGTCCATACACACACACACACAGATTGCTGAGTCCATACACACACAGATTGCTGAGTCCATACACACACACACAGACTGCTGAGTCCATACACACACAGATTGCTGAGTCCATACACACACACACAGACTGCTGAGTCCATACACACACAGATTGCTGAGTCCATACACACACAGACTGCTGAGTCCATACACACACACACAGACTGCTGAGTCCATACACACAGACACACACAGACTGCTGAGTCCATACACACACACACAGACTCTGCTGAGTCCATACACACACACAGACTGATGAGTCTATACACACACAGACTGTGTGGGCCATTTTAGATTAGGGGCCATCTTACTTAATCCTTACTTACCTGTTTTTGTCCCACCCCCCTCCCTTTTTTCAGTTTATAGCTCCCGCTTAGAAAATTTGGGGGGTAGGTCATTTGTTCATAGGTATGTTCGTTTTAGTTCGCTAAGAACACTTAGGTTTGGAGTGGTATTGGTAGTTTTGAGCTTGTTGGTAATTCCGAACCTGGTCTGTGTAGGGTGTATCTTGCCCTCGGTGGTAATGGTTTATGTTAACTTATTTATATGTTCTATATGTTATTTATATTTATAAGCAAATGCAAAAAAAAGGGGACTATGTATATGTCAAGTGAGGGGTGCTGCTTTCTCATGAGTGTGCTGTTGCTGCTTGCATTCCCAGCACTGAAGAGGTTTACAAGCAGAGCAACAGTTAACAGCTACAGTTTTCCGGTCTGTAGTTGTCATTCACCCCTCCTCGCCCTTCGCAAATACACAGTAAAAAGCCAGGTCTCTGCAGGCACGGTTTATAGCGTTAGAGCAGATCTGCTAAGCTTTGAAGATTGGGACACTTGGGAACATAAATAATAAATGTAACTATACAGCTTAAAAGTCTTAGGCAGTAAATCTATTAACCTTTTTCCCTAGTGTTTACCTCTATGGCAGGGGTGGTCAAAAACTAGATCCCTAGTGGTTTTAAAACTACAGCATCCATGATGCTTTGCCATTCTAAACGCATGCAAAGCATCATGGAAGTTGTAGTTCTAGAACACCTGGGGACCTACCTTTCGGGCTCTATGGTGTTAGATTGAGCGGAGTTCTCCTTGTCAAATATTCTATGTAACTAGTTCAGACTGGCTTGCCTTCCTGTTATAACTTTTTTGACACACCATAGATATTCCTTACTTCCTGATACTTCATTTAATTTCCTTCCCCTGTCAAGTTGTTAATACATATTTCTTAACCACAATGTATAGTCCTCTAGCCCCATTATTCTACCCCTTTTAGATGCCCCATTCATCTACCCCTTTCAGATGCCTCATTCACCTGCTCCTAGTACACCAGTTTATTCACTGACATGTGAATTGTCAGGAAATGAAATGTAAGTTTATTTCAAATTTTAGGTCAAAGTAGTAAAAATGAAAACATTACTTTTTTTTTTTAAATAAAATGTGTTATTTTGGCCTGAGATGTGAAATTCTCTTCGAATTTACTTTGAATTCCAACAATTCACACCTTAATGAATAACCCCACTAAAAGACAGGACAGGTGTAATGTCATGCAAGCTCACCTGTTGGAGTTAAGAGCAGTAATTGTAATCCAAGGAGCAGAACCACAGAGGAATACATGGGGCCACTACAGAGTTAGCGCAATGAGCAGTGAGATCCAGTTTGTGCAGGACCCGATCAGCCTTCTGATATAGTGTTTAGGTTTCTTAATAAGGAAGAAATGTTATGAAATGTGTTGCAACTTGTTCAGAGAAAGTGTCAAATGACAATGCTGTGTGTGAAATACATTGAAACAGAAGGATGCACATTTATGTCAGAGCTGGTGTTCTATCAAAAACCCTACCCCGTTAAAATTCCCTACCCTTGTCACTTCTGGTGATGCGGCCGAACCGGAAGTGACGAGGAACAGCTCTAGAACGGGGGTGTGCACCGCCACGCAAGCGCACAACTACTAGGTAGGGAAATTTCACATATGGGAGGGGTTTCTGTGCAGTATATGGGGGGGTTTCTGTGCAGTATATGGGGGGGTTTCTGTACAGTATATTGGGGGATTTCTGTGCAGTATATGGGGGGCTGCACAGTATATTGGGGGGTTTCTGTGCAGTATATGGGGGGGCTGCGCAGTATATTGGGGGGTTTCTGTGCAGTATATGAGGGTCTGCGCAGTATATTGGGGGGGGCTGTGTGTTAGATGTGTACAAGCCTAGTTTCACACAAAAATTAGTTATTTCCTAGATATCCTATGCCATGGTATGCTTTTTGCTACGAAACCGCAGCCATGTAGTCACTCACCAGAGAAGGAAGAGAAACTGCACCCCACCCAGAGGGACTGCGCCACATCTGCAACCAAATCCGCTGGTCACCGAATTCAGTAATCTCCGTCTCTTTGTCCATTCCGTATGTATAGTACTCCCAATTCTTATATTTAATCCTGTGTGTCTCCCACAATCTTTGTGTCTGGCTGCTCTATGTTTGTGGCACGCAAGTCTGCATGCACTGTGTCTGTTATGCCAGTTACTCTAACCAGTTTTTTATTTGTTTTTGTGTGTGTCACAGCTCTGACAAGCATGTTCTCCTATGGGACACAAAGTACATGAAGAGGAATGAAGAAGCCCATGTTTGAGGCTCGTCTCCAGGGTGGAGTATTGAATTTATAAGTACTGAAGTGGCATCTGACACGTGACAAGCTGCTCCTGTTTGCACAGTGCCTTCAACATTGTGTAATGGGATCAACGTCTAGTTCAGAGGTAGGTAACCTTGGGCAGTCCAGATGCTGTGAATTACACCTCCCATAATGCTGGCAAAGCATTATGGAAGGTGTAGTCCAAAACATCTGGAATACCGAATGCGTATGAATGAAAAGTATGGTGTGTGTGAATGGTCAGTAACAAGGGTTGAAGCCTTGACGTGGCGTTACTGCTCACATGTGTATCCATGTGCCAATTCAACCAATGTGAGTGACTGTAATACTTATGAGGTAACCATAAATATCATGACTATGGAGAATTAAATGCCTGTATCACCTAAACACTACTTATACTGTGATCGTATCTCCTAAAAACTGCTCATACTGTGACTGTATATCCTAAACACTGCTTACACTATGATCGTTCCATCTAAACACTGCTTACACTGTGACCGTATCTCCTAAACACTGCTTACACTGTGACCGTACCAGCTAAACACTGCTTATACTAGGACCGTATCTCTGAAACACTGCTTACACTGTATCATAAAAACTGCTTCAACTTATCGGGATCCATCAAAGGTGAAATCTAGGGTTATATACTCCATGCCACCTTAATCGGGGGAGGGGGGGGTAATAAATGTTCCAGATATAGTGCCCCCGTTTGGTCAAATTTAAATCATTATACGTGATACTGTTTTCTCAATTCCAGATCAAGTTTCAGTTTGATGAGGGAGGCAGTTTAAAGCATTATACACTAAGTGCATTTTCTGTATTTTAGATCTGGTGTCCCAGTATGGGATGGAGACCATCGTTCTGTTTAACAAGAGGATAGTTGTGCATCATCTATGACTGGTGGCTCAGCAGGAATTCAACAGGTTCATGAAATGGAACCCTCTGTTGCATTAGACCCAATTCTGAGATTATGACCGAACTCTAAAGCACTTAAAATTTTTATGATATTTTATTTATGTATTTTGAATGTTGTGCAAAGACCCCAGATGGTCACTGTTCCACTTATATTCCAGTGGCCATGAAGGGCAGGTGAATGTAGTTTTTACTTGACTTAAAATGTCCTTTGTATGCATCTTCTGCCAGGAGCCAACGGAAGCGCTCTACTCAAGTGTATGCATTAGCTCTGTCTTTTGTCAAAAGTAGAAAAAATACTTAAGATAAAGTTGTTCCTGTTTGCTCTTAATTTGTGGGCGTCGCAGGGATGCTTTAAGTCAAAATTGAAAGCGCTCTATCATTCTTTCTATTCTACGCCTCTAATCCTCAACATGGAAATTGTAGTTTGTAATAATAGAAAATACGTAGATTGTAATATGCTTTCTGGTTACGTTCTGGTGAATTTTAACGTATTTTTTTTTTTTTTTTTACAGCTCCCGAGGCAAGGAGCAAACCGCCTTGAGGAGTCCCTGCATAAGAGTCTATTGGATACAGAAGGCTGTACTAAAGGAAGATCTCATCACAGCATCATCCAAGCCCTAGTCAGGAGTATATGAGGCCTCTTAAGAGTAAAGAGCGGCTAACAATATCTGATAATAGGCCACATGTGCAATTATTATGTATGTAATTAATGTACAACATACTTTTTTGTTACATTAGAAATTAACAAATATTGTTAGACTTTTTGTTTACTGCTGCCTTAAAAAAAAATTATGATATTTATAGAGCGCCGTCAAATTCCACAGCGCTTTACAATGGGTGGACAAACAGACATGTAGTTGTAACCAGATAAGTTGGACACAAAGGAACAGAGGGATTGAGGGCCCTGCTCAGTGAGCTTACATGCTAGAGGGAGTGGGGTAAAATGACACAAAAAGGTAAGGATAGTATTAGACTAGTGACAGTTGCAGAAGAGGAATCAGTAAAACTCCAAACAATTTTGAAATGTGTATCTGTAATCAATGTTAACCTGCTAATTATTGTGGGACAGTGGAGAGCAACCCCATACTGGTACTCTATCAAATAATCCAGGACTGTTAGGAAATATGGCTTTGTATCAAACTATGATAATTTATGGCGCACATAGGTCCTCTTGTCACTGTGCCTATGGAAAGTTTTGATTATAACTGTGATGACTTTCAAAAGATAGCAATAAGCAGAGTAAGAAGTTGCTCTTTAAAGGGACACTATAGGCACCAAGACCACTTCATTTCGTTGAAGTGGTTTGGGTGCAGTGCCTATGTCCCCTTAACCCTGCAATGTGAAATATTGCAGTTTCTGCAAGGTTATCTCATCCTCTATTGGCTGTCTACCAGACAAGCACTAGAGGCGCTTCAGGTCCTTAGCGGAGACCAACTACGTGAAATGACACTGGACATCCTCACGCTTTTCCTGAGGACAACCAATGTCTTTAAAAATGCTATAGAAAAGCCTTGAGTTAATGCTTTCCGATGTGGAAGCTGAAATGTGTGCGCAGGAGGGCAGGATGTTGGCGGAGCCTGGCCTAACAATCAGGTAACTGACTAAAAGGGTGAAGAGGGTGTTAGAAATACAGATTGATATTCCTAGTACCATAGGTTTCCTTTAAATCAAAGAGTCTTTACCCCATTTCTAAATTTATATAGGTTCCCAAAACATCAACGCCAAAAAGGAACTCCACTCTGTGTTCAACAATAGAACCTGAGGTCTTTGTTTTTTTGTGTTTTCTCCTCTGAAACCCACCATCTCATCACCCTGCTGTAGAATTGCAGTGATGTCATGCTATGGGACACAGCAAGTGCTGTTATTATTTATAGCTAAGTAACACAAATAGCATGTCAAGGTGTCAGCAATATACTTTATTTCTTCAAAGTTAATATGCAGTTTACACTTTATATGTACAGTGAAAAAAATATAAGTCAATGCGGAAACTGGCTAAAAAAAAAAGCAGTGTCATATCCAACATGGAGAAAGTTCAATCACCTGTACAGAAAGGCTGTATGGCATTAGGAAGGCAGTATCTTTATAATATAATAGTCTCTCTCTATCTGGGCCGTCCAGGATTAAAAATCACTGGAAGATGAAGGTTACTTCATGTCTGCAGCATGTGTTCCGAAGCACTCATATGGAAGCTTTCTGTAGAAGAAGGTAATCTCTTCTTTTTCAGCAGGTCTAGGTTCATATTGGTGGGTTTTTTCTCTGGCACTGGAACCAGTAAAGGAGTGTAAAATTGAGAGGATCACCTTGTTTTTCCCACAAATCTAAGAAAACTCAGAACAGAAGATTGAGGATAGTGGTTAACAACTTAATGAAACTGCAAACACTAAAACTAACTTGAAAAAAATAACAGCATTCACAGTGTAAGCAGTGTGTAGGTGGCACGGTCACAGTGTAAGCAGCGTATAGGCGATACGGTAACAGTATAAGGCAATGTTTATGTGATACGGTCACAGTATAAGCAGCGTGTAGGTGGCACGGTCACAGTGTAAGCAGCGTATAGGCGATACGGTCACAGTATAAGGCAATGTTTATGTGATACGGTCACAGTATAAGCAGTGTGTAGGTGGCACGGTCACAGTATAAGGCAATGTTTATGTGATACGGTCACAGTATAAGCAGTGTGTAGGCGGCACGGTCACAGTGTAAGCAATGTTTATGTGATACGGTCACAGTATAAGCAGTGTTTAGGAGATACGGTCACAGTAAAAGGCAATGTTTATGTGATACGGTCACAGTATAAGCAATGTTTAGGAGATACGGTCACAGTGTAAGCATTGAGTAGACGGCACGGTCACAGTGTAAGCAGCATATAGGCGATACGGTCACAGTATAAGGCAATGTTTATGTGATACGGTCACAGTATAAGCAGTGTGTAGGTGGCACGGTCACAGTATAAGGCAATGTTTATGTGATATGGTCACAGTATAAGCAGTGTGTAGGCGGCACGGTCACAGTGTAAGCAATGTTTATGTGATACGGTCACAGTATAAGCAGTGTTTAGGAGATACGGTCACAGTAAAAGGCAATGTTTATGTGATACGGTCACAGTATAAGCAATGTTTAGGAGATACGGTCACAGTGTAAGCATTGAGTAGACAGCACGGTCATAGTGTAAGCAGTGTGTAGGCGGCACGGTCACAGTGTAAGCAGTGTGTAGGCGGCACGGTCACAGTGTAAGCTGTGTGTAGGCAGCACGGTCACAGTATAAGCAGCGTATAGGCAATACGGTCACAGTATAAGCAGTGTTTAGGAGATACGGTCACAGTGTAAGCAGTGTGTAGGTGGCACAGTCACAGTGTAAGCAGTGTGTAGGCGGCACGGTCACAGTGTAAGCAGTGTATAGGCGATACGGTCACAGTATAAGGCAATGTTTATGTGATACGGTCACAGTATAAGCAGTGTTTATGAGATACGGTCACAGTGTGAGCAGTGTTTAGGTGACACAGGCGTTTAATTCTTCATAGTCACGGTATTTATGGTTACCTCATAAGTATTACAGTCACTCACATTGGTTGAATTGGCACATGGATACACATGTTGGCAGTAACAACATTTCAAGGCTTCAACCCTTGTTACTGACCATTCACACACACCATACTTTTCATTCATACGCATTCGGTATTCCAGATGTTTTGGACTACACCTTCCATAATGGTTTGCCAGCATTATGGGAGATGTAATTCACAGCATCTGGACTGCCCAAGGTTACCTTCCTCTGAACTATGCCGTGATCACAGTACACAATGTTGAAGTTGCTGTGCAAACATGAGCAGCTTGTCACGTGTCAGATGCCACTTCATTACTTATAAATTCAATACTCCACCCTGGAGACGTGCCTCAAACACGGGCTTCTTCATTCCACTTCATGTACTTCGTGTCCCATAGGAGAACATGTTTGTCAGAGCTGTGACACACACAAAAAGAAATAAACTGGTTAGAGTAACTGGCATAACAGACACAGTGCATGCAGACTTGCGTGCCACATACATACAGCAGACAGACACAAAGATTGTGGGAGACACACCGGATTAAATATAAGAATCGGGAGTAATATACATACACAATGCACAAAGAGACGGAGATTACAGAATTCAGTGACCCACGGATTTGGTTGCAGATGTGGGGCAGTCCCTCTCACTGGGGTGCAGTTTCTTATCCTTCTCTGGCGAGTGACTAGATGGCTGCGGTTTCATAGCAAAAAGCATGCCATGGCATGATATCTAGGAAATAAATATTTTTTTGTGAAACTAGGGTTGCACACATCTAACACACAGGCCACATATACTGTACAGCTCCCCATCTAACGCAGAGCCCCCAAATATAATACACTGCCCCCCACATGTAATGCACTGCCCCTCCATCTAACACACTGCCCCCACATCTAACACACAGACCCCCCAATATACTGCGCAGACCCCCCATATACAGCGCAGACCCCCCCCATATACAGTGCAGTACTATTATGAAAATCACTGCAGACATCTCTGATCAAATAAATAACATGTAGTACTTTGTTAGATATGTATATACTAGTTGCTGTAATGCAGAACCAAAATGTGGACTTTGATGTCTATCGGGGTATCAGTCTGCAGAAGTTTTTTCTGTACTGAGCTATATGTCTTTCATTGCTCTGGATCTGTATTATACTGACTCTGTGTAACATATTCTCCCTCCCCTTGTGGTCAGCGGCCATGCATCTGCATGAATGACACTTGCGGCATGTTAATGGACGCCGGCCACTGCGGATCTACGGCTAATTATACCCCCACGTCCGCTCACGTGATTGACGATGTCGGCATGCACGTGACGTCACAGAAGCGGCGTACACGCACGTTTTGGGGTCAAAGAGCAATCTCGGCCAATCAGAAAGGTAAAGCAGGTATTTAAACCTAAAATTACCTTTCCTCATTGCCCTGCCGTGGTTTCTCTAGTGGTTGTCTGAGAGTGCATTCCTGATTCAAGTTTTTGACTTTGGCTTTGATTTTAACTTCCCTGTTTTCTGGTATCCCTGACCACTGTTTTTCAATTATCGTTTTGTCCCTTTCTGTGTCCCCTGACCTCGGCTAGCATCCTGACTATTCTTTGGTACGCTAGTCCGGCCATTCTAAGGCCCGGTAATACGTTACCTATTAGTCATCTGTGTGACACAATTCTACATGCTGGATCATATAGTAATCCTGACACTTTGATAGTGCTGAAATAATGATTCTCATAGAGAACCATTGCTTTATGCCGATTGATTCGAAATAGAAACTGGTTAAGATATGAAGCAGAAATAACAGATCAATAGCTGAAAAAGTAGTAATGAACAAGTAACACGTACAACATATTTCTGTTATGTGAAATGTTCATTTGACAGACTCATACACATTCTTTATTGTTTAATGTTTAGCTCATGTGTAATGTTACATATTTACCTATAGGGTGTATTGATTAGGCAGTGAATAATAATGCCCCAGTTTGGTATGATTCGGTATGGTTTGCTATTCCACTTTACCATCCCAACTCGTATCATAGTTTAATATTTTAGACTACTTTCTAGAACAGAATATTTTCATAAATCTCCATGATTAGGTTAATTGTACTGAAATTTTAAGTCAAATATCTGAAATAAAAACACAGTTAACTCCGTTGTTTTTTTTTTTTTTTTTAACTGTTTTGTAATTTAGAAAAGGAGGCTAAAACACAAAAGAACTATATATAAGTGCAGAGAGTTCAATGAAAATTGCTCACTTTGTAATCACATGTTTTCATAAATGCCTTGATACTGGATAGGGGTAGGGTGTGGTTTACTTAGAAATCTAAAAGTATTTGCTATTACCCAACTTGGGCATTACATTTATATTGTTGGATACATTCCTCAAATTAGTTAATATTTTTGGATAGATTTTAAAAAAATATTTTTTATTTTTAGAAATATATCATCCATAAAAAATATAGTAATATCATAAAATACTAACAATTTTTATAATATTAAAGCATTTTAAACGTTTTAAAAACTTTTGTAAAAATATTAAATTGAGGACTTAGTATTGCTCATTTTATTGGTCTTGAAAGTTTAAAAGTCTGAGTTGTTCTTTCTTGTCAAACCATACTACCGGTAGCTGTTTAGGAACTGCAGTTATTGGACCACATACATGTCATCACCCAAAAAAATGAAAATGTATTTTAGGCCAAATGAACAGGTTTAAGTTTTAGTTTTTTTTAAAAATTTTGCAGCTGAAACAATACATTGCAATGATGAAAGGCTTAATTGTTTAATTCCACAATACAAATACCAATGTCTTCAAAGCATATTATGACCTCTAATCAAGCGTTAGCAGGGCAGGGAAGGAGGGGATAGGAACATAAATCCATATTAGGACAGCTAAGTATGAGAAATTGATGCCTCCTGAGGTACTTGGCTCTATGAGTGTAGAACCAAAATCTATGTACTGTTACTATACTGACTCCTGAGTCCTGTCCCTTCTGGGGGTAAAAGGAATCAAGTTGGCCATATTCCAGGTGTGACTTGGAATGAGTCCCAAGTGCACCATAATATATATATTTTTTCACTAAATGGTAAGTTGTGTTGCATAAATAACTTGAAAATGTCTGGACTTAGTCCAAAGCATTTTCAGCATCCATACTTAGGATACTTAAAGGGACACTATAGTCACCTGAACAACTTATCTTAATGAAGCAGTTTTGGTGTATAGAACATGCCCCTGCAGCCTCACTGCTCAATCCTCTGCCATTTAGGAGTTAAATCCCTTTGTTTATAAACCCTAGTCACACCTCCCTGCATGTGACTTGCACAGCCTTCCATAAACACTTCCTGTAAAGAGAGCCCTATTTAGGCTTTCTTTATGGCAAGTTCTGTTTAATTAAGATTTTCTTATCCCCTGCTATCTTAATACCATGCTAGACCCTGCAAGAGCCTCCTGTATGTGATTAAAGTTCAATTTAGAGATTGAGATACAATTATTTAAGGTAAATTACATCTCTTGAAAGTGAAACCAGTTTTTATTTTCATGCAGGCTCTGTCAATCATAGCCAGGGGAGGTGTGGCTAGGGCTGCATAAACAGAAACAAAGTGATTTAACTCCTAAATGACAGTGAATTGAGCAGTGAAATTGCAGGGGAATGATCTATACACTAAAACTGCTTTATTTAGCTAAAGTAATTTAGGTGACTATAGTGTTCCTTTAAGTTTTCACATAGGTTATAAGATATGCCTGCCCAGAGGATTCTGTGGAATACAATTCTCATCATTAAGAGTGATGGGAGTTATGGTAGTAGTATTTGCAGTGTTGTAACTTTGTGTAGTGGACTACCCATGGGGGTGGAAATGTGGTACAGCTCTGTACCTGCAGATTCTTAAGATGCAGGGTTACAGAACAGCTGAGGGAGTACTATTGCACCCTACATTCATGGAACACATGGTACTGTGACTGGCGCTGTTATAACACTGCGTTCTTGTGAGTGAATCACAATAACACTCACCATTTTGAAATTTACTTTTTAATGGTAATATTACAGGGTTGACCAACCTCTGGGTGTCTGAGTGTCTTTTCAGTAAAATGATTAGAATAGGAAGACCAGCAGAAGTAAATTTATTGTGTTTTCTCCAACAAAATTTTAATTTGTCAGATAAGATAAATAATTTAAGATTTGTCCACTGTAGCAATGAAGGTATACTGATAAAAAGGTGTCCATAAATAGCCTTGCATGTGCTCAGGTGCGTGCACTCCTGGGAATTCAGGTGTAAGTCTTTCTTCTTCTCCTCCTCCTCTCCTCTCTCAAACTGCAAGAATACACCAAAAACATCTTTTTAAATATGAAAACCAAAGCAAAAAAAGTCCTTACCAGGTACTAAGCAAATAGGCGTCACAACCAAATATATTGAAAAAGTGCTTATTTTTGACAAAAATGACTCATCGAGCAAGTTTGTGACTTGTCCAAATTGGTAGTTTTCACTCCTCAACCCGACAAAGGAACATCAGTAGAGCCATCCCAAGTAAAGTACACCTCGGCACTGACTGCAACAGTGGCCACATTTCAACATGCTGTGCTAACTTTATAACGATTACAAACTCAACAGTAAATAAGCCTATATGTACTGAACCATATGAACCACAGCTAATAAAAAAATAAAATATCAATCTCCTAAAACATTTACTCAAAAACATTTAACACCATTAGTTAAGCTCAACATTTACTGTGTGTGTGTGTGTATATATATATATATTGAAATCAGCACATTTATAAAAAAAAGGAATATAGGCAAGTTAAAAAATTATTTGAATATTTTGAGATTTTTTACATATTATACATTTTTTTTATATATATATATGATCAATTTTCTTTACATATATTTTAATATTCCAAAAATATGAAATCAGTTGAAAATCGTATCCAAATATATTAAATTGAGGCCTTAATGTTTGTTGTAGCCCAAAAACATCTGACGTGCAACTACGGATTGAGATATTAAAGGGACACTCCAGGCACCCAGACCACTTCTGCCCATTGGAGTGGTCTGGGTGCCAACTCCCACTAACCTTAACCATGCAAGTGTAATTATTGCAGTTTTCTATAAACTGCAATAATTACTTGCAGGGTTAACTCCACCTATAGTGACTGTCTACTAGACAGCCACTAGAGGGCACTTCCAGCATCATAGCACAGAAAACCTGTGCTAGAGTGTCGCTCAATTCCCCAATTCCCCATAGGAAAGCATTGAAATGGGGGGTGGGAGGGAGAGGGGACCTGGAGTTTCCCTTTAGGCAGCTGAATTTTACATTTTGGCGAGATTTGGGTTTGTAAAAAATTTGATTAATACTTGTGAAACAGACACAATTGAAGTACCTATTATTAAAATCAGAAGCTTGCATATTGTCCCCTATGAAAGCGCTGTTACTATGGTGTCCCATTTCCTCTCCTTTTTCTTCATTTGGTCCACAAATCACATCCTCCTGTAAAACAAAGGAAAAGTATTACCAACAAATACACTATTTTGGGTGAGTTGCTCTAACTCCTTAACGTGTGACTGTTGTGAAAAAAATGAACGAAGCACTGGCTAGGGAGTTTCCATTGCAATCACGGTGCATACATTGTGGTTGCTATGTATGGAGAGCAGAGGGACCTCCTATGGGAGTCAGTGCCTCGGCACCCTGAGGTATTGACTGACAGCTGGAAGAAAAACATTTTTAAATAGGATAAGATTTACTTATACCTAAGTGGAGCACTAAAGTGCAATAAAAAGCAATGAGGTGACTTACTCCACATGTATATATAGATGTATTAGGGGGTACATAAAAGACAAAAAGGCACATATATAGTGCAGGTGGTAATATACAACAATCACACCTCTCCTTCAATCCAATATTATTTTAACCATTTTATATCATTGATACTTCACATTGGCGGCCCATTTTTCTTTCTCTTCTTTCTTGGAGGGTAAATTGGATTGAAGGAGGGGTGCGATGCTGCCCTAAGAGCATATCAGCAATCTATACGGAGCCCATATTTGTAGGCTCCATCAAATGTGAGTGATCTGACCAAACAAAGTCATATTACTTGTTGTATATTACCATCTGCACTATATCTGTACCTTTTTGTCTTTTATGTACCCCTAATACATCTATATATACCCGTGGGGTAAGTCACCTCATTGCTTTTTAGTGCACTTTGGCCCTCCACTTATGTATAGATAGAATTTTATGCTCAATGTAATTAAGTTGTTTGGGGCATGACAGATCCACTTTAAAGGGACAGACCGAATCCCTAAAGCACTTTAGCTTGCTAAAATGCTTTACATTATGAGAGTGTGTCCTATTTTTTATTTTATTTTACTTAAGGTGTCACTTTTATGAATGAATCTTGTTACAACCCCCAGCGGACAATCAGACAACAAGTCCTGTTACTTCCTGGTTGTTTAATTCACTGGAGCTAAACCCAAGAGGCAGCAATTGGCACCTGCCTTGGAAAGACTTCTCTTTGAACTGCATTGGGCAGTCTGTGATTAGACTGCCACAGAAAGTCTGGGTGGGGCTAGAATGGGAGGGCTTGCAAAGGTTGCAGATAAGGAAACTGCAATTTTTGCAAGCTGATTTTAGATAAACCTCCATTGAAAAAAAAAAAAAGCATTATTAAATAAATGCATTTTTTTAATTGGGGGAATATTTCCTAAATAGTTAATTTAATTAATATTAATGTATTTATTTGTTCAGTGAAGGCTACCTTTAATATACCAGTGAATTGTGGTGAACCAAGCAGTGACTATAAAAAAGTAAAAAAAAAATGTTTTGAATTCTCCAGCACCCCGCTGGAGAATTCAAAACATTTTTTTTTTAACTTTTTGCACTAAATGTTGCAATTTGTTATTCAATTCTCTGCAATTTGGTGTTTAGTGATTTAACCCACAAAAAGTTAGAAAACAAAAATGGAATAGCCAGATTGATGTCAAAATTACTAAATAGGGGTGAGGATAGGGGAGGGAAATTGCCAAATTAGAGTACCTTCACAAGTTATTTTTTTTTTTTTTTTTGGTCAATGTTTTATTGAGAGATGAGCAAGGTCCAACAAAATCTAGAACAATATCAGAAAAAAATCAGCATTAGAGGCTCAAGCATGTGCGTTGCCTGGTTCATTCCACAGTGGAATTAAGAATTAAAAAATATGAAAATTTAAAATAGTTGGCATTTAATTAAAAACTAGAAATAGTGAATAGCGAATGTCATCCAATGCCATGTCAGCTGAATGAGCAAAGTGAATCACATCATTTTAATCCCTTCGTGCTATTACGGAGTTCCACGCAGTCCGCATTTGAATGGGCATTAAAGCCATTGCAACGGCATGGAACGCTGTAACGGCTTGCAACATTGATCTACTCACCTCCGCTGTACTCCGCTTCTGGGGGACTGCCTATATATATATATATATATATGTATATATATATATATATATAAATTAATTAAAATACTTTAAATATATATATATAAATATGTGTAATTATATAAATATCTTCTTAAATATACACATAGAATTTAAATACATAATTCTAATTTAATTAATTAAAATTTGAGGGACCTGCCTAACAACCCAGGAAGAAAGCAGAGAATTGAATTTGCAAGACCTATATTTAACCCCCTGTAATTTTCCAAAAGACCCTAAAAACTGTACATGGAGGATACTGTTGTACTCGAGAGACTTCACTGAACACAAATATTAGTGTTTCAAAACAGTAAAATGTATCACAACGATGATATCATTAGTGAAAGTGCAGTTTTTGTGTGAAAAAATGCAAAAAAATCTAATATGAACACTAACCTTGGCCAGCGTTTCTGACTAAGTGGCTACTAAAAAAGACTGGACATACCCCATTGTAAATACCGTGGGATGTCTAATATTTCTAATGGTATGCCATGATGGAGTAATTATCATTCCTGGGCTGCTATATGGTCTCAAAGGCAACATAACTAATCTGGCAAATTTCAAAGTGTAAAAACAGAAATGGACCAGTCTTATATTTGACCCTGTAACTTTCCAAAACCCCATGAAACCTTGACATGAGGTGTACTGTTGTGCTTGTGAGACATCACTGGACACAAATATGAGTGTTTTAGAGCAGTAAAACATATAATGCTGATGATCTCATCTGTGAAAGGGCACTTTATTTGTAAAAAAAAAAGTAAAAAATAAATATAAATGCTAACTTGGGACAGTATTCACTCAACTGGTAGCAAAACAAATATTAGCAGAAGCGTAACTAGGCAAAACATAACTCATGAACATCAGCTAATACATCAGTAAAATGCTTACTGCAAATCAGACATTCTTTTGTATCTCTCACAAGCTCCATTAGTCATCAGCTTAGATGACATAGTGTTGGTACAAAATAAAGAAAAAGGAAAAAAGGAAAACTCTCTACACCAGAAATTAACTGGGTGCAGAGGTAGAGTCCAGAAAATGTATCAGACTCCTCTTCATAGGACTCCCCTTTGGGTCTCCAGGATCTTGAGGGCTGATATGAGCCTGACGTCACCATGTCACCGGGTCCATGGCTAGTCACCTCCTCCGACCCTTTTACATGATCATGTAGTCTTCTGGACACCAGCTGATGTGCGAACAACCTTTTTTATGACATGGTGCACAACCCTTTTTATGACACGGTGTAAAAGTGACGACATCAGGCTATCAGACATACTGTGGACGGAGTTTACCAATGCCCTCTCGCGTTTTGGGGGTGTGACTACATCAATAACACCCCCAAACATATAAAAACTAATTTGGCCCATGTTTCTGTGCCCTGTTGTGGTTCCTAGTTTACTAGCGTCCCAATAGTGCGTTCCTTTTTGGTTTTGAGCTATATTGATATTGATTCAGCTTTTCCCTGACTACTCTGTTTCTCTTGTTCCCTTTGACTTTGGCTAGTTTGTCATTACTATTCTTTGTTTTACCTATTAGCCCGGCCACTCTAATGACCAGTTTAGGTATTAGCTTTATTGGTGCAAAAATAGCAACATTTCGACCCTACAGGGCCTTTGTCAAGCTTTTTTTTTTGTTATCCCGGAGTGCCTGAACCGTTATGTTTTCTGCATTTCTTGGAAGGGAGCCCTGGCCAGCCTTGGTTTCAGAGCACCTGCGTTACCTGATGAGTGCGGTATCCAGTACGTCTCTACGGTTTAGGTATTAGACATGTGCAATTTGTTTCATTCCGAATGTGAACTCAGACAAATTTTGGGCAATTCAGACATCCGGATGCTTCTGAATGTCCGAAGTGCTGAATTGCCGAATATACGAAGTTCCAAACCGAAGTGCCGAATTGCCAAAGTGACGAATTTCAGAAGTGTCAAAGTGCTTCGGATTTCTAAAAAGTGGCAAAACAAGAGAGGGAGGGAAAATTACGTGAATGAAGACAGGGGTAGGGTTAGGGAGCCCTACAGATGTTCCGAATTGCCGAAGTCCAGAATTTCAGAAGTGCCGAAGTGTTGAATTGCCAAAGTGACGAATTTTCTTACTTGCCCGAATTTCCGAACCAAATTTTTTTGCCCATGCACATCGCTATTCGGTATTATCTATATCTTTATAGGAGGGTTATTATTCTGCATTTTGGGTTATTATTCGTGACACCGGGCGTGGGAGCTGTGCTGGGGTTGAGTGACAGACTGTGTTTGGTGAGATAGTTGGCCCCACTTGTCAGGCACCATCTTATCCAGTAACTGTGAGCGGTGGTTGCTCCTCAGCCCTCTGAGGCCTCAGACTCCACAAGTCAAGCTGTGGCTTGAGACAGGTTTGTCAGCCATTAAGTGCTCATCCGTTAAGTGCTGTGTGTCGATAATTGCAAGCCCTCTGTGTCAGGCCACATGAGAAGCTGACTCTGTCAGTGTAAGCTGGGATCACCCCTGGAGACCCAAAGGGGGAGAGGAACAATGTCCAGGTAGGTGCTCGTAGAGATCGGCCGCCTCCCTGTCCCAAGCCATCCAGCAGGCAGAGGAGGTGTCTCACACGGGTCACACCCGAGTATGTGGCTAAATTTCAGTCCATATCAGGCAGCAAGGAAAGGACTGTTAGCTGCCAGCAATACACCAACAGGTTTGCTTTTAGGGCTAAATTCCCTTCAAAGTTAGAGAAGCTCTTACACCATGCAGCTCTCTTTTCCAGCAGCCAGGCCCCATCCCCCATCAAACTATAAATGATTTGGGATGTAGGGCACTCCTGGTATCACAACCACTACAGCAGATTGTAGTGGTCACAATTTCTGGAGTGCTTCTTTAATGGATTCTGCATACAGCATGAGCGTACTTCCTAACTCTATAATCAGAGTTGTTTTCTTCCTGTTCATATTTAAAAATAAAAAATAAAATATTAACCATTTTTCAGATAGTCATAATGCCTGTGGATTAAATAAAAGGCAAGTGAATTTGATAAAATGACGTGTTACGGCAATGCATTTACTTGCATGATAGCAATGAATCAACTTAAATTGCCAAAGCTGCATGAAAAATTCTAGAAATTTATATTAGTACCTACAAACATAGTGTCTGAAATATTAAACCCTGTTTCAGAATATGACTTCAGTTTCTGCTGCTAAAGATGTATAATATTTAGTTTATATTCCATGTCATTTGATATGACCATTTCAATAGGCAATACTTTACTGACTTAATTAAAGCAGCAATCCACTCCTCCAAAATCAGTATTTTATAAAGATAACATTTTAATGAAATACATGCATACCCCACTTTTAAGTACACAATGGGACCAGAGCATGTATGTAAAATGAAAATGTACTTAAAGTGAAGCAATACCTTTTTTCACTTCCCAATTGAATGTACTGCATTGTAATAGTAATTTACAGGCATAACTGATACTGCAACTGCAGATTTCCAGTGATTTTATTTCCAGTGATTTATTTAGTGATTTCCAGTGGACTTTTATTCAGTTAAAAAAAACAGTAAAAAAAAAAATCTCATTCCAGATTGTGCCATTTATCTTTAATGTTTTACTCATCTGAAAACCTTAAACTGGGATGAAAAGTAAAATGGGCCCACTGAGCCATTTACTGCCAATACAGTACCAATTTGTATTTATTAGCAGCTTAGTTGCACACTTTGTTTAAAAACACCTCCTCATCACTTAAAGCATTTATGATTTAACTTTGAATCCTCAGAATTGTGGCTAATGCAGCAAAGCTGCTAAGTCATAGTTATAGAAAATGCCAGGGTAAACCCAGGGACGTGTCTTCCACAAGGCAAACTAGGCATCTGCCTTGGGCGGCAATTTGCAGGGGTGGCAAAAAAAAAAAGCTGCCCCCAAACACCCAGGCCGACTCCTTGCTTGCTTTGTGTCCTTGGGGGGCTCAAAAGCTGGCCTGCTGGCCATTTTTGAGCTCCCCGAGGCGGGCAGTGAGGGAGCATACTCACCTGAGCTCTTCCTGCTCAGCTCCCTCCGCGCCGCTTAATGAAGCCGGGAGCCGGAATATGACATCAGACCGGTTCCCGGCACTAAGCGGCTTGCTAGGGAGCTAAGCAGAAAGATTAAAGTTCCCTCGCCGCCTACTCTGCAGCCTGCCTGCCCGCCCGCCCAGCAGCCCTATTGGACAGGTGAGTAATCCACTCCAGCTCTCCAAGGGAGGCTGGGTGGATTTAAAAGAAAATAAAAATAATCATTTGTGAGTGTTGGGAGAAATGTGTATGTGTCTGTAAGTGTGTGTGTGTGTATGTGTGTATGTATGTGTAAGTGTGTGTGTCTAAGAGAATGTGTGTGTGCGTGTCTGTAAGTGTGTGTGTGTGTCGGTCAGTGAGTGCGTGCGTGTCGGTCAGTGTTACGGTTGCCTCCAGGCTTGCTGGAAGTTGGAGCGTAGAAAGAATGCTCCTAGCGCTCACCAAAGGACCATCAGCACCGTAGACACCATAAGTACTGCACCGACACCATAAGCACTGCAGACTCTACGAACCACCGCTGCTGGGCTGGTATCTCGTCATCTGCAATCCACCCTGGACCTATAACCAGGCTCCAGGTTCCAGTGGGTGAACCTCTTCCTTCTGTAGAGCGAAGCAGGATCAGTAACAAGAGCTCTTACAAGAGCTCAGTAGCTAAGGGAGTATGAAGAGCATAGCAATCCCTGTAGTGATTATACCTGTCCCCTACAAACATGAGTCAAGGCTGCAAGTTAGAGGGTCAAGTAGTTCTGGTTTAATGGGGCTACCTGCCCGGTATTTATGCACATCTTCCACCAGGTGGACACTATCCTAGGAACCTGGTGGAAGTCTGGGACACAAATTGCACAGTGACCGTTCACAGACATACATAGTGAAACACTCCCACTAGTACAGTATAATCCCTCCTCTCTATCCTGGAGATAATTGGGAAGTAATCAAATTATCTCCAAGGATAGAGGCAAAACTCCATTGCACACATGTTAGCAAAAATACCTAAAAATACACAATGTTACAAATACTGCATAAAACATATACGTTCAACATATCCCCAGATAGCTTAGATCTGAGCGCACATTATTACCGAATGGTGCTTAGATCACATATATACAGTTTAATCGCCATGGAGCCAAAGTCTTTCACATAGTCTTTCATTATACGAATGGGCTCCATGACATAGCTATCTGGGGTAGCACTGTTCACACAGAGAAAGTAACGAATGGACTGGCGTTCAGATAAATGCAGGAGGAGGGAGGTCGGCGGCTCAGCGGTGTTCGTGAATATAAGTGTCCGTTTTTAGTTCCGCAGTTTTGTAGCTGAACACCGCTGGCCATTCGGCAGTTTAAGATGGCCGCTGCCACGTGTTCGGCTATACGAACAACGGCCAACCAGCATTCGGCAATTAAGCTGTAGTTAACCGCAGCTTCTGGGAGATCAATTGCCTGCACACTCCATACCCAGGTGGTACGGTCATTCATGCGTTTGTTTGGTAAATTGAATTTACCGAACACCCTGGCAAAAAGGCACGAACAAGCCTTTCTGTAGGGAGAAATAAAGGTTTTTAACACTGGGCCATAGTCCAGAGGTAGCAGGCGGGCAACCAGGCTTCTCCAGAACATAGTGGCGAGGTTGGTTTTGCCACAGTCAGTGAGTGCGTGAGTCTGTCAGTGAGTGCATGAGTCTTTCAGTGAGTGTGTGCGTCTGTCAGTGTGTGTGCGTCTGTCAGTGTTTGTCCAAGTAATAGTGTGTGTGTATGTCATTGTTTGTCAGTGTATATGAGAGTGTGTGTCTGTCAGTGAGTGTATGCGTCTGTCAGTGAGTGTGCGTCTGTCAGTGTGTGTCCAAGTAATAGTGTGTGTGTGTATGTCATTGTTTGTCAGTGTATATGAGAGTGTGTGTCTGTCAATGAGTGTATGCGTCTGTCAGTGAGTGTGCGTCTGCCAGTGAGTGAGCGTCTGTCAGTCAAAGTGCGGGCCTTGACAGGAAGGGGTGTGTAAAATTTAAATTAGGGGGGGTGCCCGAGCACCATCCTGCATAGGGCAGCACAAATCCTAAATACACCACTGGGTAAACCCTTTTACTGGATGGCAGCTGATTGCAGAATATGGACAATGTAGGGCAGAACAAATATATATATATGTTCAGCTAGGAGTAGGCATTATAAATTTGAGATGATTAACCTGTGCCATGTCAGAAGGTATGAAAAGTTCTTGCCCCAATGACACTGAACTAAGCTGCTCCGGGCAAGAATAGAATCTTCCATTTACTGTTCACACGCAAACAGAAGAGTCGAGGGCATGTCTGTACTCGTGAGTGTATGTAAAGTGAATGTATGTAAAGCGGGGTATGTCTGTACTAACATTGACTGTGTTGGAATTTTCACAGAAATTCCAATCCAGTCAAAAGATATGCTAAGATAAATTTGGGACTACATTGACTATTGTGTGCATTTTATTACACATGTCAAAACTTGACCGACGGGAGAGCTACCTTTGTCAAGTCTTGTTATCTCCACCAGTGGTTACTAGTTACGGCTGTAGTGAAAAAAAATATTTCTATGGAGGATACTAGCGTTATACACTGATGTGGGCTTCCGGCAGCTGATGTGCCAAGAGCTAAGGAGGACCAGCAGGAAAACCATGGCTGCAGACGTGAGGGATAGGATGAGGTAAGTATAACTTACCTTTTCCTGCACCCAGTGGCCACTGAACACCCAGCAAAGCAGTCACCGTCGGGGGTCTGCAAATTATGCAAAGACCTTGCACAGTGACAAAGCTGCTTTAAACGTAAGACCCTGGTTTTTCCTTCTCAGATCACTTTAATTTTTGCTATGGTTTCAGTTCTTCTGACTCCAAAACAAGTCTTGTGGAAAAATTATGTATTTTGGCTTGATATATGAATCCCTTTGTCAATTAAACAATTGTTCAAGAGTTCATTGTTCAAGATATCGCTGACATTTTCCCCTTAATACAACTGTATGGAGCCACGATAATAACTCCTGAGATTAATATTTTAGTGAATACAAATTATATATAAATCTTCACAAAAACTGTGTGAATAAAGTGTATGAAGAAATGAAATTACACCATATAATGTGTATACTTCCCTAAATGAGAATAGAAAAATGCCTGAGACTCTCCTTCCATAACCATAACCAACAATATGTATCTCATACGGGGTCATTTTACTTGTGTGTCAAAGTGGCCCATGTCTTTATAAGACAAATATCTCATTACTTGACGCATCCCCATTATAGGATGCTTCTCCTCTCTTTTATAGTTCCAAATACAGTATTCTCCCCTCTCCATGCCAGTTCCATACAACGTTTGCACCATTATCATGTCGATCAAAACTCTAAATTTTACCAAACCTGAGACATTTCTTCACAATAATCTCACCTTTGCACGGTATCTCTTTACCGGAAATGAATCCTTGCCATCCCGAGGCCATGTTGAATATTTCCTTGAATGATAAATGGATGTATTCTTCATGCACCAAGGAGAAATGGAAAAAATGTGATTGTTTGTATTAGGATATTAGTGTGCAGATAAAATGGTTATTAGAGTAATCAAAGGCATGTGGCACCATTCATTCCTACCTACTGGGGGCAGCCATCTTGACTTGAGTCACATAAAAATAAAAAACAAAAAACATCTGTGTCTCAATATGTCTTTGCAGTCACTTGGCAGTCTATAACAAAATGTCAGGTCGATGCACTCTGCACATGATATAACAACTCCAGACAGGGGATATGCATAGTAAGCAAGAGGGTTAAGCATTTTTATATATAGGGACACCCTAAACATTTACTAATGAACCGAAATAAGGTGTCACAACACACACTAAAGATGGGCAGAACTTTGACTGCTCACCCTTTCATTTGTATGTAAGACAGTAAGGAAGAGTGATCCAGCTTATTGTATTTGTTCTGGTTTGTATAATCATTCCTTTCAGGCTTTTTGAGGTAAACACTTTCTTTTCAGAGAAAATGCAGTGTTTAAATTAAATAGCCTAAGGATACCTCCACTGGCCACTCCTCAGATGGCTTCTAGAGGTGCTTCCTGGGGCAGTGCTGAACAGTGTGACTGCCATTCAGTGTCTCCACCCTCTATGAGGAGATGCTGATTGTTTGGCTTGTGCTGGCTCTGCCCCTGATCTGCTTCCTTGACAAGCTCAGCCAATCCTATACTTTCCTATGTGAAAGTATTGTGATTGGCTTTTGTTCTGTGTGGAGAGTTGCCGCGCGTTACCATGGCAACGCTCCACACAGCATCGCGCAGGAGGACAGGAGAGCTGCAGGACCTGTCCTCCTGTCCTACATACTTACCACCACCGGACCACCAGGGATGGCTGTGTCCCCCCTTCCTTCATCAAAGGTAAGAAGGAGGGAGGGGGATACAGATTTAGCATTTTTTTTTTTTACCTACCCCCCAAAACCAGCACCCCTCCCCCACAGCCAGCACCCCTACTGCCCCCACAGCCAGAACCCCTACCCCCCCACGCACATACACACAGCATCCCTACCCCCTCACACACACACAGTACTGTGTGTGTGTGTGTGTATTCCATTTGTTGGAGATACTAATAAATTTAAGCTTAATTTTATCTATTTATATCATTATTTAAAATTTGTATCATTGAACTCTCTGTTGTGTTCTTCTTTTAAAACAAAAGGTGTTAATCAATTCGGACAACTGTACGAATTGTTTTTTCTAAACTTAAACCTCAGTATTCAGGTTTAATTGCCATGTTGGCACTTTGAGGAAAAAAAAGTTGTCATGTATTGCGGTTTGGGCACTCGGGCTTGTAGCGGAGCTGCAATCTTAAATACCAATATCTCCGCTGGTAAAGAAAGTAATCCAAGGAAAGCACTGAAAATGAAGGCAATATCCAAAATCCCCCCAGTAACCGGATGAAACAGTTCTGGGAGTCAACTGAGGTTTTTATTCACAATCTCCAGTATTTATGTGGTTCCCCATGCAAGAGCTTTCCTTAATAACTTTACAGGGGTTACACAGTTGAGGACTACATGGGGAACTGAACATGCAGGACATTTTTCCTACCATGCCCTGCTGTACGAGAGGGATACTCCCACAAGAATATCCTGCTAAGTGAATTATCCCTCCGTACAGCAGAACCGGCTTTTCGCATAAAAATCTGTAACTTATACTTTACTCGTGACATTATTCCAAATGATAGATCGGCAGATAGCTGGGGTCTGAGCCCATACTTTGTGAAAGTACCGCTCAGATCCCAGCACAACTAACCAAACGCCGCACGAAATACATTTTAATATTAACTCTTCAGAAAAGTCACGAATGCATAGGTTGGGAGAAAGTACCAAAAGGCCGGCGCTCTCGAACGGCCTGGAAGTCCAGCTGTGTTCGTACCGTCGAGTAGCCAATTTTAGTTCCAGGCACTTGACGACCAAACACCACTGGGCTAAAAGGGAATCCAAGATGGCCGCCGCCGCGTGGTCGGTATCTGAACGACAGCCACCCTGGGAATCAATTAGCAGCCAATAGATACAATGTTGCAGTCGGTTAATGGGAGCCACACAACCCCCTGTGTGTGGGCTCCCATTCGGTACTTTGCTCGTTTCACGAACAGTGTTGAAAGTCACTCTTCGTGAAACTACCATATGAAGGCTAACGGCTTTCGTGCCACTAGCATACGAATGCCCTCTATCACATTTATAAGCGAATACACAAAATCACATAAGTTAACCAGCTTTTCTAGGACAACCCTTAGAAATATAAAAGAATAGTCTGAAGTGACTAGGTTTGCCACAGGGCTCAAAAAGGTTCGCCATCACTGCTATAGGGTCAGGAATACATTTTTGTTTCCTGACCCTATACTGTTTCTTTAAGGTTTTATATTTCACAGCAAAGCCCTGACAGAAAATGGGCCTCCAAAATTGATAGCAAAATATATCTTACTTGTCAACAGATTCCACATTTCTACCATTAACATCTTGATAGCTGTAGTGAAAAGAGTACAAAGAAAGATTTGTGCCTAGGGCAGCACAAAACCAGGATACACCACTGGATTCACCCCTCACACACGCAACTACACAAAGTACTATACATACTCCTACAAATCCAAAGCCAAAAATGAAACAAAAAGGGAGAGGAGCAGGAGGAGAATGGGAGATTTAGATAATATAACCATATTCCGTTAGTTATTATCTATTAGTTAACTATTGTCCATATTGGCATATTTAAACAGTGTATAAAGATAAGAATAACATAGATAAGAATGCTTTACTGACATTGATCCCAATGGCAGATACAGCCTATTTCTGTACATTCTAAGATATATCATAACGAAAAGATTAAGCACTCAATATGTAAGTAATAGGGGTATATTACCTAACTGGTGATCATAAACTATCCCTCCTCATTTTACTTTTTATTTAATTTTGGACTGGATTATGCTCATCATTTGGGTGGAATAGTGTAGGGTTAATATTTCTTTTCATTAGTCTGGAAATAGAGGATTTGGGGGGGCTTGAGGATTCTGTGCCTCCAGGTGCTGATGATGTAAATCTGGCTTTGGGTGTTAGGATAAATCCATATCCGATCTGAATAAATAAATGTAAGCACCTCCTAAAAGGAACAAAATTAGATACATACAAGGTTATTCACTAAAGTGAGATTTTAAAGCAAATTTAAGGCCAAACTAGCTGAAATGGAAAAAGTCAGCTATGATTCCAGTTTAGCTACGCTAGCCTTGCATTTGGAATTCACCTGGAATTGACTTGGAATTCTCACTTCGTAAATAATCCCAATGCACAGATATGTTTTCTAATAGTGAAATATGCAGCAGCAAATGTACAGCTGTGAATTCTCCCGACATTTTATTCCAAGTTGTTAGTATACATCTAGGACAATCTCTCCAAAGATAACCCTAAACTGTAATACAATAGCGGAATTAGTGGAACAATCCTTTGTAGTGACAAAGCATATCATTATTCCATCAAGGAGAACAAAAAGTTGTTGTTGATCCAATGACCTACATCAAGCCATCATAGGACCAAATAGAAAAATGATCAACCCTGATTCACCACATTGAATGGAAACTTCAAGGTCCAGCCTGTTGAGGGTCGTGTGGTTGGGCTAAGATGTGAAGTACATATATATCTAGTATAAGGTAGGTTTTACCTTGTCATCTTGATGATATCCCCTGTTAAGGTAAGGTTTCTTTTTGAAGACATATTTCAGGATCTAATGAAGGTGGAGACAAAATTAGAATGGAACATTTTGAGAAGAAGTATATACTATCTTGTTAATAAAATAATCCCCCCCTGCAGTCCTAACAACCATTTTAAATTCACTATCAAAGAATACGATTAGACATGTGCACTAGTGAAATCTTTGTTTTGTATGAATGATTCTGTACTAAATAAAAATTTTATTCGTCAATCCCGAATTTTGTTTGTAAAGCATTTGTTTTCTAACAAAATTCATGAAAAAAAATTAACCTCCCTTTTATCAATATGGGGGCCGTAGTAACCCCCATACTGATTTATATTTAGTGTTAAATGATAGTGGGAATGCTGCAAGTAGGGCCATGTGGGAGGATTTAACCCCCCTTTTATTAATATGGGGGTCACAGTAACCCCCGCATGTTTTAATGCAGGGTTTGAGGGGGTGTAGGAATTAATATTATTACAAGGCGGTAACTTTTTTTTTCACGCATGCGCAGTGTTATTTCTCCATGCTGTGGGGGTTAATGCCCCTGCAGCACGGAGTCTATTAAACGAACAAAACAAACAAAATGAAAAGGTAATGCATTCAGCATTTGCCCTTTCATTTCGTTTATATTTCGTATGTATATTTCGAATGTAGGGCTTTCGTTTACATTTTAGTAAACGAATACGAACCAAACTCAAAATCGTATTCGTACGAACATGAATGCACATGTCTAGATACGATACAAAATACCGAATCATACAAATTTTCCAGTAAATTCAAACACTACACTCCACATAGAAAGCCAGTAGTTAATACTTATCTGTATTTAAAGAGTCAAGGTGTACATTTGTATTTTCGATTTCAGACCTAAATTTTGGGGGTTTAAAAGTAATAGACTTGCCTAGCTCATCATACTAAATAAGCTGCAGACTGGGTCTCAGATATTAAATGGGTACTGTAACTTCCATGGAATTTTTTATATTATGTTTTACAAATATATATTTTGTGATATGTGAAAAATTAAATTACATTTTAAAAATCCACACTGCTTTATCATAGCACCGGATGCCTCCATCTTAGCTTCCTGTCAATCATTGTGGAGAGAGCATATGGAAAAGTAGCTTGATTAAGTAATATTTCTGTTACTATATTTGCAATGCTTGCCCCGGCTTTGCCTTGTCTTAACTAGATTTTGATATAATGTGATAAAAAAAAAAATGGTTAACAAAAGTAATAGGTTAGGTGATTTGCAATGTTTTTTTCAATGACGCAAATGCCATAAAAGTGACAGTTCCCTTAAAAGATGGTAAACTTTTCAATTGTGTAATAAGCACCTCCCACCTGCCTGCCCCTCCTCTCACTCATCCACTTTTCTACAAAATGCATACCATGCTGCTCCAGCTGTTTAAGATCTTACTCAATTACCTCCTCATTCCATTCCATTTTACCAGTAGCTGTTACTGTCCTTTAATTTTCTCCAAAATCACTTCCAAAATCACCATCACTTTTCAAATTTCCATGTCTCAAATCTCCATTATAACTTTTAGATTGTAAGCTCACGCACTATCTAATGAAGCACTTTGTATAAAAAAGCTAAATTATTCTTTCTTATACTTTCCACACTCACTCCGGGGGGGACACTGATCTAACCAATCAGTGTCCTATTCCTAGGAATGCTGGAAAACGGTATACAAAGAGACACGGTGAGGCTAGGGATGGGGCAAAAGAGACAGGTGATTTAACTAAACCCATTAGATATTTCTTTAGTCTACTGGAGATTTAGTCGACTAAAACTAAAACAATTCAGATGACTAAAATATGACTAAAACTAAAATGGCTTTTTAGTCAAAAGACTATGACTAAAACTAAATAAATTTGCCATTAAACCTGACAGCCACCTGGTGGGCATTAAAACATTTTCTTTATATATATATATATATATATATATATATATAGTATAATTGAAAAAGGATGCACTCAGAGGTCTTTTTAGAAAAAATATAGTGTTATTTAATCCATATAAGGTTTACAAATGACTTGATCAAGTCATTTGTAAACCTTATATGGATTAAATAACACTATATTTTTTCTAAAAAGACCTCTGAGTGCATCCTTTTTCAATTATACTATTTATCAGCATAGGTCTGCACCGGGGCAAAGTGATTATTACTTCTTTGAAGCAAGGGTGAGTGCCATTATTATGTTCTATATATATATATATATATATATATATATAAATAAAATATGCGGCTTCTTTAAGAAGCTGTCTGATATAAAACTGACAATTTTAAAACAACACTAATATTCTCCAGATCTCACCATTAAGTGTTATGATCTGGGGCTAAACATAGCAACTATTCTGCTTTTTTAAAAGCCTTTACTCATGGAATGCTGACTAGTGGCTACATCCCCCCATTAACTAATCTTTCTAACAGTTTCACTTCTCCCCAATAATTAATATCCAAAATATCCAATGCTCAAAATTTAAAGACTTACAATACAGATAATTACAGTTCCAAACAAAATGGTAATGACAATAAAAATTCGTTGTCGGTTTGTATGGTTGACGCCACCTGAAAAAATATAAAGATAGTTACTTGTGCTGGAAAAGCAAGACATTGAGGTTTTTCAATTTTAATCTTCATTTAGTACATCACTGCCCCGGAAAACCAGACTAAGATAAAATCCCATACAGTCATTGCAATTATATGGGCTGACCTAAAAGGGAAAATAATCCATGATATGTAAACATTAGTAAGGTATAACCTAGAAATTAAAGCCAGGATCATTTTTGTCAAACAAAACTTGAGCCAAGAGGAAAAATAACGTAAAGACTATGGAATGGAACCAGGGACAAGCCGCCAGTGAACACCCAAAATAACCATGCACAAATTGGAGTTTCATAGGTATTCCACAGTTCATATACATCATCCATGTGGAACCACAATGACATGATTAACTGTATATCAACGTCCTTATGGGTGCACAAATTGACGATGTTGGTTGTGAAATTGGAAAACACCTTCGGAAAATATTGTTAATACATTTCTAGTACTTAGGTTAGCACAGACATCTTGGACTCCTAATAAAGACAATAGGGAGTATCAGGGGTTTTAACTAAAGTGAAAATTCAAAGTGAGTTTAAGGTGAGTTTTAATTGAAGGCCAAAATAGCTGATCTGAAAAAAAAATCTGTCAGAATCACTTTCAGTTTGGCTACTCTGGCCTTAAATTTGAAAATCACTTTTAATTCTCACTTTGGTGAAAAAACATTGCACCACCCATCTACACCTCCACCCATTCATCACCTTATGTAAAGATGGACTCATGTAGTATCTTAACCCTGCTGGTAAATTTTAGCTGGTCTCTTTATTTGAAATTGGCATACTTAACCATAATTTAATGACATCAAAACATATACTGACTGGATGTTGCATCATGTGTCATGGTCTCTCGAGGTGAAGTATATGTTACAGTACTGTCCTCCAGTGTGGTAGTCACCATCCAAACACTGTCTGTTTGACCCAAAAATAGATATAGAAAGAAATGCACCACAAACAGTAAAAAATAAGATATCACATTAGTATTAAAATGAATTTGTGACTGGGTCTCGGTGTTGTGAAGCTAAAGTTATTCCAAGCACTTTTGCCCATACACAAGTGCTGTAGCACTGTTGTATGCAGGGCCCCATCAGAAATTTGGGAACCCTTGCAAATCTACAGGCTGAGTCACAAAATATACTGTCAGGCTATCAAACAGAGATACACACTCACAGAGATACCCTGACACACACTCACAGAAAAACATACAGAAACAGACACGTATAGCGGCGGAACTACCGCCGGTGCAGCCGGTGTGACTGCACCGAGGCCAGCATGCTCAGGAGGCCCAGCTAATAGTGGAGAGCCCTCGTGGGACAGAGGAGGCACAGTAGTAATCTGTTTGTGTGTAAGTGTGTATGTGTGTCAGGGTGTGTGTATGTGTATCTGTGTCAAGGTGTGTGTATATATATGTCAGTGTAAGTAGCTATGTCAGTGTGCAAGTGTCAGTATGTGTATCTGAATGTGTGTGTGTTTCTGTGTGTATCTGTGTGTGTTAATGTGTATGTATATTTGTGTAAGTATGTTTGATTGCTGGCATGTATGCACATACACTGCCACATACAGACGGCCAACACTACATGCAAACACACCCGTGCAAGTAAACTTCGAAATCATATATAAACACACCCCTTCATTCAAGCACCAATGCTGCACATAAATGTACACCTGATTTACCCCTTAAGGACCAAGGTGGTATCAGGTATGTCCAACAAAAAAGGGTCCTTCAGGACTGCGGACATACCTGATACATCTGAGGGGAATTAGAGCTTTGGAAACGATCATGAGGCATCGTTGCAATACCCCCCTCACTGCCGGTGGTCCCCGGAGATCACTTCCAGGTTGCTCCATGTGGAGCCCAGCAGTAAGGCAGAGCATCGAAAGCCATTAGGCAGGCTTCCGATGCTTCCGATGCTCTGCCTGTACTGAATGCCTAGATAAAAAATAATCTAGCCCCTACCCTCCCTCTCCCTTCCCATGTACCTACCAATCGCCACCGTTCCAGCTCCAGCCACCCCGGCTCTTCAGGGCCATGTGATCACCATGATCACATCGCCGCAATAGGAATCTAGGAGCTGCCAGCAGGAGGACTGTCTGAGTTGTCAGACAGTCCCACAGACTGCTAAAAAGTAGAAAGAAAAAAAAAAAAATATATATATATATATATATATATTTATGAGCTGTAAGCCATAATCATCGCACTTATGGCAAATCACGGCTTGAACTATCTTGCTTTGCATGTAATGCGTCTATCTCATATATTAGTTTCCCCTTTTACGTTGCATTACTGAAATAAATTAACTTTTACATGATATTCTAATATATATATATATAACAAAATATATATATATTTATTAGAAAATAATTAGAAAATTATTAGAAAAATTTATTAGAAAATAATTAAAACATTTTATAATATATTATAATGAAATTATATATATATATATATATATACATATATAATTTCATTATAATATATTATAATATGTGTACTTTGAGATATATACACACACAAAAAATTATATATATATATATATATATATTTTAAAAAAAAATAATAAAAAAAATAAGAAAATAAAAATGATAACTTTGTCCAGCATTTGTGACTTAGTGGCTACTACAAAAGACTGGAAATACCCCATTTGGAATATCCTGGTTTATCTACATTTGAAAATGGTTTGTCATGATGAGGTTATTTCACATTCCTGGGCTACCATATGCAGGGCCGCCATCAAGGCATGAGAACCATAATGGTTGTCATGGGCCCGGCGGTCCTGGGGGGCCTGGACTGGTCAGGTTGTCCTGGGCCCCACATTAGCTATGTGCACACATATATAGCGATTAAATATAGCTATATATGTGTGCACTGCGGCCCCCCCACTACGGCGCTACCTGTATTCTGCAGGGGGCCCAGCACACTTGAAATATACTGCCCAGATGCTCTGCTCTGTCGAAGTCTCGCGATCGTCAGAGCGTTGCCACGGGTAACCATGGCAACGCTATGCACAGCTCGCAAGACTTCGACAGAGCAAACACTTCACACAAGTACACCACATAAACAATACTAAACACACACTCACTTAAACATACACACAATCACATTGATAAACGCATACACACACCCGCTGCACACATGCATTGCTACACATAAACGCAGCCTGCTACACATATACATTACTAAACATACATCCTACTACATGCACATACAACGCTACACACAGATACACAGACGCTGCAACATAAACGCTACTACACACACGCAACTACATAGACACATACACTTACATAAACTATTAAGCACAAATTTTTTAACACAATTTTCAGAACTAATCCACCTAGCTCTGGTACAGCAGGCTTGTGGGTTTGTGTATGCGACCCCTACACAAGTGTGTAACCTTAGCAATGACTCACTTTAGTAAGGGACCATACACCCACTTTTGCAGCAAACAGGGACACTGGATTTCTTGCTATTACTTAAAAAGATTTTACTTATATATCTAAAAGGTTCCACACGTGTGAGTATAACTTACATAAAGATATTATAACTCCATTTTCACACTATATGCTCTTTTTAATTTTCCAAGTTATCTACACAAGAACATCTGAAGACAATAAGATTCCACATCATACTGTAAGGGACGGGTCGCCAACACTGACCCAAGAGCCTGCTGTACCAGAGATGGGTGGACCAGCTCTGAAAATTGTGAGTGCTCCATTGCTACTAAGATTTCTTCCAATTTTATAAAGTTTTTACACTATTGTGTGTTTATATTTTAAAGGTTCACATATGGAGCTGCTATAATCATGTTGTAAGGTAAGCGTTCCTGTATTGTTAGAAGTGACACTAAAAGCACTATGTATCATTTTATTGTTTGTATAAAACAAGCGCTTCACTACTTCTTGTTAATTTAAAACCTAAAGTTTTTTTTTTTGAGTTCAGCTTTTTCTACCTAAAATTTGTCATTACCCCCATCAATTCCTCACTTAGTGAATAAATCCCTATGTGAATGACTTACTGTGTGCTGTACAGTTTGCTGAAAATTTCACACCATTGTTATGAGTCCACGTTAATTTGCATGAAGCTGGCCTGGGGTCACCATTTAGGATAAGGGACTGGTGATCCCATTGGACGTGAAGTTTCTTTTTTATGTATATTGTCTGGTTCTTTATGAAAGTCAATGCTCCAGGCGGGCTGAGACAGTGCACATTGTATTTAAAAAATGACTTATTCATATGTATTCTTGTGGCTGTAAAATTTATAGGTTCCTCAAAGCATATTTTGGCAAGTTGATCTAAAAAAAATAAAAATAAAAAAAATGAAAATTAATATTAGCAAAACCGAAAACAAAATTGACTTATAGATTTTTTTTTCCAATACAGCTAGTTTGGCCTAAATTTTATAATTCAATTTGAAATCCTAGGAATTCTCACTTTTGTAAATAACCCTGTTTGTTTGTTTGTTTTTGTTTTTGTTTTTTACCCTGAACAAATTGAAATTATATTTGGATTCCTTGATTGGAGACACTTGATTAAATTCCTTCATTATATTTTTCCTATTTATTAATCACTATTCAGAATCCTTTGACTAATATCCTGCTTTTTGCTGAGCTAAAGAAGTTTAAATGTAATAAGAATGCAGAAGTGACTGTTTAGCCCTGTGGTCATTATTTGCATGTTCTCAGAATCCTTAGACGTAGCATGGGCATTGTACCGTCTGTTAACTTGTTTGCCAATATGTGAATGTATGTAAAAAAAAAAATGAACTACAAATAAAGGCACAAGAAGGGATATAGCTTATGATGGTATAGAGAAATATTCAGGTGAACTACTCATTTAAATTCCTCTATTTCTAAACTGAACGGCCTGGACTTTCTGTCCTGTCACTAAATGGGTGGGGGATGGGAATTGGGTTTTATGTCAACGACGTGTGCTGTATGTCTCTTGCAGAGTTGTATTTGTGAGTAGTGTCTGCGTGTTTAAATGTAAGTGACACTACTACAATATATATAATTGAAAAAGACTCAGGGAGGGCTGATGTAGAAATGATACAAAAACTGGACAGGACTTCACTCGGTGCTCTAGTGCCTGTATGTCTTCCCCCTGCAACACATGTCAATCCATTAGCCTAGTCTCCTACACATATACTTAGTAATTCAGTAAATAAGTGTCACATCTTAAATCACACCAGGGCAGTAGAAAAGAGTTAAATTATAGTCACCAAAACAGGTTTAGTTCAATAAAGCAGTTTCGGTGTATAGATCATGCCTCTCAATTCACTGACATTTAGACATCACTTTGTTTATGCAGCCCTAGTCACACCTCCCTACATGTGACATGCACAGCTTTCCTAAACACATCCTGTAATAATTATCTAATGTTTACACTTCCTTTATTGCACATTCTGTTGAATTTATATTTTCTTATCTCCTGTTCTGTTAATAGCTTGTTAGACCATGCAGAAGACCTCAATATGTGATTAAAGTTCAATTTACACAGCAGGAGATAAAAAGTTAACAACTTATTGAAAATTAAACAATTTTTAATGTTGGCTGTGTCAGTCACAGCCAGGGGAGGTGTCGCTGGGACTGCATAAACATAAACAAGTTATATAGCTCCTAAATGGCAGAAAATAGAGCAGTTAAACTGCAGGGGCATGATCAATACACCAAAACTGCTTAATTTAGCTAAAGTTGTTTTAGTGACTATAGTTTACATTTAAATGTTCAGCCCAAGAAAAGAGCAGTAAGTCTCACCTGGGGGAAACAGGATCAGTATCCATATAAGCATACACACAGAGGAGTACATGGGAAGTTGCCCTCTCTCTGCTCTTCCATCGAAATAACTGAATCTCGCCTGATACTGATTTCCATTACCCATAAAGGGAAGTAGAATTTAGACATACATATTAGAAGAAGACAGCTATTACTAGAAGAGGAAGTTAAGTGTGTTATCGGGGAGGTGGTTGATTAATGCCATTAATGGGACAGAAAAAATAATGTGATTAATTTCTCTTCTGCGGGACATGATGGATGTAAAGAGTGCCTAACATGGGTACTGCAGATATGTGTGGACTACATTCCTTTCAATGCCTGGCCAGCTTTAGTGCCGTAATCTCAAATCAACTACCATAATGCTCAGGCAGTGTCTGACTTAGAAGACAAATGGAGACAGATGATTTTATTTATTTTTTTCACAATTCATTTGTCAGCTTTATGTTGTTCAATGAAGAAACAAGTTTGGATTTTTTTTTTTACTAAAGGGGTTTTTCTCAAGTTCAGAATTGCAGAATTAAGGGATATTCCACGAGTCTGACCTTTAATTTGCAATGCAGGCATTCAATAAAGACACATTTGGAAATGATTAGTACCCAAAGCAAATTAAAGGGTCACTCTAAGCACAAAAGCAACATCAGCTTAATAAGGAACACTATAGGCACCCAGACCACTTCCTCTCAATAAAGGCATCTGGGTTATGTGTCCCCCTGTTTTAATCCTGCATCTGAAAACATTGCTGCTGAAATGTAGCTATTTAATGGTATAATTTAGAGTTTCTCCATCACTTTTAGAACACTTGATTAAATTCCTTCATTATATTTTTCCTATTTATTAATCACTATTCAGAATCCTTTGACTAATATCCTGCATTGTGCTGTGTTAAGGTGCCGTTGTAAGTGGCTCAGTAATGGCAGTGTGGTATTTCGCATATATGGGGCAATATAGCCAAGGTCGGATTTACATGTCAGAGAATACTAAGGTGCCTCCTGCTCTCTCCCCCCAGTGAAAAGGCACATAAAGTGAAGCTAATGAATGTAATAATTGGACAATGCGGGCATAAAAATTTCTAAACAACATATACTCCTATTAAACAAAATAAAATAAATAATTGGTTTTCTCACGCCTCCCCCTCCTGGGTGATATATTCCTCATTCTGTGGTCCTCTACCAGGGGCCTGGAAGTCTGAGGATTCTGCACGGTATCTTAGCTGTTCCTAGAAGTGCACTCATCTGGACAGCAATCTCAGATGTCCCACCTGGAATTTATTGAAGCCACTGCCCCAGCTTGGGGGTCACAGCCATGAGTGCTCCTATCACACCTGGGGCAACTACTGCCTTCACTTTCCACAGCTCTTCTTTCAGTTGTTGGTATTTGTCCACCTTCTCATGTTCCTTCTTCCTGATGTTATAGTAACTGGATATTGACACATACACCACCACTTCAGTGTTCCATTCCTTGTCTACCACCACAATGTCAGGTTGGTTGGCCAGTACTTTCTTTTCTTTCTGAATCTGAAAGTCCCACAGGATCTTAGCCCTGTCATACTCAACTACCCATTGGTTCATTTCTCATCTGGACCTAGACAGGTGCAGCCCATATTCTCTGCAGATATTTTGGTACACAATACCACCAACTTGGTTGTGTCTCTCTGTGTATGCTGTTCCTGCTAACATCTTGCATCCAGTTACTATGTGCTGGATTGTCTCAAAGGCATCTTTGCACAGTTTGCACCTTGGGTCTTGCTTGGTGTGGCAGACCACTCCTTCTATTGGTCTGGTGCTGAGTGCCTGTTCCTGTGCGGCTAGGATTAGTGCCTCAGTGCTGTCTTTCAGTTCTGCCTTTTCCAACCACTGATATTGTGAGCCACATCCACTATCTACCAGTAGTACACCCCATGGAGAGGTTTGTTTTGTCATGAAATGTTCTCCTTTTCTGCCTCCCCTTTGTTGTCTCAGAGCATCGTGATGTACTTGTGGATGCTCTGTGTTTCATCCAGGTCTGTGGCCTTAACACTCATCATGCCGACCTCCTTCTTTCCAGCTGGTGTACAGTCTCTGGGTGCTGGATTTCGGGTGGAATCCTCCATTCATAGTGAGTATTTTTCTGGGTCTTGACATCCATGGTGACCAGTTCTTTTCTTGGCCAGGTTATTATTCCAGCTGTGTACCTGATGGCTTGGATCTTGTTCTTGCCATTGAGCTGGGACTTCAGGACCTGTCTGACTCTCTGGAGGTACTTGGAAGTTGCTATCCTCCTTGCCTCTTCCTTGTGGTTGCCAGGTGTTTGTGCTAGCCCCAGAAACACTCCTACAACAGCAGACCCAATGAGAGGTATATATATAAAATCTGTGCAAAACCATGCAAGATTCAAGCTAAGAATAAATGTGGGTAGGGTGAAGGGAGAGGTAAAGGTCTGAGAGGGGTTAATGTCAGAGTTAGATTACATAGAGCTTTTAGTGTTTAAAGGATTAGATGCTAGATAGGGGTAATAGGGGTAGTTTTGGTGTAAGGGGTGTTTAGGACTAAAGTGAGGTTTAAATGTAGTATTTTGGTACATGGCATGTTTAGGGTTACTGAATTGTGGGCTAGATTTGCTTAAAAGTAGTATTGGGGTACATGGGTGTTTAGCTTTTAAAATTATTCAAACTTGGATTTAAGCTAATTTTTTTCTTTCAGGTTTAGGTTTAGGCTTAGGCTTTTAAGTGCTTACATTTGGGACTAAGGAAATAATTTAGCTTTTGGGAATGGTTACATTTAGGGTTAGGGAAAATGGGTGTTTAGAGCATGTGGAGTTTACAGGCTTCTTTGCAAAGTACTTATCCTCCTATGAATTCTGTAGTCAAGTCACTTACTATGATTGATATTAGAGCTGCAGGACCTATCACACCTATACAGTGTGTATCACTCAATGCTATCCTATGATATACAGTGTGCATCATGCAGTGTTGTCCTATGATATACAGTGTATCACTCAATGCTATCCTATGATATACAGTGTGCATCATGCAGTGTTGTCCTATGATATACAGTGTATCACTCAGTGCTGTCCTGTGAGATATAGTGTGTACAGGGCCGGCCTTAAGGGTGTGCGAGCTGTGCAGCTGTGGTACATCTCCTTTCTTCTAAACTCACTACATACACTTTTCTCTGTCCCAGTCTATATACCAGGAGCTTCTGCCTGCTAGTAAGAAGGTAAGGAGATGAGTGGACATGTGAGTGCTAGGAGACAGACTTATTAAGCGTGGAGTGAGCTTATCATTAGACGCATTTATACAAAGCTCAGGGTTCGATCTGCATAATATGCCCTTAGCTGGCTAGGCTGGCTTTCCAATTCTTTGGGTAGACATGCCCCCTTTTGGAGCATGTTCGGCCCTTTCGGCAATTTTGGTTCCATGATTCGAGTCAGTGGCCTACCCTTTTATCCCGCCAATTGATTTCCTGCTTCACCGGACACTGCTGCTGGATTTACTTGAAAGATGAAAGCGAGAGATTAGCACAGAGTATGTGTTTTCTTATAGCTGCATCCTATGAGTTTCCCTCCAGCACCATCTCCATCAGATACATGACTGTTTTAGTGTTTTTGGGCCCATCATAATTGTCAGGCTTTTAATCTGGCCCTGCCTATGATATAGCTGTCTGTTATATATAGTGTTTATCCCTCAGTGCTGTCCTATTATATATATTTTGTATCACTCAGTGCTATCCTGTCATATACAGTGTGTATCAGTCAGTGCTGCCCTTACTCCTTCTGCAAGACATTTCCTATGCGAGAGGCTGTTAGTGGCAGATGGGAAGTAATTCCTTCCACTTCCTGTCCAGCCTCACACAAAGTCACTGGAGAAGCTGGGACAGTACTGAGTTTTACAGCCTCCATTGTTCCTGAAGCCCTGCTACCAAACATAGGAAGCTGACTTGACAACAGAGAACACTGGCCAAATCTCCTGCTGGTACTTGTCTCCATCCAGCCCACCTAAGCTCCAAAAAAGCCCATTATACTTTCTGAAGACAGGTCTGTGACAAACGCCCTGCAGTCTGGTCATTTGCCACAAGCTCCTGGAGGAGCCTGCTAGCCAGCCTCCTGCCCCAGGATTATGGGCCATCCAAAATACCCTGCAAACGTCTCTGTTTGTGTGATTTGGGACTATGTTGTTCGTGAACCAAACAACCGCACGAACCAGAGACCACCCGGGAGCTTGTTAAGCCCAATTGACACTGTGTTCCAGCCTGCCCAGATCCCCAATCACAGATGGGGATGTCGGTAGTGGTGACAGTCAGTCCCCCTCCCCAGTGGCAGAGTGTGTTACAGGGAGTGGAGACAACCGGTCTCACTCCCCAGCGACAGTGTATAGTCCAGGAAGAGAAGCATGTCGACCTTCCTCCCCAGTGGCAGAGTCTCCCCCTCCCACGGCAGCATGCAACCCCAGAGTAAGAGCTGGCATCAGGGCAGAGTGCAGCTGGCCTCTGGCCTACCTGTACCGTTATACTGGAACCTGCCTCCCCACCAGCCCCAGAAGCAAGAGACCTGATAGACTTGTCTTGGGAAGATGTCTAGTTGGCCGATGGAGGTGGGACCGAGGTCTCTACAGCAGCCCTGCAGGGATGCTGGGCAGCCTGCCCAGATCCCCAACAGCAGCTAACCTCACTAGAAGGAGGGACAATCTGTCCCACTTCCCAACCACAGCTGGAGATACCGGGAGTAGGGACAACTGGTCCCACTCCCCAGCAGATGGGCCTGTCATCCGGGGACAAGGCCCCTGGTGTGGATGGTGCAGATGGGACAGAAGGTCTCTGCACCAGCCCTACAGGGATGCTGGGTGGCCGGTCCAGATCCCCAACAGCCATATACAGCCCAGGAGGAGGATACAGGTGGTCCTCCTCCAGAACAGCATGGTGATAGCCTGGGAGAAGAGGGTGTCATCCCTCCCCAGCCACAGCGGGAATGCCAGAGAGAGGGGGTAGTTGATTCATCTCCCCAGCAACCATTTCCCAACCGTGTCCTGGGTGCAGTGGAGGCAACTACTGCCTCCACTGACACCCTCCAAGCAGAAGAGCTGGCATCAGGGCAGAGTGCAGCTGGCCTCTTCCCTATGTGTCCATTTGCCCTGGGGCCTGACGTTAAACAGGCCACCCCAGCTGAAGCACTGGCTACAAGGCAGAGTGCCACTGGCCTCTGCCCATTCAGCACCAACAGCTCCACAACTAGGAGAAAGGGAGAGCGCAGGGGTGACGGACAGCACCCGCACAGGAAGCTTGACAAAGGCTTTTCAGCCGAAACGTTGGGGTTTTTTTGATTGACTCTGTCCCTACTTCTCACTGAATTTGGTATGGTTTGCTGCATTTTTTTATATGTCTGGGTTTTCATTATACTAGTATTATAGTGGACTGTTTGCATGATATTTCTTTCATTCATTTATTACGCATTGAGCGTTTATATTTGTTTATATCATTGCTTTTCTGGTAAATGCTTTTGAATAGCATGACTTTGTACCTCTGTGGATAATATTTAAAGAGACAGTCCTATAGTATATACCCATTTAATAAAGATTTTTTCATATATATAAAGATTTATGGTTGTGCTCCTTACTCTATTCACATTATTATGTATTTTGGGTTCTTTAGGGGATAGAGCCTTATGTGGGTGAGCACCCAGTATTCATTATATTAGCCTTTTCCTGGGGCTATTTTGTTGTTTAGTCGAGTGTGCCCGCCTTGTTTCATTTGCATTATCAAATGAGTTTAGAGCCTAAGGGAGTTCTGAAGTGATCAATATATAAAATGCCATGTGTTTCACAAACCATTCATAAAAGGCATACATATAATTATATCACACCCATTGATCCATTCAAGAACAGAGGTGTGCAATATTCAGTAAATAGATATAATAATAATAATAATAATAATAATAGTTAATAAGACGAATATCAATACCAGAGAATGCACAAACGACGGCCAATACACACCACACATTGATCCTTGTTCAGCCTACATCTTTAAATAACACAGAACCAGTAAGCATTTGCACAGGCATGTCAAAACTCGATGGTCTACACCTGGGGTGTTTGTAAGTACTGTCCCATGTAACCTGTAACACAAGCACACAGGTATAAGCTCTGTGCTCAGACTCCCACTACTCTTGTGTGGCAAAAATGACTGTAGCAGGTCATGTATGTCATATTAAGGGTTAATTAGTGTGTAGGAATAAGAATTCCCCTTTTTGTCCCATTAGAGATTTTGCCTTTTAGTTGAAAGCAGCAAGGTGAATTGTTAGTGTAGGGTACACCTTGACATTGACAGATGAGCTTATCTTTCATTTGAGTTAAACGAACATCATTTGTTATTTGAATGTGCATAGGGATTTAGAATAGTGTGCAGTTAACTTTTCATTGGTTATAAGTCAACTACGTTTTCAGTTGAACCGTTTTGGAATTTGCAATTTACTTTGAATTCCTGACAACATACACTTCAGTGAAACTCTGACAGTGTGATCAATAAGATAACTGAAATATGTGCTAACTGACCTCTGGATCAAGCAGCAGTGTTTAGCATCCTACAATACTCAGGCCAAAAATTTCTAAGCTCCAAAGATATAAAAGTTTTTCAGGCGCTGTTTTTCATAACATCACAGAAAATATTTTTACCTTGTGGTGCTGTCCATTAACACACATCTACAGTGTGACGGACCAGACTTACCAAGGACCATCAGCACAGCACCGGACACCATAGCCACTGCAGACTCCACGAACTGCCGTAGCTTGGTTGGGATCTCGCTGTCTCCTTCCCACCCTGGTCCAACCTCTGGACCCAGGACCATGTGGGAAGGACCTCTCTTCCAGGAGGATATAGCTGTGGGAAGGACCTCTCCTCCAGGAGAGTACAGTTGTGGGAAGGACCTCTCTTCCAGGAGGGTACAGTTGTGGGAAGGGCCTCTCTTCCAGGAGGGTATAGCTGTGGGGGGTATAGCTGTGGGAAGGACCTCTCCTCCAGGAGGGTATAGCTGTGGGAAGGAACTCTCTTCCAGGAGGGTATAGCTGTATAGCTGAAGAGAGCTCTTACAAGAGCTAGCAGTGATATAGCAGTTAAAGCTGTTCCCTACAACACGAGACGAGGCTGTGAGTTGAGGGTAAGAAGGTCTTGTTTATTGAGCACAAAGGCATTTCTTTTATACACATTTTCAGGTCAGAGGCACACCCCTTGGACCTGATGGAACACAGGGACAAAAAGGTACACAAACCAATAGGAACAATAATTATCACAGTAACACTCCCACATACAGTCAGCAAGCCCTCCCCTCTGCCTGTGATACAATTAACAAAGACAATGGACTAACTCAATTAACTTTAGCAGAAAAAACATACATTTTTACAAACCCCAAAAAGTACCCCAAAATACAACATATCCAAAAATCACCCAGATCGGTTCAGGGGTTCAGGAATTTTCTGGAAGTCTTATTTTTGCCCCACCATGCACATGGTCCGGTGCTCAAAACAGTTTCATACACTTGACGACAAAACACTGCTGGACAATTTATGATGGCCACCGCCACATGTTTTGAATCTGTTCAAAATCCCTTGTGGGTCACACTCATTCCCTAAGTGTCTTTTCAGCCATTCCTCCTAACACTGTGTGTGTTTGCCCAACATTTCCCTCAGTACCGCCAGGCCATCTCATATCCTCACCTACCAGGATTGAGGCTCAACTGAGTTGTATCACATCAGTGATGTACATGCTCCGTTGCTTCAACTGACATTGGAGCTCTGGACAGCATGCACAATAATTGGGCAGGGAGGCAGGATATGATATTCATTTCCCACTCATTCTGCTCTCTGCAGTGGGAAACTGAGCTAATTATCATGGAGAGTTGTTGCCTAGAGCCGAATCAACCACACAGTAGTGATTACGGAACTATGAATGGGTGCATACTCATTGGCTTTTTGATTTGCTAATATTTTCTTTATTTTTGTCTTGTTTTGCAGCTCTTAAGCCCAACATCCTTCTGCTCCAATAAATATAATCCAATAAGAATGACTAGGTAACAGTTAATAACTTGAGATAAAATCTTAAGAACACGATTGTATTCCCTTCCCTCAAGAAGCATGACGTCAATTTTTATGACTTTCATTATAGTGGCAATGGTTGCGCAACTCCTTTACTTCCTCGTGACCATGGGAAATTCCAATTCAATTCTCAGAAGTCATATCATCTGCTTACAGTCACAATCCCACTAATTCATCTTCTCGTCTATAGGTTGGCTACCTTATAATAGTACTGGTTTAAGTATGCCTGCATTAACATAAAATAGTCAACATAAATGAATCATAATAAATGCATATTTAGAGCAAGTGAGAAACCTCAAATTAAAAAAATGTAAAACTTCATAAATCAGCACTCAAATGGTTGTCTAATGTTCCAAAAATTAAATTAAATCTCTTGTGTGCTTTTTTTTTTTACAACAACAGAATATTCAAGGATATAATGATATGTATGTGAACAGGTTACTGATCCAATGAGAAATCTGATTTCCATTATGGTGTAAATTTTGGGGGCATATTTGGAAATGGCTACAATTGGGATTAGTTGCCTTCTTTTGGATCAACAGCATTAAAGAAAGGGTTTTAATGCTGAATTTGATGGACTTTTTTCAACCTAGACTACTGTGTAACAAATAACTAAAAAAACAAACCTAATAAGGCAAAAAATATTAGCTTTCATACCAAAATAAAAAGAATCCTAGTACTAAATTTAAAAAAGAACCTACTAAAAAAAGTCTAAAAAATATGGAAAAAATTAAAAACACATAATCATAATAATAAAGCTCACAGAAATCTATAAAAATGTAGGTTTTAAATGAAAATGTGACCCAAAAAGAAGGTAATAGGATACAGTGGCTATACCTCTCTCAACAAAGGGAAAAGAGGGTGCCACGGCATTAAACCTCCTGAATGGAGGACGGTCGTCTAATCTTTACTCTCAAAAAGGGGATAACCCTCAAAAACTTAACACAAAAAAACAGAACAGAATGAATCCCAGGACGGTCCTCTAAAAGAGAGAGATCGCACTGGGAGAGAGCACAGTAGAATAGAAGAATAGAAAAAAGCAACAAAGTAGAAACCTTAACTTTAATGAATCTAAGATTAAAATGGGGATAGCCCAGTGGAACCCTAGATCCAAAAAAACCCTTATGAGATATAAAGTGGGAATTAAATTAAACGCTCGATACGCATTTTGTCGTCAGGGGCAGGGTCCCGAAACACACGGTGGGCGTTTCGTTTTATTCCCACTTTTATTTTTATATACACTTGGGTAGCACTATGAGCACTTTATGGTACATAAGGTTTTTTATTATAGCTCTAGGGTTTGCTGGTTCAGTTAGGCACTAGCTTCGTGCGGGGCCGAGGTAACAAGGGACAGTGTTTAGTATATATACTATATTGAGACATCTTTAGACTTATTTTTGCTTTACCTAGATGTTATGCACAGGTCTATACTATATACTTTATTCTCAATAGATTGTTATATATACAGAGTCCATGGGTATTTCCTGACCTGGACCTCTCTCTGTCCAGGAGTAGAGTCTAATAGAAAGGTTAAATAATCTATGTATCAGATATCCGATTTATGGTCTATACCAGGCATAGGCAACCTTCGGCACTCCAGATGTTTTGGACTACACCTCCCATGATGCTTTGCCAGCATTATGGGTGTAAGACCATTATGGGGGATGTAGTCCAAAACATCTGGAGTGCCGAAGGTTGCCTATCCCTGGTCTATAATGTCCACTCTTGCCTAGCTCTATTATTATAGTTCCACTGGGCTATCCCCATTTTAATCTTATATTTATTATAGTTAGGGCTACTACTTTGTTACTTTTTTCTATTCTTCCAAATTACTGTGCTCTCTCCCAGTGCGATCTCTCTCTTTTGGAGGACCTTACTGGGATTCATTCTGTTCTTTGGTTTAAATGAAAATGTACCAAAGCTAATCTAAAACATTACAACAAATCAGGTAATGTCACTTCAGCATTAAGGCCTAAAGAAGTGTCTTAATGGTTAAAATCCAAAGCATGTTTTGATGGCTTCCTAACTGATCGCCTGTTTTGTTTTGGTTCTTTTTAACAATTGTACATTTAGAAACTGGGATCTCCGTTGTGAAATCGAGTACACGTGCTGACAATGAGTGATATTTTAATTTACAAAGCACATTGTGTAAATACTCACCAAATCTCACTTTTAACATCCTTAGAGTCTTTCCTACATATTGGAGACCACAAGCACTTTCCAATAAATATATATTCTGTTTAAAATGCCTAAAAACAAGTTTTTGTTGATCTGGTGAAAAGAAAGATCAGTTTGGCTTTTTAACCTTTTTTGTAGATATTTTACAGGTTTATATTTTGGAGTTATTTTATCTCCACAATACTTAATAATTATGGTTGTCTTAATTTGTGATAGTTGAAACTATAAACTTTATTTTCGTGCGATAATAAAATAATGTGGTATTTTTATCTGCTCTTTTATTTTTTATTTGATAAGGCATACTTTCTCTGTACATCTTAATTTGGTTTTATTGCAAATTGCTTAATGTTTAATTATGTCTATTTATTATGAAGCTGTGAATTTAAATGATCAATGAATGGACTTTTTAAAAATGAAGTTGTTATGGTGCCCCGAGGCACTCTTACCTGAAGAGGTTATACTGTTCTCAAACAGTTTAACCCCCAAGATGCCTCCAGTTGCGATGTCCACTACTCAGCTAGAGGTTTGAAGAAAAAAAAACCTTAGGAAATTATTAAAGCAGATATCACATATTTATTGTTTTTACTCTAACGAATCCTTTTTAGCCTTAAGGGTAATATCTTCTCTAAACAGATGACTGCTTGTCCTTTGCACAGTCCTGTTAATAAACATTGTTGAATATTGGTTTTAAACTGTGCTTACTAGTTATAGTGATATAAAATATGTTCTTCACGACGAAGAATCACCGAGGACAATCTTCATTATTTTTAGGTTTTTTTTTGTCTTATGCCTGTTGTCATTGTATCAGATATTTGCAAGTGTCTTCCTCATCTCTTTTAAATAGCAAATTACAAAAAAGGAAAAAAAAGAAAAACGGTGCTGCATTCATCACTGTGATGTTCTTCCAGCGCAATTCATGGTAGTTTGATTTCCTTTGCACTACAATATTCATCATTCTAAGTTAGGCAAAGTCTGGCTGTGCAACTCAACTCTCAACTAACCTCTCAACTAAACATCATGGCACCTTGTACATTTAAATGCCGCAGGCCCCCCCAACAACAACCCTGGCACACCAAGCTCACTCGATACCTCCAAAAATGCTCCAGAACTGCTGAACGCTGTTGGAGAAAGTCTCACTGTGCATCTGACTTTCTCCACTATAAATTTATGCTGAGCTCATACAGCTTGGCTCTTTCCTCTGCAAAAGTTAATTACTTCAATACCCTCATAACCACACTCTCCCGCCAACCCAAACGACTATTTAACACATTTAACTCTCTTCTTCGCCCTGCTGTTCCTCCTCCACCTACTAACTTGACCGCCTCAGACTTTGCAACTCACTTCACTGACAAGATCTCTACAATCAAAGAAGAGATCTCTGATCTTTCTTCTTCCCCTTACAATACTTCCCCTAACTTCACGCCCTCTGCTGTTCTATGTTCATTCGCACCCGCTACATTGGAAGAGGCTTCTGCTCTGCTCCAGTCCTCCCGCCCCACCACCTGCTCCCCAGATCCAATTCCCTCGCATCTCATCCGTGTCTTCTTCTCTTTCTCCACCTCTCACTAAAATTCTCAATCTCTCCTCTCTTTTATATTTACATTGCCCTTCAAACATGCAACTGTAACCCCATCCAACTATCGTCCTATCTCGCTACTACCTTTTGCATCCAAGATCCTTGAAAAAATTGTGTATGCGAGATTGACAGGCTTCCTTGAGTCCAACTCTCTGCTAGACCCGCTTCAGTCTGGTTTCCGCGTTAAGCACTCTGTAGAAACGGCACTGACCAAAGTATCCAATGATCTACTCGCTGCAAAATCTCCTGGTCACTACTCTATCCTAATTCTCCTTGACCTGTCTGTGGCTTTTGACACTGTTGATCATCAACAGCTTCTTCTCATCCTCCGCAATATTGGTCTACAAGATATTGCTCTCTCCTGGTGCTCCTCCTACCTCTCCCAGGGCTCTTTCAGTGTTTCTTTCTCTGACTCTGCTTCTTCTCCCCAACTCCTCTCTGTTGGTGTCCCCCAAGGTTCAGTCCTCGGTCCCCTACTGTTCTCTCTTGGTAAACTCATTAGCTCCTTTGGCTTCCAATATCATTTCTATGCAGATGACACGCAAATCTACCAGTCCTCTTCTGATCTCTCCCCGCCCCTCTTGACTAGTGTCTCTGACTGCCTCTCTGCTGTTTCTGACTGGATGGCTGCCCACTTCCTTAAACTAAACTTGACCAAAACTGAAATTCTGGTCTTTCCTCCCTCAAGTGTTGTTACTCCTGTGTCTGTCTCCCTCCAAGTCAACGGTGCTACCATCAGCTCCACCACGCAGGCTCGCTGCCTAGGTGTTCTCTTTGACTCCGACCTCTCCTTCAAGCCTCATGTTCAATCTATCGCCAAATCCTGTCATTTCCATCTCAAAAACATTGCGCGCATCCGCCCCTACTTAACGCCAGATGCGACTAAGGTGTTGGTCCATTCCACTGTCCTTTCTCGCCTTGACTACTGTAATCCGCTTCTCAGTGGTCTTACGTGCTCCCAACTTGCGCCGTTACAGTCCATAATGAATGCGGCGGCGAGGCTCATGCCTCACCCTTCTGTCAGTCCCTACATTGGCTTCCTATAAAATATAGAGCTCAATTTAAAATTCCGGTTCTTGCTTTCAAATCTCTACATAATGCTGCTCCCACCTATCTATCCTTCCTTATACACAAGTATGTCCCGTCTAGGCCCTTACGATCTGCTGAAGACTTACACCTATCTTCTGTCCTTACTCCCACCTCTGATGCCCGCCTTCAAGATTTCTCGAGGGCTGCACCGTTCCTGTGGAACTCGCTTCCCTCCTCTGTAAGATGCTCACCCAGTCTCCACTCCTTCAAAAAATCGTTAAAAACCCACTTCTTCATAAAATCGTATCAATTAAACTGTTAATAGCTCCTGACTGATTCCTCTTCTGCAACTGTCACTAGTCTAATACTATCCTTACCTTTCTGTGTCATTTTACCCCACTCCCTCTAGCATGTAAGCTCATTGAGCAGGGACCTCAACCCCTCTGTTCCTGTGTGTCCAACTTGTCTGGTTACAACTACGTCTGTTCGTCCACCCATTGTAAAGCGCTGCACAATTTGACGGCGCTCTATAAATATCATAATAATAATAATAATAATGATGGGAGTTACATTTGATATTATCCATCCTTGTTCATGAGAGATAGGTTGGTGAACTTCTAAAACTAAAGGAGATAGGGTAACAGACAAGGGTATCATGTGTTATAATGACTTCACAATAAACTTCACACTAATGGCACGGTGTCTTATGACGCCATAAGGGTCTACATTTTTTAAAGCAAATCATTTCAAGGAAATTGTTCCCGTTTCCAGTAAGGAATATATGCATGATCTAACAAAGAAGAAATTAAACTTAACAGAGAGAAGCATATTTTTGTGGGGTTTTTTTTCTTTGTTTGTTTCTTTTAACTTAGAGAATTGCTCCAATCTGGAGTATATAAAAGCAAGATTCTAATAATGGTAATTATTAACCTGTGAATGCTCCAAGGAGTTAAATATTTTATGACAGATAAAATGAATTGGAAAAATTCTCTAAATCAGCTATTTTTCCAACTTAGCTTTTTGGCTATACATTTCAGATTACCTGGTCAATTCTCAATAATTCACTGGTTATAAGAGAAGATTTTTTTAATGTGTAATTTAGATTTAGCAATTGATAACACAAGCCAGTTTTGCCAAGGCACAGCCAGAGCACACATTGTTTTGGGCGAGGAATGTTCAGAGATGGCTGCTTATGGGGTGGAATGCAATCCACATTGCTACTTTTGTTAGTCAAGTGTTTTAACCTCTTAAATGAACACTATAGTGACAGGAACACAGACCTGCATTCCTGTCACTAGTGATGTCGCGAACATAAAATTTTCGGTTCGCGAACCGCGAACGCAAACTTCCGCAAATGTTCGCGAACCGGGCGAACCTGGCAAACCGCCATAGACTTCAATAGGCAGACGAATTTTAAAACCCACAGGGACTCTTTCTGGCCACAATAGTGGTTGAAGGGGGGGGGGGAGGAGACCTACTCTCCTCCCCCCCCGGCCCCCGCCCTTGGGTGGCGGGTGGGGGCCATAAAGATAATGAGGGGGGACCTACTGTCCTCCCCCTCTCCAGCCCCCACCCCTGGGTGGCGGGTGGGGGACATAATGATAATGAGGGGGGGACCTACTGTCCTCCCCCCCCTGGTCCCCACCCCTGGGCGGCGGGTGGGGGCCATAAAGATAATGAGGGGGGACCTACTGTCCTCCCCCTATCCGGCCCCCACCCCTGGGCGGCGGCCATAATGATAATGAGGGGGGGGACCTACTGTCCTCCCCCCCGGCCCCCACCCCTGGGTGGTGGGTGGGGGCCATAAAGATAATGAGGGGGGACCTACAGTCCTCCCCCTCTCCGGCCCCCACCCATGTGCGGTGGGTGGGGGCCCTAAAAATAACAATAAGGGGGGGACCTACTGTCCACCCCGGCCCCCACCCCTGAACGGTGAGTGGGGGCCCTAATAACAATAAGGGGGGGGACCCTAGTCACCCCTCCCCCCCCCAAAAAAATGATCTCCCTACCTACCCCCTTCACCCTAAAAATAATGAGGGGGGGACCTTTAACTAAAAACCTGGAAAAAAAATATTAGATAAAAATAACTTACCATTTGATGTTTTCTTTCTTCTACAATCTTCTTTTTTCACCGCTCAGGGGTGGGGGCCAGTAGGTACCCCCCTTATTGTTATTTTTAGGGCCCCCACCCACCGCTCAGGGGTGGGGGCCGTGGGGAGGACAATAGGTTTCCCCCCCATTAGCATTTAGGGCCCCCACCAGGGGGGGACCCTTTTTTTTTTTTTTTTTAACAGTGAGCAGCCACAGGCTGCTCACTGTTTAATAGACATGCCCCTAATCACGGTATTGCGAGTAGGGGCACAATTTACTAATACTAAGTAATTTTTACTTAGTATTAGTAAATTAATAGGGGGCGGACCGAACATCGCATATGTTCGCCATCCGTGGCGAACGCGAACACGCTATGTTCACCAGGAACTATTCGCCAGCGAACCGTTCGGGACATCACTACCTGTCATCTGTTAGCTAAGGAAAAGGTAAGCTTACTTACCTTTTATTCTATGAAAAGGCAGTGTTTACATTAAAATGTTTGCAGGGACATCCTATAAACACCAGAGCAACTACATTAAATTGGAATTATAGTGTCCCTTTAAGGACAGGGTCAAGTTCTGACCAAAACCTAGAATTTGAACTGCATGTCTGTTCAATCATAATTTACCACTTTCATATTAAGTGTACCCACACTTATTATATATCAGTTTATTCAGAAAAATAGGGCTTTCACTTCACATCAAATATTTATATATGGAACAACATTTAATATGAAAATCTATCTTAAAAAAGTGTGAGAAATTAAGAAATTTTATTTTTGCAAGTTTTGTATGGCATTTTAACTGTGAATGTCATTAAACGGTTAGCTTTTACTGCAATAAAACAAACACTCATATTTTTATGCTGTGATGTCCAAGTGTACAACAATGCCACTCCTGTACAGATTTCATGGTCTTTGGGAAAGCTACATGGTCTAATATAGAGCTCGCCTATTTTAGTTTTTACACATTGAAATATGCCAGATTGGTTTGCTGTGACTATGTTGCCTTTGTGACTCTATGGCCACCCAGGAATGAAAATGACCCAATCATGGCATACCATTTGCAAAAGTAGACAACCAATGTTATTCAAAATGGGGTATGTCCAGTCTTTTTTAGTATCCACTTAGTGCTTAAACTCTGGCCAAAGTTAGTGTTCATATTTTTTTGCATTTTTCGCACAAAAACTGCACTTTCACTAACTATATCATTGTCATGATACATTTGACTACTCTAAACCACTCATGTTTGTGATCAGCGATGTGTCACAAGTACAACGGTGCCCCACATGTATAGGTTTTGTGGGGTTTTTGAAAGTTACAGTGTAAAATATAGGGCTTGCCTCTTTTCAGTTTGTACACATTGAAATTTTACATTGTGGCATACCATTTGCAAACGTAAACAGCCCAAGGTATTCAAAATGAAGCTAAAAATATATTTTACTTGCCCATTCCCCCAAGTTAGAAGATGTCCAAAGACTTTGTGGCAGGCACTTTTCTTACTCCTCCTCAAACCCTGTAAAGATTCACCCAGAGAAAGTGTTGACTTTGCAATAAGAATGGAGTCCGAAAGGATTCCAATTATTACTGCCCTTCTTATCCATCTCTACCTGCCCCCTGCATAACAGACTGTTTGAAAGTTTACCATACAGAGCTAAATTACTGAATCACTATAAATGGGACTTTGTCAGTTTGTTTGTTTGTTTATTCTCGATTTCTGAGTTGGTTTGCTCAACCATTAACTCAAATTTGTCATCCGACATAAAGAGGCAGAAGTAATTTACTGTTACTCTGATGCCTGGTGTACCCTTGAATGGGGGTATTTCTAGGGCAGTCAGGTTTGGGGTACACAGCTTTCCTCTGGCACTGCGAGGGAGTCCTAAGCACTTTTTTGTAGATGGTGATGGGCATCATCGACTTAGGGACTTAATGTCAGAGGCTGTCATAGTGTCACTTTCAGCTGCAGCAGTGCTAAAAGTTGTTTTTTTTTAAACTTATTTATTTTTAATAGAAATAACCCCCACAAAAGTCTCACTGATCACTGATACAGTACCGAACAGCACACATACTGTACAGTAGAGTGATCAGGCAAGCGGGAAGGAGTTAAGAAAATGTAAAAACTGCTGCGGCTGACAAAAAGGGTTAATAAATAAAAAACATTTTGGTCTGAAAAAAAAAAAATTGTATTAGCACCAAGGTACTAACCACCCTTGTCAGACTGATCACCGGGTTAATAAATCAGTTTAGCTTTTTTGTCACCTTTAAAACTTTTCACAGTTTAGTCAATGAACTCTCTCAATGATCTCTCTTGTTACAAATCACTGGCTGAGACATTGTAACTGTAATCGAGGTGACAGGTTGTTACCGCAATCACGTGCTGCAGATCGTTGCTATTGGATACAGGGGGACTGTCAGGGTTGCCTGGCAGGTCCAACTGAGCGCGATCTGCAGCATGGGCATTGAGGCGGGCAAGTGGGAGGGTTAAAACGCTGGTGAGTTCTATGCTGCTATAACAGTGTTTAAGCCCGCCGTCGCAGTACGGCATGGCATGCCATAAGGGTGTTAATGAGTTAATATATGTTTTAACCATTTGGTTTGCAGTATGCTAGTCATATCTCTGGCACTCAAAGGGCTAAACAAATAAAATAAAGTCATTTTTCTATCACATGAATGTAATAGATCAGGAGGTGGGTGGTTGGCATTCCAGAGAGAAGTGAGGTCATATTCCATAGGTGGTACCCACCACTTGAAATCCTAGCATTCACCACTTTATGTGAGACTTGATGGACTGAACTTTATTTTGCAACGCAAAAGTAAAAATGTTTATACAAGCTTTTGATAGTGAAGGGGTTCAGGGAATATTGTTGGTACTGAATAGAGTATTTGAATAACCTGGATGGTTTTAGCCATTCTTCATCTTGCTGTAAAAATCCTGTAGATGTCTGTGTATCAGACGACTTTGTGATCACTGTGCTCTCCACGCAGATTAAACGAATATCTTTTCTGCAGCAGAATCAAAGAGAGCCATATTAACATATTCTGGACATTAGACACGAGTTCCTTACACTTGGGTTTCATGGTTTATTTTTTCTGTGCATTAAAATACTGAATTACAAAATGTATGCCAAAACAGCAAAGCTGCAAAAAATTTAACTTGGAATATTTAGCAGTTTTTATCTCAAATGTAACAAACTAATTTTGCACCTTGCATGAAACATGCTTTTATACAAGCAAACTGAAAGTTTAAAGGGACACTATAGTCACCTGAACAACTTTAGCTTAATGAAGCAGTTTTGGCGT